AAGTTGTGGCTCCTGGTGTGCTGACATTTTCAAGAAAAACTGTATTTTTCCAACGCCGGTCGGCCTACCAGTGTTGGAGAAAACTGGCTTTTTTTTTCGAAACGTGCTCCTAAATGTTCATATTTAGTTCGTCTGCATTTTCTTTGCAATTGATTACACACCTGTGAAGACTACAAGCCTGCTAGACTGATCTTACAACTCCCCAAAGTCTACAAATTGCTCCGTTTCATCTTAAGTGGGGTCAGGGAACCAGACTAGAAAATGTGATTTGTATTCTTGGTTTCTCCAGCATCAACGAACCCAAAATGTGAAACAAGTCAGTGTGACAATATTTGCTGTAACATACTAATCCTCCAAATCCATTTATTACTCAAAATTGCAGCAAAATCAAATGCTGTACATTCCTTTTAAACAATGATTGATTTGAAGTACATTCAACGGCGTCCGCGTGTAGTTTTGTTTTCCCCTCGCGAAATGAAATACAGTGTCTTGTATGGGTCTCGGGTGTTTGACTCAAATTGTACGATGTACTGTGTATAACGTAACAAAGTAATCGGCGTTGTGTTGCTCAAGAAAAACTAAAAACTGTCTTTTATGCTTTCGTATTTTTCCTATACTACATGATTTGGTACTTGAGTAAATGAAAGTACAAAGGTTGTTGGTAAAAGAAATTCCTAAGCAGCCTTTTTTTGTGAGTGTTTGCCTTTTTATCTCACTTTTGTACGATTTTCAACCGTCACTTTTAACAGGTATGAGCCTTTTGAAAAACAGTTGATCGGATGTAAATCTCAGTAAGTACGTGCCACTTTCTTGCGATATTTCCGTTCCGAAGAGAACTAAGCTGTCCCTCAAATTCCCATGACGGTGTGATTTAAAATCATTTCAAAATATCCTTAATTGTACCCATCTCGTTCGGCGGCTATTTTGAGGTCAACGGACTCACATTGAAAAACTATACCTTTCATTTTGTTCCCAACAGAACACCAGTAATTTTATTTATTCCAAAAGAATGTGCAGTTTTTTGGCCAAATTGAATTAGTAAGCCGAGGACAATAAAGTAGCTGAAAACCAGCGATATCATTGCCATGGAAACAATTTACCCTTGATGGTATTCAGTAGAAACCGAAATGTAATTAATGAGCAGAAATACTCAAGGCAGCTAAAGAACAACCATGCATGCCAATTTCTATCCAATAACTTTTTTTTAATGAATCTTTAACATTTATAATCAAGGTCGTGTTGAGGAACCTTTCGCATGGACATTTTGAAAAGAGTATACAAAAAAAGAAAAACTCCCGTTCATTCCCTGCATAATGGTACACTAAATCTATTTGCTTCAATGTTTTGTAGTAGAAGGGGAATTATATGGCTGTTTCGCGTCGAATACTATGTGAGGCTATTTAATGTGCCAACATTCGTGACTATTTCTCTCACAAAATTCAATAAAGACAAAGTGAAAGACATTGTGGACATCCGTTTGTATGTGTCCAATATGCTGGAATTCCAGGTGGGGCACGTGTAGGGCCGATAGGGGTATACGTTGGCATGAGGTGACATTTACCAATTTAATTTATTTAGGGGAGGGATCGTAGTTGATCGGTTGGTTGTAGCCATAAGACCGGACGTAGTCAGCAACCCCCTCCCCGCCCCTTGCAAAGCACTCAGCATCGCTGAAAAATGTAATTTCTATAACCTATTTAGGGCTATTCATTCGCTGTCCTAGTTTTCTGCATGACTTAGCCGCCAGATAAGTAGAAATATCAAACACATACACCATGCACCCACGCGGAAATATTCCAGGAGATTCTAAGAATCGATTTTCCGCCCTTTTTAGGTGAATGGTATCAGCCAAATGACTTTCGAAATAAGAGCAAACGGAAACAATGCACCTATCCACTTTTGAAGTTCAGAGCTTACGGAGAAATCGATCTTGAAAGAGAGTTGACAGATGGATCTCATTATAGCGCGTATATAAAATATCAACCCCCTCCCCCTGCCTATTGTGGAAAGCATGGTTGATTTCCGATCTTATGCCTAAGATGAATGGTACAGTTTTTGTGGTTTTCCTTTACCGTTAAGATTTCTCAAAACCAACAGCGAAAAAATACGTAACATCCAAGTTTTATGCTGCATGGTTATTGCTTCAAAAAAAGTTACAAGCTGCTTTTATCGGGAATTCCTGCGAATGCCAGTAATAAATCTTGAAAATAATAATGGCATATTGAAGGGAAAAAATAAAACAATCCTGGAAGTTAGAGTATTATAATGTTGTTGTTTTATTCAGTGGACTACAGTTAAATGAAATCCGTTATCACAATATGTCCAAACGTTTGCATTGTTTTGTTTTATATGCTAATGTAATTAAGAAGTTTTATTTTAAGTCGTAATGATGTATCTTGATTTCTTGATGCATACATACGTATTCAATGCTTCACATAACAAGGTTTTAGTTTGTGCAACGGACATGTTGAGTAGCTTTTTGCTCGCGTAAAAAAAGTGCGGAGGGGGGGGGGGAACACATGTTTTTCTCTTGCAGAATTTTGACAGCATCTAATTGGTGAAGGGGCAAACCGAGATGCGAACTAGTGCGATGGGGCATTAGCGGTTGTCGATCTCATCAAAAACGGATTTAATTAATCTCAGTAATCGGGTTAGCATTGGGCGTACAGGTTTGTTACATCCACTTAAAGTATACACCGACGACTATTTTACGTGGAAATTCAAAGATGTTTTGCGATTTTAGTATATAATGTAATATCCATAAAGAGTACGTTATCGGCTAAAACCCAAAAGTCCGAAATCTTGAGTTGTCTCATCAATTATTACCCAAAGTCTCATTTATTACTTTTGTTTACTCCCAATTCAGTGTAAGATTATAAGTCTCATTATGGGCAAATTGGTTGACATATAAGGCGTGCTCTGACCAGTCAGAACACCAACAATATTATCTTTATGTGATTTTTTTTTCGGGGGGGGGGGACACTCACCAGAAGCGAAGGGAAAAATCATCGGCCGTGGAAAAATCGACGCCCATGCCGTTTAATATACATTAAATTGACAGCAATATGAATCACCCCTATATAGTCTTTGTCATTTTCTTTTTCCTTTTTGTTTCTCTCGTGTTTTCCCGGCTTTTTTCTGTTTGCTTTTCCGGGGGAAAGTGTCTAACCCTCGCTACGCCCATGATTATATTCAAAAGGAGATACCTCCCGAAAGTATAGGATAAATTGAGCAAGTCTTGAAATAGTCGTCGGCGACGATCCTGTATGTTAAACGGAAAAGTGGATCGAGTCTGATCAATTGCTAAACACCGTGTTGCGCCCGGAGCTGTTTTGGCCATTTTCCGCGGCGCACTTCCAACGGTGTTCACTCCCCCGATCCCGTGCGCTTCGTACCGCGGCAAACTTGAAGGATTTCAAGCCACTGAATCTAGCCAGAGCTGATGATCCGTGCACCGACAGGAGATGAATATAGCAGTTGATTATGCAGACGAAATCTCGGCATGTTTTTCACTATTTAAACTCTATCGTTCCAAAGGAGTGATGAGGGACCAGACGATTTAAAGTGAAAATCACTCCGAGTTGAGATTGGAATACTTTGAAATTAAATCAAGTGCAAACGCGAGTGAGAACTCGATCTATGCTATTGGGCGAAATTCTGCCTAAATCGTCTTGTCGTATAGTTTCAGTCGGCCTAGATTGAATCTGCAGTCTACGGAAATGGGGTGGGAGTTGGGTTTTTTTTCTCAAGTAAATCAGCAGTAGTTCCATTTCCTCATCGGAATCCGAAATGTACCGATTGTTTATACCAGTTCATCGTGTTTTCAGAGAAAATAATGTAGGAGCTGAGAATCAATTAAATTATGCCCCACAACAACCATGCATGCACGGGTTGCAGACGTGCAGCGTCGCCTTTGGCTTGTGGGGGAGATCTTCTCCCGTTTATGACACGTCAGTTGCGTCATCACTTTTTTATGTGGTGCATGGGTTTTGCCGCTAGTGACGGGCGATTCCCTCCGTGTTCATATCTATAGTTAATCCAGCAACACTAAGTCAGTTCCTTGACAACCCAATCCCCCCCCCCCCCCCCACACGAACAAGAAAGTCAAATTTAGGTTTCTTCCTTACAGCTTCGTTGTTATGCACAGTGACACAAAAATATTTGAGCTGGAGTAAAGGTATTTAGAGCGTTTTATGATTGTTTTTTTCTTCTAAACGTGAGGTCATTTGCGATTGAAATTAAAATATTCTGAGAAATACTTTTGCTCAGAAAAATTATTATATGAAGGCAAACTTCTACGATGGGAAGTCAGACCAATTTGCAATGAGTTTTGAAATGTAGAGATTTAAACAGATAACTAGAGAGAGTACGTGAACCTAAGACCCATCTAAGGCAATAGTGTACCAACACTTTAACAACTCTGCTATAGTCAGCCCTATGAAGGGCACTTCTCAAACTATAAAGTTCGTTTTTTCTCCACTCCTATACCAATAAAGAGCAAAGTCTCATGACACACGCAAGACATAAGTGCAAATCAGAGATTCTAAAATCCGTATATAATACCACGACACCGAAGAACGTTGCTATGGAAACGCGTTACCATCGGGACCACTAAACTCACACAATTGACTGGTTAAGTCTTGAGCTGGATGATATCCAAAGCACACGAGTTTTTCCAGAACCTTGGGTCTAAAATGTCCAAGAAGAGATCGCATCGTTGTCTCCGATGAACAAGTTTGTATAGTGGTTATCGAGTTAACGGATTTCGTCTGATATTAAGTCAGATATGTTGTGTCAAAAATGGATTGGGAGTTCCGTTAAGTAAGTTTTGCTGCACACTAACACAATGAAGATCAATTGGTGCTTTAAATTGTCTTAATTGTCTCTATATTTGGAAGGAGAGCCGTAGGGACGAGGATAGGCGGATACGGGAAAATATAAACGTGGAAATCCTATTTTATATATTTAGTGATTTCTTTTCTTTGTCATTTGTGACACAGGATGCAACTGCCATAGACAAAATGTCAGAAGGATTGTGTGTAATTCCGGTGGTAAGTATATGACCTAATCTTGTTTATTTATTAAAGCAGAAGTCGTGCTCTACTTAAAGACTTAAATTTTTCATTAGTTATACCTCAATATTTCAATAAGTTTCAAGACAGCACCCCCAAAAGGGGGGCAAAGGTGAAACGTATATATTGTAATGAAAATACAGGTTTCTTCATGTTTCGTGACCTTCTGACCTTTGCTGTGTATAATTGGCATAAAGGTCAAGTTTCACGTGTTTCTCCTTGCTTCTCCTCCGCAGGTCCTTGTAAACAAAGTGCAGTAGAGAACGCCATGGAGCTGTGCCTTCTAAGATGTACGTTTTCAACTTTTCACTGTCGCTTTTCATTTGTGGACATTTTTGAGATGTGAGAACTGAGACGTGGAATTAAAAGTTTAAGATGCCAAACTAGAAATATGCAATCTTTACGAAAACTTAGGGTAAACCCACCAGCATTTTCCCCCCAAACCGTTAAAATTTAGTTACATTCAAATTTCTCGGAGGTAACAATTTCTGTTGAAATGTCTGCATAAATTATATGATTTTTTTTTTATTCTTTACTTATGGTGCAACTTGTGAGTAAAATAACTTTTGGGTAAATCAAGCTGTGTGCTTCTTTTTATAAGCATTATAAAAATCTTGATTTATCCAACTCCATTTGACCCGGAATCTGGATTCCATATGGCCTGACAATTTTCCGGTTCAAAACGACACTTTTTTAAGCCCAAAAAAACCAATTTTAAGGGTCAACCTTACCAATTTTTTTTTACAGTGTTGTAATGTATTACCATACGACTATCGAGCTTGATCAGCACTCAAATTTTGTCGTTGTTGAATTCAAACTCGGCAAATGATTCCAATCCCAAACCACATCAGCCTTTTTTCTCAACATGCAGGATTTTACACATCTTACACAACACATCACTGAAACTGATTAAGGCAAGGAACTTGGTCACAGTGTCCAAAAATGTTGTTGTGCTCAATTGACAATTGTGCAATGATGCGTAACTGAAATTAAATGAAACTCATAGGGGTTGAGGCCAAGGCTTATGAGTATCTGCACATCCAACAATTTTTAAAACTTGACCGCATGATTTTGTAGTTTTTCAAAAAAAAATGTCAGATAGACATAAAAATTTTTTTGACATACTGTATTTGACATCTCGCGTGTGTGAAGTACAAACACCCCAGGCGTTTTTATTTTAAGTCAACACTTCGGCCAATTACTTTCTGGCTTTCCTCAGCGGATGTTATCTTTCAGGACAAATATCGAATTTCGCAGCAGCTAATTGCGAGTAGATGTTTCTCCCATGAGTCGTGATGGGAAAAATCAACAGCAGAAAAAAATTGTTATGTTTTTCATTTTTAGTCGGAAATCTTTTTTGTTTTTGGTAATAGAGCCTGAAAGTTCACCCCTAGTTGGTGGCGCCCTTCTTGAACCCTTCAATAGGAAAGTTAACGTGGAAAAATTATACAATTTTCAAATTTTGTTGGGGTACATATTTCTGTAGAAAATCTCCCTCGAAAAAAAAGGCTTTTTTAAAATTGTTACCAGCATCTCAATTTATGGAATCTGAAAAATCGCCTGACGTGAAAGAGAAATATCGTGTCAAAATTTACCTCTAACTTCCCAATTCTAAAATACGTGTGGACTAGTGGAACTCGGTGTACTCGTACAAAGATAAGAAATTATGAAATAAAACCACGCAATTACCATTCATCAATCTTCCCTCAAATGAAAAAAAAGCTGGTTCGACAAATGTGTTCAACCAAATCTGTTATTGATGATAACTTTTTTGTTGCTGCCATGGACATATTTATGATTACCTTTTCTTGTTGTCATGGATACTTCCCCAGGTAAGAAAAAAAGGGCGGATCCCACGGAAAACCAAGTCCGACCCTGGCAACACCCCGCTGGACGAACAAGCGAGCAGGTGATTTACTCTCTTTGTTTTACTCTCTTTCTCAATAATATTGTCATTCATTCGCAAATTGTTTTTCGTGGAAAGACAACCTTCGTTTAGTGCATAACAGTTAAGCGTCCATCTTTTATTTTTAAATAGCCTAATTTACAGAGAAAAACGCTTTGTCTTTTACTTGAATAAAGACAATTTGTTTTTCATTTCTGGTAAAATTTATTGGAAAAATTAACAAGATGCTGCCTTAATGCAGGTTTGCACTTGACGATAAAATGAAAATCTGAATAAATTTATGAAAGGTTATGACATTGTAAAATCAAAAAGGAAACAAATTACTAAATTAAAGGTCAATATTGAAGTGTTGATTAAAAAACAACGACTAGTGCCCTAAAGGCAAGGGCGGATCCAGAACACAATTTTTTGGGGGGCCAAAAAAATTGTTCCCCCCCCCTTCCCCCCCAAAAAATGAATCAAACATTAACGGCGTGGGGTCCAGGGCCCGCATAAGGGCCGGGGAAAAGTTTTGAATTCTAGATGCTCTGTGGTGCGATCTGGGGCAAGTTTTGATCACTTTAACCAATTGTTTTGAGCAAAAGATGATGGTATACGCAGTGGCTGCCTTTTTTGAGACGTCACTTTAAACAAAACAAAAATTGGGGTGTTTTTTTTTGGGGGGGGGCAAGGCCCCCTCCCCCCCCCCCCCCCCGGATCTGCCGTTGCCTAAAGGGGCCTAAAACTAGATATGTAAATAGGTATTTATCATAAAGCGATATTTAGTGTTTACTACATAGTGATTCCTCACTGACTTCTTATCCAATCATCAGGTATATAATAACGCTGTTACGCAGCACAGTTGTGATTCTCAATGTTGATTGGACGATGTAAGTTTCTTATTGCACTTGTTGTCCAATCAACAGCTCTGGAATGACGCCAGTGAGCTACAGAGTGGCGATTCTCAGTGTTTATTGGACGATATCTACCACAAGCTGGAACCCGTCTGGCAAGAGAGAGTTATCAAGGTACGACACAAAAACCAAACACAAACTGTCTCGAAATTTCATTTTTGTCTGTTATGCTGAGGGGAGGGTCCTCTTAGTGTGAAAAATTGGTGTGCGTGCCCACAATCACATTCGATTCACCCAATCATTGGAATTCGCAAGAAACATTTTTAGCTATGTTTTAATAATATTGTCAAAGAAGTTTTCTTCGATATTGTCACGACAATAGACGCTTAGCAAAACCGGATGTCGATTCGTTGTGTCTTAGACTATTCTTGTGAAACCTCTTTACAACGACCAAAGTTAGTGGGCAGTTGAAGACTCTCCATTTCTTGGCATTTTCTTCATTGACAAACTGGCCCCATCCCCTTTCATGTTTCCGGAAGTTGGACTATTTGAAGTTGAAATAAAAGTGTTCCACCCGAAGGTCACTTTGGTCAAAATCATGTCCTACATTTTGACGAAGCGATGTCGATGCCAGTGTGGCTAAAATTAGCAAATCCATGGTTATAATTTCAAAAGTGGCCATGAGTCGATTCCGCGGGTACAAGGTTACCTGACCCCTCTATAGAGCGTATCCAGGGCGCCGCCATATTGGTCTTGTACCCTGAGGCACGGATCACTTCCGAGTGTTACATTTCGTCAGTTTATAAGCCCGGTTGAAATTTGCGTCATCTAGGAAATTTTTTTATAATTCAACAGCTAGCTACCACGTCTGTGGTGTACAAGTTTGAGGTTTTTTTTCATGTCGTTAAGGTTTTGAGAACATCGTACCAAAGCTCTCATTTTTCCAGTTTGGCATCGAGATTTTCCGGAGGCAGCAGATTCAGATCCCACTTTGTAAATTTACTTTGTTCATCCCTTTATAGATCCAGCTGTTTAGTTCTTTTCTTAATTTATAAAAGATTGCTTATCTATTATGATGGCTGAAGCTTTAGGGGTGAAACTGAGTGAAATTGGCTACATCATCTTGTAAAACGCGTATAAAGTCAATTAAGCCCATAACATTTTTATTTACGACTTCTGTCTAACACACTGTCATTTTCCCTGTAAGCTCTTCTTTTTTATCGCCATTGATCACAACATCATTTCTAGTAAACCCATTAAATTTGTTTCGATAGACCTGACCTATTTTTCTCCATCAATTGATGTTCTCTTCAGTCGCTCATTCAATTTCAATGGCAGATGAATTGTTAATGATTTCATCGAAGTGCTAATCGAGAGCCCGGTCATACATCATGCCGTTCTCCGGCGACATATTACTCACTAGAAATTGTCAAGCCATCTAGCGCAGCAATGATGTTATGGAAGACTAATTTGGGTAGCTTTACCTGGTATTATGTTTGTTATTTAGTATTAAAAAGCGTTAGTTTGATAATGTCCACATAACACTGACATAAGGAGGCACACACAAAGCTATAGCCTATATAAAATACCTCTGACCATCATCAACACTACTCCCAACTCCTAAAACTGCACAACCGCTACACCATCCCAAGTTTAAACTAACATACTTTGGGTGGACCCTTTGGGTGGACCCTAAGAGCCACGGTACTAAACTCGAAACTCCAGCAACAGAAATTGTATGGGTACTTTTTTGGAGAGCAAAACTGCAGCTCGATGATAACAAGCACTTTTATATGAACTTGTCGAAGCTTTTTTTTTTTTTTTTTTTCCAAAGGATCCTCCAATGAACAAATGGAGCAAAGCGCTCCGCACACCGCGCTGAAAGCTAAGGCGGGGAGGAAATGAGCGGCTCGCCACAGCCAGTTAACCATCGTCGTCACAAAAGAAACAACGTTCATGCTGTGTGGTTTCAATTGTCAAAACAGCCACCAAAATGAATTATGAATTGTGAACAAAATAATTAGTTGCATGTGAAAAGCAAGGCTTTGTTTGGTGTCGCCCGGTCTGGAGGTTTTTTCTTGGCATTGATGAGACAATTAGTCGGGGAGAATTATGACCACAATATCATTAGCTGCTTCTACGTCATTAATTAGATTTAGGCTGCAGAAAAAAAACGTGTGTTAAAATAGATGCTTAAAAGTTCGACAACCTCGTAATATAATACGACCCCGTTATACGCATGCCTATCTATAGGTTGATTTTCATGTTGACTTACGTTTGAATTTCAAGACTAAGTCAGAAAATGACAATGATTCTCAGTTTGAGGTTTAGACCTCGAACGCAGGTCATCAAAACGAGACATCGAGTTGATGAGAAATAGTCATTCCACTAACAAATGGAAAAGAAATTCCGGGTTAGACGTGAACACAAGTAGTTAATACATTCAATTCAGTTCTCTTGCTCATCTTCCTTGGTTTTGTTTTTTTAATGGAAGGGAAATGGGTCGGCAAAATGACTTCATATCTTCAGAAAAAGCAAGACTAGGCTTGTCCAGTCGAGCGTGACCTAGGTGAGGTCTCAGTTATGGACTGTATCTATATGCTCAGTGACTCAGTCAGTCGGTCGGTCGGTCTGGACATTGAGTTTGGCATGGGCTCTGGATATTTGCCTCACTTCATGTAAAAGAAAAACACATTTAAAAATGTTCCCTGTTTATCTTCTTTAATGCTTTTTCTTTGTTTCATCTCTCACTCTCTTTCTGCAGTTACTGAAACAGGCAGCAGAGGGCACTGAGAAGTAATCTGTCGGCGGACGCCATTACTCTCTAGTGCGTTGGATCTGTACTACCGTGCCAAGAAATCAAGACGTTGTGTCAGCGTAAATGAAGAATCATGGCGAAAAAAAATATCACTTTGGTTTAAGGAATTTTAATAATAATAACTCAAGTTTAATTTTCCGCTCTCTGGTTTATATTTTATTGGTGTTTTTAGATTCTTTCTTAAAGCTCTGTATCCAATTTTCGCTTACTTTTGAAGTGTTTTGAAATCGCTCATTCTTTTTGCGGCGTCCCATCGTTCACTGCATGCGACTGAGGTTGATCATTCCAAGTGCGATGGACTAGGGGTTTATCAAACTATAGCGGGCAGCAATCATAATGAGTTTTTGAATGAGAAGTTTGTGTGACTTTTTTTTTAATTATCTAATGGGAACCAAGAGTTGGCAGGGAAAAATTTCACAACTTGTTTCCCCTGAAAGCAAAAAATCAAAAATAAGGCGACACGAACTAAATATTGAGTACAACATTTAAACAGGGCTCCCTAGTATTACTGTTTGCACATGAATGTGTTTATCCTGTTTTTTGTTTTGGTATTTTGTTTTTATTGTTAAAAAATATTGCCAACTTTTTCGCCAAAAATATTAGTCTTTAGATTACAAATAATTCCGTAACCGTGGTATTTTCGGCTACCAGAGTTTAACTGTTTGTATATAAATTACACAGAATTTTGCGCCGAACAAATTACGTACTCAATTATTCTAATTGTTTGCACCAGTAGAAAAGAGTCTCTGAAATGCAAAATACACATCAAGATGTATACTTTTTGAAACTACATACAAACCCAGCCCGTCACCTTTGGTTCTGCTTTCCTTTCCAGAGTTCACATGAAGCGTGTGGGGCAATAACATAATTACCGAAGTGTTCTACAGGGGACGAGGTTGATCAATAAGTCTTTATAATGCTGCCGACATCTTGGTCTAGTTTCCTGAGGCATAGTTGGTGCCCCTGCGCTGATTTTCGAATATAAACGTTGCCTGTCTAAGTTAATTTACCCATAAGACCTATGGGACAACCTCGTTTGACCTGAATAGATGGGTGAGCCACTTTTATTTGAAGGCGGGTGTTGTATCACTTAAATCTATACAGTTCACGCGACATCTTTAAAACTGAATGTAAAAGAGGATTGCATTTCTTGGGCTCATTCAATAGCACGGAACATTGTAAATATTTTTAGATGTAAAATTGGTATTTGACGAAATGTGTTTAACAACTGAAATGAAAAGCGTGTGCGGTAATTCGATTCGATGCATGTTAAACACTGTGCCCGCAAGTCGGCGAATTCGCAACACACATTAACGAAAGGTTTATACATTTCTGAACGTTAGCAAAGTACACAGTGAACTTAATTTTTTTTTAAGTATGTTGAGAACCCTCACAAAAGATGTTACCCAACACGTCTTAAAGCCTGGATCCACATCTTAAGTGTCGCTCTGTGTGAGTATCGGCATTTAAGGGGAGTTAAAACGATCCCTACTCGCACGTCCGTTTCCGTGAGAAAATAAAATACCTCCTGTTAAATACTTACGACAGAAATTTAGGAGTTTCTAATAACGGATACTTTCACTTTTCTCCAGTGACACCCCATCGACATGTTCTGTCTCTTCCTCCGACCTTGAGCAGCTCCATGCAGGAGTCACTACCCTATTATACAATATATTTTATCCCAAACCCTCAAAAACAATCAATAAAATATTTCACTCTCGAAGAACGGAAGCTAAGTCTTGACACGTTCACTGTCAGGTCCTAAATAATTCATCCACTATCGAGCAGAGGACAACATAGATATCATAAAAACGTCAGAAGAGTTCGTCGTCGGGAATATCGCCTCCACGATTGATCGGCGACATCAAAAGATTCCGACAGAATCGTTTTCCGTCTTCACAACTCATTTGTCACCATTTTGACAACTCGTTGGAATTTCTCATTGTTGAAGCGCGACGGTCCATTGAGAATTCAAGATGTCTTTCGACACCCTGTCCTGTTTGATGTAACACACTAGATATTTGCGGTCCTCGTGGGTTTTAGGGGTTGGAATGGGGGGGTAGATGCTTCAAGTCATCATTATTATCCTGTTAGTGTGTGAACTATCGCTGGCAAGAACGTTCGCAGACGTTTTGCTTGCTACGTCACACCATACTTTTTTTTTGCAAACCACTATGGAAAGCCACTTGTTTGTGGTTCCGAAAGCCACTTGTTTGTGGTTCCGAAACAAACAGTTTAGCATCTAAAAAAAACCTGAATTATCAACAGACACCACATAAAGATAAAGGAAGATAGCTTCCTCTTTCTCTCAGTATTTTTGATGTAAATGTTCCATTTAGGGTAAAATCGATAGCAATCAACTGTTGAAATGTATTGCCCTTTATGACCGCCCATACAAAATGGCGCTCAATGTGTAAAGGTCTGCGCCATCTTTAATTCAATCGCATCTGTCACGTGGTGCAGATGAGATACCCTTCTTAAGTTTAACATTGCAATTGGTGTTTAAACACACCTCTTACTGTTGGAATGATGAGGGCCCGACCTAAGGTTGTATCTTCTTTTTTGAGGCCCCTCCCAAAAAAAGTTTTTTTGTTTTGGTATTTAAATGTACAAACTTCAGCTATCAAGCAAACTTGAAAAGATTTTGCGTAGGCTATAAATACAGAAATGTGCATTTATTAGTTCAGTGCAATCGAAAAGTCAATGTTACAAAATCATCGAAACTTAAACTATAATATATTATGCACCGTATTTTTCTGATAAGGGGATAACTTGTTTAACTTTGCTGTTTAGTACATAAAAAAGGCCTAAATATCAGGCTTTGATTTTAAGACTTTCTATAAGCTATATCTCAGTGTGCATGTGAACACTCAATAAAAATCTATTCGTCAATATATAGCAATTTGTATACGAGTAGAAAGATATGCTATTTTGTCTTTAAATGCTAGTATTGCTAACAAAGATGTGATGTAGCCCGTTGTGAGATTATGTAGAGTATTATGTGTTCTCTTCGACTTCACGGAGGCTTGTCTGGACGCCTCAAATAAAGCTTGTGCCTTATCACACCATTAACAAATGTTATATAATAACTTTATTCAACATTCGAGAATATTAAAAAAAAAAGCCACAGTAGTTCGCGTACATGCGATTTTCTGTATGTGCATTGTGATTAAAGGGGCACTAGGTCCTGAAATCCCCGAAAATTTCTTGTTTTGGATTATTTACTAATCCTTTTTCAAACGTGGTTGAAAGGAAACTAACCTAATGTCTTACCGTTCCCGAGAAAAGACGAAAAAACCCTGGTCGTTTACATCGGACACAACGGAGCACGAATACGTTTTTCGTGTCGTTCCCATTTAGACGATTTACACATTGTGTGTCCCGGGAACAGCGGTGACCAATCAACAATGTAAAATAATTGTGGTTTCTTCAACGTCCGCAAAAGGCGAACACTTTACGCGTACGAATGAAATCACAACTAGCATCCAAACGGTTCGAATTTTGGGGGTCGCAAAAGTGGACCCCGAAATTCGTTCTCGCACGCATAATACAGGAATAACACAAAAACGACCAGTTTTTAAAGGATAGTTGTGTGGATGTTTCTATCCTAGTTTTAAATGTTCTTTCCGGTTAACATAATCTCGTTCAAAGCGCGTTTTGTAACCCAATTGGGCTGTTCCAGGACCTAGTGTCCCTTTAAGATCGAGGTTTGAAGTGTTGACGCGAATCCTGTGCTGTTGACGGTTTTGTTTTCACGCTTGTTTTCATCCGCTTGCACACAATCCCGCGCCTTAATTATGCAAAACGACACCTTGTCTTGGCCTCAAGATTATTTGACCATTCAGCGGGCGCCTTCTATCAGGTCTTCGGTTTAGCTTGTACCCATCGCCCCGCAAACAGCATGCTGGGAAACGCTGATGAGCTTCACAGAATCTTGTGAAGGAAGTGGGAATGGCATCCTGGATAATTTATCAAGACCTATGGAAAATTCATCAATATAAAGCATCCGAATGCAGCTGTTCAAGACCGTAGCAGTAGCCAATGCACAAAGCTATCCGAAAATGTTCTCATAGAAATGTGCACAATCCATACCGGATGTGATTTCTTTTTCATTGCGGACCATGTAGAGAAATTTTGAGCGCGCCGCAAATACTGCAATCATTGACCGTTCGTGAATTCGAAACGGAGCCTGGGCAAATGACGGGAATTGCAAATTTACAACATACAAAAGTTTTACAGATTTTCCTACATTGTTACGCTTTTCAACGAAACAAAGCATCTATGAATTGGAATAAAAGAGTAGTGAATCAGTCTTATTTAACGGCCGTTTAAAACCTTGCAGAGTCATGGCCGTGATAACTTGCAGGTCACAGGTTACGCAAAATCCAACCAATCAGAGCGTAAATTCATCAGCGTTTCCTAGCGTCATGTTTGCAGGGCGGGGGTACGAGCGAAGTCTTCGGTAACCCGTTGTTGTATAAGCCCGTTCGGTATTCCAATTGCGTATGCATGTGTACATCAAAATAATTGGACAATTTTTCTTCCGGGATAAAGATTTCATTGTATGCATGAAATTGAAGAGATCGTCGTGTTATGAAGTGACATTTTGCAAGAAACGTTTGGGTGGCAAAGTTTTTTTAGGTGTTGTGTGTCCAAACTTTTGGGCGAACGAAAATGTTGATCTCTTTTCGATTGCACGAAACATTACACAGAATGCAGATTATATCTGCTGCGTTTATCCCGAACGCAGTCGAACCTTGTTGTGCACCGGACTATTTTGGAATACCGAACTGGCTTATTACAAGTGACGTCACAGTTTCTAAAGTCGACTTTGATTGGCTGGCAAGCGGAGTCGCATACATTTGCGCTGCACACAGTATATCAGACGTCGTTGAGGAGATAGCGTATACGGCTCCGTTTGAATAACGTACGGATGATACTCAGACTAGTTTTGTGTTTTGAAGTGAAGAAAATTATGTGTATGTGTCACAAATAAACTTTAAAAGGTAATATACAACATTTGAAAACATCAAAAAACAAAAATACTCAGTTAATTATGAAATATGTTACATGGCTGTTTAGTGAATAATAGTCTCAAACATTCTGTGAAATCATTGCACATAATGTGCTGTTCCTTTCAAGAAACGTGCAATTTATGTATCCATTTCCAACGATTGTTGGCCGACCATCTTTAGAAAAAAAACTGAATTTTTTGTCTTCAAATAATTTAGCAAAATTTAGTTAGTCCACCTTCTATTTGCAATCGGTTGCACATCCGTCAACGTGTGCAAGCCAGCTAGTCTGGTTCCCTGACCTGACAATTCCACGACGTCCAAATTGTTCCGTTACGTCTGAAGTAGGGTCAGGGGGACCAGACTACAAGAACAGCATTTGTTTCCTTGGGTTTTTTTTCCCCAACATCTATGAACGCAAAACTTTAAACAGGTCAGTGTAACAATATTTGCTATAAAACACTTACCCCCCAATCGATCTATTTCTGAAAATTACACCAAATTTAAAGCAAATGTTGTATATTATACCTTGGTGAGTTAAAAGGTGAAATTTAGTATTGAAAACCTCTCCCCCTCCTACATTTTGGTACCGTCCAGGACAGCAAAGTATCAACGATGCCAACTTCTTTGTACCATTCAAGTACAACAATGAGATAATATAACCATTTCTGATAAGTGGCTTTTTTTACGTTTTCCAACCCACATCTCCTGTCATAATTATTAGCTATTTATTTAAACCACACTATGTAAAAGAGGTGTGTTGACTGAAAATGACTAAGCACCCCTTGGGGTATAAGTATCTTCTCATCTTAAAGTTCCCTAGTGGATAATTACGAGGGCCTCTTTAATTATGAAGTCACTCGAGAAGATGAGTAATGGAACTGATGCCAAATATTGAGACCGTTAGATGGACCTATTGAGGAAGCCTTCGAGTAAAATTGGCTGGGGTGGGAACCTCCGGGACATGTAAAAAGTGCCTTGTGCCATCAACGATTAATGGGGAAAGTGGGATGTAAATCTTCCAGAGTGAAACCAACAGCTTAATCATATCGTCTCACAATACAATGTACACGTTTTTAAACACGAAGAAAATGGCATCTGTTTTCTAACGTATTCATTGATTAAGTGTAAAAGCCGACAGCGATATGTCACATGCCAATAGTTTTTGCTAGCGCTGTCGTGACGTCGCAAATTCGCTTTCGCGCAGAGTATGGACCGACATTTCATCTCATAAATTATTTCATTCGTGAGAACGGATAATACAGTTTAAGGTGGAGAAAGCGGAGGTACTTTGGACATGGCCATCTTAGAGCAGAGACTGTCTAGCTCAAACTCCACGTCCAGCATAGGAAAAGCTTGCCGAGGCCGTAGCTTCGATGGTGAACTGAGTGTTGCCTTCGACTAGGCCTACCTCTGGTGCAACCTAGAAATCCAGAATGAAATGGATGTTATAAGATTTGGGATGGCGAATGCAAAAATAAAAGATAATACCACTTAAGGTCTTAAGATATAGAAAAGTTATACTGAATAATTAATGTATGATCGACAGAAACGTTTGACTCTCCTTGTATGATGTTCGGGGTGTGATATGCGCCTCTACTTTAGCATTCTGGTTGGCCTGCATGCTTGAGTGCAGTTCTTGTAGAAGGAGTGCTTTTCTTTAGGTGTGAGACTGTAGGCAGGGGGTAGTTCCTTGATAATTGAGTGAGTAGGCAAGCCCCAGTCAATTATTATCTTCCCCTCCCATGCAACTTCGACCCTGCTGGTGGGTTCTTATACATCATGTATTACAACAGTGCAAGTTATATGCACCAATCCGGCGTCGTGTAGCTCCATCAAGCCTTGCGTGACGTCACAGCAGACGTGCATCCACTTTCGTGCCTTCAGGCCGTCCACGTACCGAGCCGTCAGGAAATCCAGGGCCGAGTTGTCACCTCCATCCCCTATGAACTCCTGGGCAAAGGAGGAGTTGTCGATCACGCCGACCAGCTTCGGGAAGAAAGGCCCTGGGAGGAGCATATACAGCTTGCATGGCGGCCACCTCTCGTAGCATCGCCTTATCCACTGTCTGATCCTGAAGCGGTTCTTGGACAGTCTCTTGATGGCAAGGAGAGTACCGTCGTCATGGCGACGCATCAGTAATACCTCTCCGTTGTCACATTTCCCAAAAGCCCTGTCCGCACTGCAGGGCTTAAAAGACTAACTTGGGTCCAGACTTATCCATGACGTACTCCAAGTCACCCGAGTCGATGGTTGGATAGAGACCTCGTAGGTGGCTATGTACAATTTCTTCAGACATGATGGTGCAATCTTAGATGCGTAGTGTTAGATGGCGAGGTATTCCCGATGCTTGGAGTCTTGATTTTTTTGTGATTTTCCAGATAAGGTAATCCTTAGACTTGAAATGTTGTCCTGAACTTGCGAGGATGCAATGGACTTTTTCTTCTGCACTGGAGAGGCAGAACTCTTTTGGTGCTCATAATTATTGACACGATCGAGGCTTTGAAAGGGTTGCTACATTTCTTGAATTCCAAGAGCTCGTATAAACTGATGTATTGAAAGCTACTGTTAATGTTGGCTTTCGAGACGTTGTTTTTGTATCGTTACTATAAACACACCGAGGTTCTTTATTTTGCATCACATTTTTTAGTTACTTACCGTTATTTTGGGTCTTTTTAGCTCTATTTTGCCAGTATTCTATTTTTTTTCCAGTATTCTATTTTGGTTGAACTACGGTATTCTATTTTGGTTGAACTACGGTCACCACGTGAGCGTGCTTACACTTCCCCTCATTTTTGGTTAAAAAAGAAACCCAGTATGGCACTTTAATTCTCATGTAAGTGCTTGCACATTTTGCACGCAGATAGATTTTGAATCAGTGGATATTATTGCCGGTCATAGCTAGGGATGGGGGCGTTATAACTACTATCGGGGTAAAACAAAATCATGGGGTTTTTTTTTTATTTTGTTCTAAACTTTTTCAGCCGAATTCGGCTCAAATTGTGTACAACTACAAATGTTAAGAAACACTGGAAATCAAACAAAACAAACATCTTTTGCAACGATGGAGGCCACATTGGAATCCCTGGCGGCAGTCGGCGATCACGAAGTTTGCATTAAATTAATGTTGGCATTGCTGGACCTTATTGGACTGTAGAGGGCGCTCTTATTATCTTTTTCGTGGACGGCAAACGATGCCGCACAACGATTTCCACCCTCAGGCTAATCGTCTGGGAATCACCCTATTGTTAGATTTCTCGGACGAGCCGTAAAAAAATCAATCGACCGTTCACCTCACATTTTCTTTATTTTGAAGGCCCCAGGGCATCTGTTCTGTTGTCAATTACAAATTCAATCGACCGTTTACTTCACGTTTTCTTTCTTTTTAAAGCCTCGGGACATGTACCCATGTCTAACGTTGCCTCTGTTCCGCTGTGTCAACCTATCAAGATAATTGACAAGGAAAAACCATGGCACTAGACAGGATGGAGAATCGATTTTTCGAATCTCGAACCTCCGCCCAACACCAAATCGTTCAGTGAGAACTGCGAGAGAACAATACCTCAATAAAGATTTAACGATTTCTTTTGCTATACGAATAATGCATCATTCGAAGGAAAACCGGTCGTCCATTTTGCCGATGCTGTCTTCCTATATATATACTTTTGTGTACCTTCGCTGGCAAAAAATGTGGGGAATTTGTCAACTACGGTGTCCATTTTTTTTTTTTATAGAAAAGGCTTATTTTCTGGATTACTGTTTGGTTACTCTATATCAGTGGACGACATACTCAAAAGCAAGCCCATCATAATTTAATTATCCATCTCTGCATCTCAGCAGATTTCTATTAAAAAAAGGGGGCAAATTTGTTCTATTTCACTTAATCAGGTCGAGATAAGAAGATCAATGCTGCATGTATACTTAAAACAAGAGAAATTGTCGATAGAAATTCCAGTAGCATATATAATTAGGTTGATTTCACAATTGTTTTTTAAATCTATAATATGCTGAAAATGACCACGACAAAAAAAAAATCTTGAAACTCGCGATCAAGTTGTCACCGAGCCGAGCTGTCACAACTTCGGATGACTTAATAAACCTGTCGTCTTAAAGTGCTAAGATTAATTGCACCCGGCCGTCTTTTTATAGAGTTCCGACCAATGAAGTCAAACCCAACGATGGCTCTGGTTAAGACTTAAATAATCATTTGTGTCTTTTGGACTATTGTCCCTCGCGAAATCGGCTTATCTCCACCTGACGTACGTCGATGCCTACAGCGTACACGCAAGGTCGTGTTCTTCCCTTTGAGACAAACACGTTGAACAAGTTAATAATTGATTGGAAAGTTGTTCATTTTTACACCTAGCTGCTGTCAAACACAAGTATTATACAATCGTCTGGAAAACCTCTTTATTGGAGTTGCACCTTTCGTCTTGATGATATAGTGTATAACGAGTGCGTCTGGCGGCCAGGAATCAATTAACGACAACTCTTGTGTTTCAGCGCGGCTTGCAAGCTGGTCTACAATTCCTTGCCCTTTTGCTATACGAGTGCGGACCGTACCAAACGATCTCTGACCGGGACGTCATGTCCGAAGCAGGGGATGCAAAAGGGGTTTTTGCGAGGTAAGATTTCATCACTACATAGATGAGGCTATCTTATCTTACGTTTGTTTCTCTTTTAAGAATCATTCTCAATTTTAGTTGATGTCATCTTACGTTTGTTTCTCTTTCAAGAATCATTCTCAATTTTAGTTGATGTTAATCATTATACAATGTAACGAAATTTTTAATTTTTTTTTACTTTTGTTTCAAACGAGCAAGGCTTCATTATGTGACGGTTAGGAAAATGTCATTGAGGAATTAATTCTGGCGGAGGAATACCAAGTCACATTGATTATCACATTATCAAACATCCGTGTTTTTATATTTTGTTTTTATCAATGGTGCTTATATGCCTAAGGGCACAACATAATATTTGCTGGTCAGATCATGTTCAATCTGAACGGTGCAAATTTTCATTACCATGGAAACAGTAGTAGCATGACTAAGGAGGGACATGGAGTGTCCCCCTGCCCTAGCCCAAAATATTGGGAAGGTAAAAATGAACTTTTTATTGTAAAAAAAAATCAAATTGTGAGTCGCCTTCCTGAAAATGAGGTCCCTATATAAATTTCCCCTCCTGTAAGTTAGAGCTCATTACGCCCTTGGGACACCTGACAACACATAAAAAGAAAATGGAAGAAGCTAATTATTAAATTCTGATTTCTCACCATTTTTAAATCACCGAGTGCTGATCCAGAACACAAATTTGTTTTGGGTGGGGGCAAAAAAAAAAGGAGTGGGTCAACAAAAATACGACGTGGGGTTCGGGCCCCGCTAGGGCACGGAACATTTTTTGGAGACTAAAAAAAATTTTAGGTTTTTTTTTTGGGGGGGGGCGGGCCATCGTTGGCCCCCTGTATCCACCCTTGGAAATCACTGGACCAATGGACAACTAGTTGAACTAACCGTTTGAAATAGTTAAACAAAAGATATTGGAAAATTCCGTGTGCACATGTTTTCTCCTGTGATTCCTTAGTGATAGCCATAATTAACATGTCGGGTTTTTTTACAGTCCAACTTTCTGTAAGGCAACTTTCTGTAATGTCGGGTTTTTTTACAGTCCAACTTTCTGTAAGGCGAGCCATCAGATAACAGACCGTTCGGGTACCGGGTCCGGTATGCTAATTTCTTTCACCCCAATCGGTACGAAGCCAGAAGCCACCCGGTCACTGAAGCGTGACGCCCCAATCGGTCCAAACTGGTGACTCAGGGTTTCACAATAGGCAACATAAATTGAAGTCTGGCCATTGTTGGAGGATTATTCGGCCCGCTCGGATTATCAGCGGCAACTTATATGAAGCTCATCACAGTCATTGTTGCCTACTGGAGGATTAGCGCATCGCAAATTGTTTCCTTTGTGATGAGCCAGAGCCATGGTGCAGAAGCCTGGTGGAGTTAATCCAGGCCGATCGGTTCCATGCAAGGTCCCAATCCCTTCAACATACTGGGCGGGCTCAACCCCGAACGGTCCGGGGAGGGATTCTAATTGAGGGCTCGCCTAAATGAAGGTTTCGTAAAGACATTGCCGATTAGAGTGTTACACACCGAAATAACCAAACAAATGTGTATGGCGTATGGGCCCTGCGTCTACAATTTCTTGCCCTTTTGATGGTAAAATAGCATAACTCGAAAATTGAATTAATGAAAGTTGTACAAAAAGTCAACTTTATAATCAATTTGTATGCATTTGCCGCAAATACAAGTACACTACACGTATAAGACTTTGAGGGTAACAAAACACGTATCTTACGTAAATCATAACGTAACAGTATACACTAAATAAAATGACTTGTACGCGTATTTTTTTTAGCGAACAGCTAAAGTTCAACTCAATACGTGCAGGCTATTAGACTGAAAATTACACAGTTTACCATTAATAAATACTGGGATAATATCGGACGCAATGTCGCGCGACTATTGAGCTTCACAATATTGCCTATGCGTTTCTCATCATCTTTATTTTATAAAATTAATGTAACTCTGCTCTTTCAAAATGTAGGCTTTTATGACTAAGCGTCGTATAGTGATATTTTTTATTTTTTATTTGTGCTAAAAACATTTTTTTTTCACATCCCAAATGATTGGCGAAGCATTGTCCTGAACACTGATTGACAACAGAGGGCGCTGCGATGTCTGCCGTTGTTGTTGCTAACCAACGGATCACTGACTCTTGGCGGATTGATATCTGGTATCGAGGACTGATACTTATTTTATTCCACATTTTGACAGAAATGAAAAGTACTGTTTGGTGACCATTTCAGAGAGGTGTCATTCCGTACTCCGTTTTAACAAATATCGATTTGAAATTGTCATATTAATAAAAGATTATGATTTTTTAGGACTATATTTTGAAATAATGTGAGGCGCATGGGTACATTATTTTGATTACTTGAATGAGTGTGCGTCGCGCGAGAGCGAAGAGATTGATGCCTGAATTTGAGACTTTACGGTAGAGAAATTGGTGTAAGTTGACAATTCTTCAAACTATGATTGAATGAGGAAGTAATTATTTGAATTAATTCGATCTTTGGGTGGTTAATGATAAGTTTTATTCGGAGGGACACAGCCTCACAGGACCGGTGCTAGACATGCTAGACTCGTCCGTTGTGCCATGTCGAAGTCAGTAGTTGTGCCGGTGCCGGTGGGTGCCCGCGCCAACTCGACCGTTCTGCCGACATGGCCAACTCGGCCGTTCTGCCAACTCGACCGTAGGGCCTACATTAATTTTAAAATTCTTGAAAATCGGCACAAGTTGCGCTAATTGGAGAAGATTCGTTGGAACAATATTTATTATTATAAAGTCCAACTAGAAATACTACCTACATCATTACATGTATTGTAAGTTGTTTGAGACAACATGACCATGACTCCATTTGATTTAGCCCCACTAGTGTGGCCGTCGGTATGCTGCGCTGAACCTTTGGCCACACACCGTGGTACCGCGCGCTACTGAGGACGAAGTTTTTCATAAAATTCAGGGCAGTTTCTTACATTTTCAGTTTCTTACTTTCTTATGGTTGTATTCTATGATGTCTCCTATCACTTCTGGGATGCTTAGCATGTGCTTAGATCTAATGATGTTCCATTTTCCGAGATATTCTTCAATCTTTCTGGAGCCCATAATGCACTCGTGAAACGTCTGGTGGTGGCAGCCATTTTGAATGTGACAAGAGATGACCTCAAGCTGTGACGTCGCGTTTATGCAAATTGCTTGTCGAGCGCGCGAGGGCGCGAGTTGCAAATGCGACGGCTGTTTCCTGTGCCGTAGATCCTGAATAGAGATCGGTGCACGTGGCCCCCTGAAGATAAATGCATGGTACAGGAAACAGCCGTCGCATTTGCAACTCGCGCCCTCGCGCGCTCGACAAGCAATTTGCATACACGCGACGTCACAGCTTGAGGTCATCTCTTGTCCCATTCAAAATGGCTGCCATCACCAGACGTTTCACGAGTGCATATGGACTCCAGAAAGATTGAAGAATATCTCGGAAAATGGAACATCATTAGACCTTAGCACATGCTAAGCATCCCAGAAGTGATAGGAGACATCATAGAATATAACCATAAGAAAGTAAGAAACTGAAAATGTAAGAAACTGCCCTGAATTTTATGAAAAACTTCGTCCTCAGTAGCGCGCGGTACCACGGTGTGTGGCCAAAGGTTCAGCGCAGCATACCGACGGCCACACTAGTGGGGCTACATTTGATTAAAAAAACGAAGTGGCTATCGTTACGGCAGCCGTTGTTTAGCGCCCTCTACGATCCTTTTTTGATACGCACGCAGGTATATAATTATTTGTTTCCCTACAACGTTTTAGCGAGCAGTGCGACAGCTCAGTCGATAGATTAGAGGGTAGGATTTTGCACCGCGAAGTTGCGGGTTCGCAATTCTCAGTTTTGCACTCGAATTATTTTTCATTTTCTAACTTTAGGCTTTGGATTGGAGGATTTTTTTTTAAAGGGAAATAAAGTCCGAATTTCATAACGTTCAAATTCACTTTTTTCCTTCTAATTTTATATTTTCTCTCATGTTTTTATAAAAGTTGAAGTCTACCGTAACGATAGAAAATGGGAAATGCGTTACGGCTGCCGTAACAATAGCCACTGCATTAAAAAAAATGCCTGATCATGCATGTCGATGTCAGTCACGGGCAACAGCGGATCCAGAGCAGAGAGGTTGCTGGCGGGAGGGGGGGGGGGGGGAGGGAGGGGGCGCCCCCTCCACACCTCCCTGGATGCGTCACTGACTGGCACGTAGTCACTGAAATACATGTAGCTTCATGAGACCTGCAGCTGCAGCAGCAGAAAATATGTTGACATTTTTTGGTGTAGGCCTACATAGCCCGACAGCATCTGGCCGTACAGTAGGCCTACTATTTACTAATACATGTATTAATCGCAAGCTCTGTAGTACGGCCAGACAGCCAATGCTACCCTAAACGCTGAACTCTTATGTAGCAATTTTGCTACTGATTTGGATCAAGATTATCTTCTCAGGGACAGAAATTTCCTAAATTAAGGTTCCCAGTGCAGTCGTAGCGATAGTGCAGTCGGAGCTTGCGATACGGCTAGATGCAGTCGGGCTAGCCTACTCGTTAAATGTGTTAGCCTACCAGCAACCACTTGTTTTGTACCAGCCTGTATACTTTAGTTGTATTCATGTTGAGGCTGAGTTGATATGTTACATATTACTTCTCAGAGAGCCAGGGTTTGTGTCTGTTTCACGTCTGCATGCATGTATTCCAAGCCTTAACAATGAGCAAGTGAGTATCGTGGTAATTTTTCTAGCGATCCGCTGCATTTCACGTCACCCACCTGCATATATCCACAGACGTGTCATCATTTTCATTGGCTGCTTCATTTGTACCAACAACCTTCCCTGAAACGAATGCAGTGTTAGGGTAAGAGTTTGCGGAGCATCGTGGTCGAATGGTTACGGTGTTTTCGACTCATGCACTGTGATATGTGGGTTCAAACCCTGCTAAGGAAAATGACGCTTGTGTTCTCGGGCAAGACACTTTACTACAATTGCCTCTCTCCATCAAGGAGTATATATGGGTAAATGTGAAGGTAGGGACCAGATTGCGCTGATCTCGAGCTGCTGCTGTAAAATTGTATCATATGGCCTGATGAACAGGGTTATTAATTGTGAAGCGCTGTGAGACCATTGATATAAAGCGAAGCACCACATTACTATGACAATTGTTACGATGTTTATGATCATCCTTAGACTACACATCTGTGCAATGGAAGTTAAAATGTCACTTAAAATGCAATACTACATGTAGAGTCCTAGAAAATGCTGTAGTGTAATATTATGCTCCTGTTAGAAAATCTCACCAATCTTCTTTTAAGCATTTGGAGAAAAAAAAAGCAAAGCGCTGTCACGGCTTTTACATTATCATTTGCACTGTCATTAAACGAGGGACATCATTTTCAATAATTTTTTCAAGTTTTTTCATGTAATTTGCACAACATCTGCATATTTAGCACTTCCCTTATAGCGAGAATAGAACTTTTAAAAACCAAATGAATAAACAAATGCTCGCATCAAAGCACCTTCGCTGTTGTCACTAGTCACATGATCAGAGATTTGCTTAAGAAACCACTCAAATCATTGCATTGGGCTGAGGCATCATGTTGTTGGTCCTTTTTGTTAATGTTTTAGGAATGGCATATCAAATCTTATTTTTTTTCAACAAAAGTGGACATTTCCCACAACTTTTGAGCAAATTAAATCATCTTTGTCATCCTAGTAGCATGTTGCATATTATCATCCAGTTCCATCATTTTGCATGATTTGAAGCAAAATGTTTTGACAGCTTTATCACATTTGTTGTGTTAAATAAATCAGCCATCATTTGACAACTTGATAAATCATGCCTTGGCATTGTGTTATAATCCTAAATCTGAAAAAAGAGGTCACGGTTCATGACTGAAATAAAGGTTGTGCAATATTCACGGCTTATAATTGAAAGATGAAACTGAATAAGACCCAAGATTTGTTTCATGTTTGCCTTTTTCCTTTTTTTACAGCGCTGCAAAGAAAGTAAAGATGGGTAAGCGAGTGGAGAAGGCGTTGAAGGAGAAGGCGGCTGCCTCCTCGTCTCAAGAAGCTACCGAGGAGGATGCAAATAAGGCTCCAGGTGAGAACCCTTTACTGGTAACATAGCAGTACAGAATTCCTGTCAGACAATGCTTTCTGCTAGGCTGAGCTAGCCATGTGTTGATCCTGTACGACTTTCAGCCAGTCTTTTCATTGATAGGGTTGTTTGTTAAACCAGGAAGTTGATTTCTCGTTCTACTTCAACAGAGCCCTACACGTGTATCGGTCACTTTGATGCCGACTTCACGGAGCTCTGCCGGCGTGCGGGCCTCCCTCCAACCGAAATCCCCCCTGTGGTGCTACGAGCCAAGAGACCGGGCACCCCTCCCCCTCCAGACCCCAAGGCTAAGGACCCCACGCCCCCGGAGGAACCGGTCGACGTTGCGGAAGAGGAGCCAAAACCCAAAACCTACGTCACCAAGGAGAAGTATTCATACTTCAAACCAAACATACAGGTGGAGATGGAGCATGAAGAGAAACCGGCAACAGTGACTGAGATCTATATCAGAGGTAATTAGTAATAGACCCATCCACTAAGCCTGCAAAATCCTCTGTTATATCTTGAATGTGGTCCTTGGAGGGGTGACCACTGCCTCACTCCTGCAAAATCCTCCAGCAATCACTGTCGATATGTTGAGGCAGAGCCAGTGACATCCTGGAGCAGTGCGGAGGATTTCAATTAGGCCTAAATTTATGCAAGGCTGAGCATAAACAACACAAGGTCCAGCCCAAGATATTGACACAGTGCATCCCTCAAAATCAGCCACACATTTTTGCTATTATAGTCTCAATTCTACAAAGTCCTCCATTTTGCAAATAGGATTTTGGAGGATTTGGGAAGATTAGAGTTAGCGATAATAAAAAGGTTATATTAAACCTCTAACCATAATTAGATGTCAAATTTGAGGTAGCACCATACTCCGGTGGAGGTAGTATTCTCCCCTCTCCTTCAATGCTCCTTCGATTGATAAAGTGTTCAGTACTTGCTAAATTGCATATTCAAATTATAGTCAATGTCATTCAAATGTAATGCTTTAACACTCCTAGTGTATGATCAGTCACAGACAGTCAAAACTTTCGTCCACTTCCCCTGCCATGCATTTGTATGCTGTCTAGTAAAAAAAAAAAACGGTTCAAAATCACTTTCGTGTACACGCTGTGACGTCAAATTCCGACAACAGACAAACGAGGTAACTGGTACATGTAGGTACAGCTGGCATATCAATCACCTCCAGTCAAACATGGCTATATCAAATTAACAAGGGAATTCATTAACTGTTAAAAATGGTCGCTTGATTGATTTTGACTGCTGCGATGGTGTAGCTGACTTTGCCAGCCAGAGAGGGAGGGTTTAAATGCTGGGACGTGAGAATGGTTCCATAATTGTCGCAGAGCACTGCCCATTCAATGCTCACAACGATTTGATAATTTTTGATTGGACTCTGCACATTGTTATCCCATGCAGGTTGGAAGATAGACGACATGATGGTTGATATATTCAGAAACTGCTTTCCAACGATAGAAAAGCTCAACACCATTAAGTAAGTAGTGAAACAAATTTATAAATCAGTATTTTTCTTAGGAAAAAAAGGGGGTTTGGAAGCATATGTGGTATCAAACAAATACTTTTATCATCTGATATATTCAGGATGAAATGTTGGCCTCTTTTAACCCCAACTTCAATGAGTGATTTATTGGGAACCTTCCTCACTCTTGCAGATTCCAACACCAAATGGTAAACTCTACACCCAAACTGTTGGACTCTGATTATGGTGGCATGCCTGACCACATGTAAAGCATAATCAGTGTACTAGTGCAGTACTCGCTCCAACAGATTCCAACAAAACATGCAGTTGGATTTTGATGGGTTGGGGTGGTTAGGGTGAAGAAAAGAAGTTGTCATTGGAAGTTCTATATAATTTATAAATTGTCTTTTTTGTTTTCAAGTTTATGGAATGTAGGATTGACGGACAAAACCCTGAGAGATTTAGCTGCAATCTTCCCACAGTGCCCAAACCTAAAGTAAGTTCAAATTGTTCATTCTGTGCCAAAGAGAAGGCTTCTTTTCTCTCGAGAAGAGATGGATTTTTTTGACGATTTGACATTCACATTATGTTATTTTCATTTCTCTTTCTCATTCTTTTGATGCTGACAAAAGCACATCTGATAGAATTTTGATAACAATTTCTTTGGAAATGGTTTTGTAATTTCGATATCCCAGTGGACCTGAGAACTCAGTTGGTAAAGTTTTACAAAAGTTGGAGGTTCAGTCAATTTTCTTTGCATTATCAAAAAAGGAAATTGGTTTCTATTTTTGGTAGATTAACATGTGTCAAAAACATATCGCATAATTATATTGAATTTCTGTGGATTTGTTGTATCTGATGAAACAATGCGATTACAAGCCAAAAGATCAGAGGAATCGGGTTTTTTTACTGGAATAAAAAACATTCTTGCCTCCTTTGCACTATCAAATAATATTTTTTTTTCTTCCTTTTTTTCCCACAGAAATGTGTCAATTGAAGGCAATCCAATTGCAGAGGAGCCATGGGCATGTCTTATTGGAGATGACAGCCTGTAAGTCATCCATCAATTCAAAAACTAATTTTAAATGGGACCATAAAAATCAAACCGGGAAAGGGGCAAGTTCCTTGCTCTATGTTGCAACACATTTGAAATCTGGATAATGCCTTAAAGCTATAGTCCATCATTTGCAGCCATCCGAAAAGTAACTGGCGTAATTATTGTTGAAAAACAAACTTGGTTGAAAGATAGTAAGGGGACTAAACTCCCTGTGAAATTATTCTTTCTGGGAAGCTGTCATTTTGAAGTAATCAACGAAAGAAGGCATTTCCAACGGTGATTCTTAAGAAGCACCGTAGGAAAATTTAAATTAGTAGTTCGTTTTGTTATTCAGCGCAGCGCGCACAAGTATTGGAACGACGCACACGCGCGCGCGGTTGTTATAATTTGTCGGATCAGTGCGCAACGTCGCGTATAGCTGCAATTCAAAACAATTCAAAACATGATTCAGTAACTTTTGATTTGAAATTGAGATCTTAGAATGCTGTTTTTTCTCGGAATATACAGCTGAAGCTGAGCTGAAACTTCATCAAGTAAGTTGTTCAGTATCCTTCATTAGATTTTAAACACGTTTGTTGCTTCGAACGAACAAAATGCACTAATTACAAATGATGGACTATAGCTTTAACTCTGTTACCAAACTTACTTGCGTGGATTTTGTATAATGAACACAGTTGTTTAATCTTTAAAGCCATTAAATTGTCAATGTTTGCCTTGATGTAAACCGTCTTTGAATTTGGCATGCTCAAGACTCGTGTGAACAGAATAAATTGTGTCCGCAAAATGGATTGCAACAATTATTTTGCCAAATAGCCATCTAAGGTACCTGTGCAGAGCCTATTGACAATCCACCAACCCCAATTAAAAGTCATCACGCGAGTGGCTTGAAGGCAATGCGCAAGTTGTACGCACGTGGTCAATGTTCCTTCAACTAATTGCTGCTGAAATATGCTTAGGGCTCAATTTTAAGAATGCTCGTGCCATGCCTGAGAGGTGTGGCACAACATCAGTAATATTTCGAATTGTGGTTGCAGAATTATTCTATAAATCTAACTTGTCAGATACTAACCACCTTTCTTTTACCATTCTCCCAACAGAATTGTCAACCTGTCCCTACGCCACAACGAGATCACAGACAGAGGGGCTTCAGGCATCGGGGCTGCCCTATCCACGGTCACGACATGCAATAAGAATCTCATCTCACTCAATCTCAGCCACAACAAGTTCTCTGATGTCGGAGCTGAGGCAGTCGTCAAGGTAAAGAGATATTTTCCAATTTCTGTCCTGTTCCGTTTGAAACACTCCATTTTGAAGGTAGAGAGTTTCCAAAAGTTGCCCCGCACAGTTATCAGCACAGACAAGATTTCTGTTGTTAGCAAAGACTTGGAATTAACCTCGGGTGTTCTCAGGATAGTCCCACTGGAAACGGATCGGCATAATATCTTGCCATTTTAATCAGCACACTCGTGTTGTTACTGTTATTTTTCCAGGGTCTTCGCATGAACAGGGTGCTTCTGTGCCTTTCGTTAGCAAGCAACAAGATCACAGACAAAGGAGCGGTCAAGTTTGGTGAGTTGCTGTCCCGATTCCCACTCACGCACGAAGAGGTGGTTGAGAGAAGGAAGCTACTCAGCGACAAAGGCTCGCCTGACAGGGGTACCGGCAAATCGGTGAGTACCAGCTTTCCAAAAAATGATTGTCATCTATACTACAATTCAAGGAATCTCTGTCTGTCTGTCTGTCCGTCTGTCCGTCTGTCTGTCTGTCCGCCGATTATCTCCAGAACCGGGCACCGTATGGAGATGAAAATCGGCGGGTGCATTGCTCAGGACAGCAGAATGTGCAGTGTCGATTTTGAAGTGGTTTGGACCAGGGGTTGTCGAAAAAGCTGCAAAAAAGCAGTATTTTCTGAAGCCCAGCGCGCCAGAATATAGCCTACAACTCCGCGCACTGCTGTTCTTTTCAATTGTTTACGTCATGTTAAAGCAAGAGCGCGCGTGCTCAATATGACGCAAACAATGCAAAAAGGACGGGCACGCGCACGTGCATTGTAGGGCGATACCATTGTCCAGTATGGATGAATAGCACTGCGTACCATATGTTTCCGTACGTGATGCATTTTACAGTCGATTGAACCACTATTGTAAGCGGTGGACTGAGCAACCTTACTCACGTAGGTGAGTAGCTGCACGGGCGTATTGGTGAATATCAGTGCCGGGGATGGCCTGGTGACATGTACAAAGTGCGCTCAACCTATGAGTGTGAGTTTAACCTGTGAAAACAATACAATAGAATCGTGTGCGTTGTTTGCATGATATGAGCATTTTGAAATTGCCCCTAACGAACAGGTGCATTTTTTGACGGGCCCTGCAAAAATGACGGGCACATTGTAGGGCGATAGCACTGCACACCATGTCTTCGTACGTACATATACGTGAGTGGCATGCACGGGCACATGCATTTTGTACTCAACTGAGCAACCATCATTGCACTGTATGTGCCAGGGGGGGGGGGTGACGACATTTTGTGAGTTTAACTTGCGAGTGTGCGTTCACACCATGTCTTCGTACGTACATATACGTGAGTGGCATGCACGGGCACATGCATTTTGTAGTCAACTATGCAACCATCACTGCACTGTATGTAGGCGGTCGACTGAGCAACTCTAATACAATATGGTATCGCCCTACAACTACGCCCTACAACTACGCCCTACAGTTGTTGGGCGGTACCATATTGTCCAGTAGGGTTAAATATCAGTGCCGGGGGGGGGGGGGGGGTGACGACATTTTGTGCGTTTTAACTTGCGAGTGTGCGTTCACACCATTGCATAATGTGCGTTGTTACACGAGCTGCAGTTCTCAACTGCCCCTTCCGAACACGCACATTTTCGACTGGCCCTGCACTAGTTTTAGTTAATTTGGAAGTTCTAATAATTTAGTTTTGCCCTACACCAACGTAATGTCAAACGCCTGCACTTGTAGGCAGCAAGTAGTGGGTCGAGTCCCACCTGAGCAAATTTGTGATCTGTTTTCTTCAAGCTATCAGACAGAGTGAGTATACAGTGCCAATAAAACTGCATTGATTATTAAAAATTTAGATTTCAAAGTTGCATCTGACTGATGTTAAATTATCACCCCAAAATTGTTTGGGCAGTTTGGCTAGATTTCATACTCATAGACGTTTTGTACACCTGCAGACTCCCACTTTAATTGAACCTGCCAGCTGTTGTAAGCACTGACTTTTATTGTATTTATTTGTTTGTTTTCAGCCACCCCCCTCCAGGAGGGCGGAGTCTAAGGACAGGCCAGGCAGCGTCCGAAGCGGCAGCCATCTGGACAAAGGCGATAAGAAACGAGATAAATCCTCCAAGAAAAAGGTGACATTTCCTTCAGACATTTACATTCGGTTAATTTCACGAAACATTTAAATTCAGGCTTTGTTGAACCCACCTCCCAGGGTTTTTGGAGCTGGGATCCTCATCAGGAAAACATTTGCGTATTCGTCATTGTGTTTCATTTTGAGAAGCTTCAAGTCCTACGTATGTAAAATATTGGCTTCAGCTCTTACTGTTTCTTACTCCTTCAGAATTCCCAAGTGTTTTTTTTTTTTTTTGCGTATCTGCGAGGGTCTAAGCCTTGTAAGATGTGAATTACGTTTTGCAGTATCTCGTACAAGTCTTTTCGATAATCTGGAAAGTCGTGGAGAAAATTTCCCCATGTAGGGTTTATTTTGTCCTATAGAAACTCTTCATTACTCTGGGGAATTTTACAGAGAAACTTCCTCAGTTACTGCTTGACTGAGTAGGACTTTTCTTTGTACAGAGTGCCTAGATACAGGTAAGTGAGATGCAATCGGTCAATTCGGGAAAATCCCCCCCCCCCCCAGATAATGTTGGTACACACTCATCAACATAGTCTCCAAATTTCTTACCCTGGGATCAATACTGACCCGCCTTGTGCCGTTCAATAATCAGTTTGGCATTTTCGCATTCTTAGATTTCACCGCTGACCATGGAGTGCTGGATACCGGTTTAGACTGTGCAGGCATAGTACAGCCGTTTCCGAAACAGAGCCAGAGCTACATCTATTGTCAGCCTGTTCCCACGTATATTGTAGTGGACAAAGACCTAGACAATAGCCGACACAGCCTACTTTTTGCTGCAATCTTTAAGAATTTTGAAATGTTAAGTTTCTTTCTTTCACAACCGCCAACAGGATAATAAACATGAGAAGAAAAATGAGAAGGAGGATGCTGGGAAGGGAAACAAGACCGTGGTGATGATGGTAAATTCAACCAATCGGTGGCTGTGTTTCATATAATCACTCGAGTGTCATCCAATCGGTGGTGGTGTACCATGAGGCTAAATGTCATGAAAGCTGTGTGGATTTGTGCGATTGGAAACCAGTCTGGTTCCTTACCATGTGGCTTTGTTGTGACCAATCAGAATTGGTCTTACCTATTGCTTAACCAATCAGCAGCAATGTACTGTTAGCTGTTTGCCATTGAAGCTGTGTTGTGATTGGGTTACATTTTAACTTGCACATCTGCTTCACTTTTCATTTGATCCAGCTGCTATAAAGTGTTTGTCAAATGTGCCTTTGAAATGCAATATGTGAATTCCTTTTTCTTTTCTTTTTTGTAAATTGTGCAGTGATGCTGTATTTCAGTTGCCTTTTGACCATGTATCCTCTAAAGACATTGTTTTTGTCCAGCAAGTATATATCAATACATCTGATTGATTTCTAATCAGTTGTTCCCAAAGTTGGTAAATTGTCCACTCGCTTTCAAATGCAGCGTTAAATTTTGCAGTCATTGTTCACCACATTATGACAGAAAAACAGAGGTGTTTCACGTACACAACGTATGAACTATTTGTATCACATGTGGCAAATACTGTACATTGCTGGAACTCAAATAATAGTCAATATTAATAATGCCAATAGTCTATGTTATCAGTAGGCAAACAGTGTGCATGATAACTTAATAATAATAACAATGAGTACTTATAATGTGCACACATCGAGCTAATAAAGGGCGCTCATGGCAATACTGGGCGATTAACGACGGTTAAATGCTTTAACCCTAACTCCCTAGGGGGTGTTCAAAGTCATATTGAAATTGGAGGATTCAGGACTGTTGGGGCTATGGATCATGTGCAGATGAACCATGTGAATTTCTTAGAATTAAGTGCCTGTGAAGGTTTTAAACAGATTGAAGATGGCTCTGGATTCAGCACCCAATTAAAGTCTGCAGCCCCTGCCTGAATGAATGGTCCCGCAAACAGTTGCAATTGGGCCACAAACATGGGACTCCTTCCATTTGCCGTCAACAAAATCAAATAGATGTTTACAAGTTGAATGCTGTTGCTCTTGAAATTAGAAATAAAATCAACAAAATAAAACAAAAAGTAATCAAGGCAAATGATCTCGCTGGAATTTAACCACGAATAACACGCTTTCCTCTGGAGAAATTCTTGCAGGTTTCTTTGGTATGTGGCTCTTCAAGGCTTCCACTAATTAACTCTAAAAAGAAAAAATATATAACAATTCTTGTAATCCACAGGTTGGCTGCCAACATACTCCTAACATTTTTTCCCCAAATAATCATTTTTTTCCAATAAATTAACAAATTAATTTCAGATAGCGTCTACTACAGCATGTGTGATGGGCCAGCATGCTTGAAAAGTGTGTTGGCAAAACCAATGTGGATAATAATACTTTTTTCAGCTGATATAACAGGATAATTTGCATGAATTCTACCCAAACTGTTTCATTTTTTTTGTTTACTGATGGAAATAATTTTTCAGTAGTATCCATTGCTCAACATTGGCCTGTCACACACCTGTCAATGTGAATATATATATTGCTAGAATTCTAACATGTACTTGGCATGCATGCAAAGCAAATTAACAAGCAACTTAAAGGGAATGTACATCATTGGCTTTTGCTGTAATTTTCAGAAATGAACTATTTGAGGGGTTAGTATAATAGATCAAATATTGTTACACTGACATGTTTGAAGTTTTGTGTTCGAAAATGCTTGAAAAACCAAGAAAAACAAAAAATGTTCAAGTAGTCTGGTTCCCTGACTCCACTAAAGATAAAATGGATCCATTTATAGATGCCGGAAAATTGTAAGGTAAGGGAACCAGTTTAGCTGACCTGCACCCGTTCATGAACATGTAACCAATAAGCAAACAAAATTTGGACTGAAGAAATGGTAAATTTTGAGCAGTAGTTGCTAAATAGTTAGGTTTTTCCAACGGTGGTCGGCCGACCACTGTTGGAAATGTATACAAAAATACCATTTTCTTGAAAATGACTTCACACCAGGTGCCATAATTTTACAGGATGCTTTAGACTGTCATTTACCTACATCCTAGCAAGGTATTTCGTAAAAACTTGGTAGTTTTATTTTTTGATGTTTGCAAATGTTGTACATGTATATTCCCTTTAACATTGGGTGTGATGGTTAAGGACAAATTAATTGTCTGTGTCTAAAAAGAAACTGTTGCCCTTCTTCATGTTGTTTTTACATTTATTAACCATTGTAGCTTGGAAATCTCTTTCTATAAAGCTAGCCAGCCCCTCCCTCCCTCCAATTAAAAAAAAGAGAAATTTCAACTGGAATGTTTTTACTCATTTATTGAAAACATTTGCGGTGTAACATTTTGTTCATCACAGCAAAACAAAAGTTACCTGAACATTTAGTGCGTATAGATTTGAATGTCACTGATGACATTTTGATACTGTCAATATATAATTATACATGTATGCTGTTGATTGTTTTGCTGTGAAAAAAAATCATACACTGCCGGGTATTATTGTCTAAGCTTTTTACTTTTCAATTGCACACGTCAAACAGTTACGACGTATTTCAGGAGAAAATCCTTTATTCTGTGGTTTTTGTTTGTATCTGTGCTTCACAACCCTTTTGCAAAATCCCTTCATCGTTCTTTGGTGGCAGGTTTTATGGTTTAAATTTTATGGATGAAAAGAGAGTGTACTCACACCGATGGGAAAAGTGCTTAAAATGATCAGTCCTTTTTGTAAATGCTGATATGGCTTCTTGTGCTAGCAAAGAGCAAAACAGTGGTTTTTTTTGGAAGTGGCTATCAAACATTTATAAAAAAAAATAAGTGGTAAATATGTCAACCAAAGTGGATAAAAAAGGTTTACTTCTTGTTTATAGGCCCTTGTAGCCCATAAACCAGAACGGTTTAACCTCTGGAATATGACTACCAAAACTTACATAGTTCAAACCGTCTGGTTTCCGTGGCAAACATTTTTGTTCTGAAGTTGTGTCTTGCTCATGTTTTTGCATTTTCCGTGACTACAGGACAGCAAGAAGGACAAAGACGAAGGGGCCAAAGGGGGAACCAAGAAAGACGACAAATGGAAAAAGGGTGAGTTGTGATGATTTACTGTCCATCAAATATCGCTATGCTTCAGAATCCATATTTTAAATTTTAGAGATTGTTTCTTTTTTAGTTGTAGACAAAGTTTGTGCATTTTGTTTGCAATGAGGTTTCATGGCACTGCCTTGCCATTAGGGCTAATGTCATTGAGCTGCTAAGAAGTTTGCTTTGAAAAGTTTTATCTGGTAGGCTTAAAAAAATGGAGTATCACTCACAAGCAAACCACATCACAAGACTTTTAGCTGGTAACCTATTTTTGCTTAGCAGATAGATTCTGTGCTTCACAGATTTCTGTGCTTCGTAGCTTCACAGATTTCTGTGCTTCGTAGCTCCACAGGTATTTCATCTGCTTATTAGTGGGAAAAAAAATGTTTGCAGCAAATCTGTATTGAGAGTTACAAGTGAAGTGACGTGTAGAATTGCCAAATCAGGCAAGAGGCCTATCTCTTTGAAAATGGACTATGCCAAAAAGACATTTCAACAAATTATTGTAATGGGCATGCGTCTCATTTTGTTGAAAGCCAGACAAGATATTTTTGGAACAGATTGTTCAAAAGTATTTAGCATATCTTGAATCAGATGGGCAGAGTGCCTAGAATCCAATGCCCCCCAAAAAGGATTTGTTTTGATTTGATTTTAAGAAGGGTGTATATAAAATAAAAAGGTTGGCCCTCAAATCTTTAAATTTCTTTTTAGCTGTGGGAATTCAATTGTTAACATTAAAATAGCCATGTATGAAAATGCAGAGGAAATTGTGTTGTTTGCAATTTTCTATCACAAATTTATTAGGACAAGGATTATCTTCATTGTTGTTACATGTACATTTCAAGAACTTATCATGTATGCACGACGCTGACTTGGAATAAACTGACTCTTTTTACATCATCATTTAATTGTTTTCAAACTTAGTAGGGAGTTTTATATTTCAAAATGCACCTTACATGTAGAAGCCAGTAGTTGAGGATATTGTGTGCTTTTCCTCATTGAGGTTGTTGGGGCAGACTCACCAAAAAAATGCAGTTCGTGAAAGTTCTGGGACGGATTGTGTGTTGAGTTTGATTTGGAATTGAGCACAGAAGTAGCTGCACTGTACATGTAGACACACAGGCTTGACAGAAAGTGTGTGATTCTTGAGGTGTCACTCTGCAGACAAAAGTAGTTTGTAGCAGGTTTTCTTACACAAGTTGAAGATTTTGCCCATGTTTAAAAATGTGTTAAGTTTGGCATCATCAAACATTTTCCTTTGTTGTATTCTAAATTCATTTGTCATGTGTGTGGGGTGTGATCTTCAATCTGTGTATCATCCAAAACACTTGTGTGACTTTGACAGACTTCCAAAGAAGCCGAACTGACACTTTTTAATAAAGTTTGGAAAACTGTGTAGAAGTAGAGTGTAGTCTTTGGAGATGAATTTAGCCAGTAGTTTAGAACTCAGTCAGCCAGTAGATAGATGGTTGAACTGTGTCCAGGGGGAAATTGTATGCACTGCCCATGATTGTTCGATGGTCCTACATTTTAAATTAAAAAGTGATTAAGTATACCTCTTTGGCAGCGAGTTCAAGTTTACAGTTCAGGGGAAGTGAAAATATTGTTTTGGCTCTCTGCACTACTGAAAACTACCATTTTTTAAAATTCATCATATCATTCTTTTTGTTAAAAAAACCAACTATTTTGACATTGCATACAATTTTGTCTTTCTTGGGACATAAATGTCCAGGAGTGGTGAAATGGGGTGCAATGTAGCATTTTGTTGGCTTTATGCTACTCTCAGAGATAATAAGTTATAAGTTTGAGCCCATTTCACCATTCCTGTGTTTTCTGTGATTTTAAAGCACTCCGGTTTTTGCGGTGCATTGTGTAGCTAGAAGAATAGTAGAAGCAGTATTTCAGATTAACTTTGTAGATATTTTCCCCTCCGATACATCCATGGAAAAAGGATCACACTCTATGGGTAAACCAACTTTTTTTGTATTTCTATTCTTGTTTCAACAAAATTAAATAAGTAAATTCCTCATATGTTATTTATTTAAAATGTACATGGTTTTCTTATCTAATAGGAACACCTTACACGTGACCATCATGATCATGAAAAAGAAATACTGACGATTTTAGAGCTGTTTCTTGTTTACTTTAACAAGAAAAAATAATGAAATGACTGAAGGTTTTACTTAGAAGTCATGCACACTAGGACTGCCATTGGAATTGTTTTTTTTTTCTCTCTCTTAAGAATTAAGATAAATTCCATGTATGTGCAGGTACAAATCACAAACTTGCAAGCTGCACAGTTTAACTTTGGGAGTTTAACTATAATTTTATGTAGCTTCTTGTTCAGACAGTCAATGATTTGAAATCAACTTGTCGAATCCGAAAACAGTCAAGACTCAAATGTTCATTCAAACACTTCAAGCATGGACTTTGTATTTTTTTAGCATCCATCATTGTATATTCCCTCAGCTAAAAACTGCAGCACTGCCCAACACTGCTTAGGTTTCGTAATTGCAATCAGTCCCCATTTCTCTACCATGATACAATAGTGTCTTGTTTCTTTTTTATTCTTTCCTCCTTCACTTTGCAGGGGCAAAAGCCGTCATGGCTGGTAAATAATCTGCACTTCTTCCAAGGACTCAGCTCCACAGAGCTGCTAAGCGCAGAAAATATCTGCTTAGCAATTACAGAAACCATGCACAAACAATAGATGACGCTTTTTAACTTTCGAAACTTGAAACTTTCAACATATCACGTAGGGTACCGGTACGTGTACTGGTTCCCACATGCCTGTAGGGTGTGACATACGTACAACTAACTTTATCTTCGTGTGCACAAACCAGTTGTGCTTCATGTGAGCATCAGGCACTGTTTTAACTTCCGTTCCAGTGTCTCATCCAACTCTCTCTTTGAGGGGATTCATGTGCACGGAGTTCATAGGCTACCGGCAGGAGTGGTTACCATTGATTGGTTTTTTTAGACTACCAAGTTTGCTAAGCATTTATATCTGCTGTAGCAGCTCTGTGAAACTGAACTCTTATTTTTTTTATTTGTAGGGAGAAACCATGGCTCATTGTTGCCCATACATTGCCACTGACATTGCTATGCAGGTCAACGCCTTCAAAAGTTCTCATCCTTGTCCTGAGTCCATCTGAAAACATAAACATCAATTATACAAAATCGAACACTGACCATTCACTATAGTAACTCTCAGGATAATTCTACCGACACATACTCTGTGTTTTTGTCTTCAGTGTTGAGCAGTAAAGCATTATCAGTGTTGCTCATATCTCAAACACATTTTGTGCAAGAAACACTCTGTTAATTAAAATGTTATTTGACAGGTTTTTTGTGTTTGTCTGTTTATTGAGAATCAGTAAATACAATTTTTTTTTTATGTTAATGGAACATAGTACTTACAATTCAAATTAAGTATTCAAATGTGTGAGGGAAGCAATGCAAGTCAAAAAAAGAATAATGTATTACATACATTTCGAAAATACATTATTTCCTAAAATGGACTTACTACATACACGTATGCGTTGTTCTTTGCGTTGTCATGGCAATGTCAACCATGTTGGATTACGCACTGAGTCATGTGATCTGCCACACATTAATCACCGGGTGACGTGAAACACTGAATGTAGCTTGCATGGAGCCTGGGCGAGTTGTCGAGCTAACACGCACCGCACAAAAAAAAGCCCTAACAGATTGGCACGCAGCACAACTCACACATCTGCACAGATATATATTGCCTCATTTGCCATGTTTGCTTTGAACACTATACATGTAGGCTTATTCCCGTTAAGTAAAATGAATGAATTCTTTATCTTGCACATTTATTAATGTATATGTACATGTATGAAGTATGTAACTTTGCTTCTGTCTAGGTTTTACATGTACATGTAAAAGGTTTTGCTGTGGCATCTGTTTTTTATGCTTACATTTTGATATATTTTGTTTATTTTTATTTTTATTTATTTTATTTTATTTTTTTATATTTTATTTGTTTATTGGGGGCATTATATGACACCTTTTGGTTGAACCAAAAAGTGTATGAAACAGTGAATTCAAAGGTGGTAGCGCCCGTAACATCTTATGGTGAAAGTAATGGACACTTGACTTCTACCCGAGGGTTCATGATGACATTCACAATGCCCTTTGACCTTCCGTGACCTCTGACTCTGTTTGCTACATCCCTCTCTTGCAGGTGGAAGTCGGTCGTCTATTGTAGGACTAAGTATGAACTCCCAAAGTTCCATATTTCTGAACCTGTTTTCTGACACCAAAAAAAAAAATGACAGAAGTGTTTCTATCATCGGATTAACCAACCATTTTTTTTTTTTTTCGCTAATCGAGTTGTTGCAAAATGAAAGCTTAATTTGTTTCCATTTGTTCATGTGGAATGTTTTGTTCACACAAAAGATTGGACAAAGAACCTTTATTCACACATTAGTGTTTTGATAATCTTTAGTTGATTGAACATTGCAAAGTGTTCCAGTACAGATATAATTGTTCAGTGCCTGTAACATCGGTACGTCAATTTACTTCTAACACGTGATTTATGTATGCAACAACTCATGCTCACATACATTACAAGGCATTCATAAATACCTGAGACAGTTTACCTAGTCCTATTGGTCAAGAGCCTGTCACTCGGCTGGTTTTAAACGGTTGATAAAACACCAACAGGTTTTAAACACTTTTTCCGGTGTCACATGAATTTAAACTCCTATGAAATCTGGTCCCAATAATACATGTATGCCCTTTTATTGGTTGAACCCTCACAATCTTCACTTTAGGCATGCACAATACTACCAATGAGTCCGTATTTCATAGAGTCCTAAATTCACACTACACCGGCACTGCCGCGTTTTGCGCCACATCGTGCAGTCCTCGCTACGCGCGTGCCAATCTCCATATAAGGAGATTTTTTAGTAGAACTCGCGCGAGGCACATACCAAATAAAGATAACTAGAGGAGTGTTTTACAAAACATGAAGTAAAGTTGTTTAGCAAAATCGTTGGAAATTTATAACTTTTGACTCGTTTTGACTTTTTGACTGAAAGGTATTTATGAATGGGAATAAAAAAGGTGCTTGGTCAGTGTTAAACAAGTACATTTACAACCGACTTGGGGCCTCGCCCCAAGCCGATATCCGGCCAAGCACATATTTATTCCCTTATTATATACACCAAACATCATTCCAAGTTTAATTATTAACCAACTTTTTACTTTTAATACTTGACTAAAGTGACTAATTTCTTTAACCTCCCTTTTTTGTTTGTATTTTTTACCTTTTCTTTTGTTGCTTGATGTACGTCATGTAACAGATACTTCGCGGCACGGTTCCAGAGGTTCAAACAACTTTATAATTTTCTTGCATGATGAATCAACATTCTCTGTTTTTTTTCCTCTTGTGAAGGGATTTTTTAAAAAGTGGACTCATTATAGTCAATCATTCATGCATGCCCACTCTTCATCGGTTCATACTGAGGAAACTTGGCCAAAAAGAGAGCTAGAATGCTGAATCAGTGTCATCTTCAAAAATAGTTTTTTTCTTAGTTTTAGTAACTTTTTGACGTGCTTGTCCTCCCAGTAAAAATATCCAACTTTATCATCGATTGAAATCCCAAAATTTGCTACAGAAATTTATTTTATTTTTCATTGGTGAAGAATTCTTAGTTGTGAGTGCATTATTTCATGTTAGTCAGTGGACGGAAGTCTGCAAAATCCACATTCAGAAATATATCTGTCATACAGAAGAAAGCGAGGGAGACACCTGAACGGGGACATTGCAAGTTGCCGTGGAGAACTTTAATTTGTGATGTTTCAGAAAGTTACACTTCTGTCCGTCAGAACTACGAACGATAACAAATAACCAAAAATGCAACAACAACAAAACTTGAAAGAACAAAAAATAACCATGTAGGCCTATTAAAAAACATGTAATTATTAGTTCAGGTGGCTTGATAGTAGAATTAAGGCTCAGGAAAAAGTCATTTGCACAACAAATCATCTTATTCATCTGTTGCCATGGTCACCAGGATCATTTTGGGTTCACTGGTTGCATGAACTGTTTCCATAGTAACTGTGGACGGTAATAAAAAAAGTGATGCATTTTTCATACCTCCAGTTTCTGTTCTCTCAAACTTCAAACTTTGAGGATCAATGTATCCATAAAGAAACTGATGCTGCATGTTATTCTTCAATTTTCATCAAAAGTCTTTGTCAGCTTTCTGTTCATATTGTTTGGTAATAGGTTACAATCTTTTCAAAGTACAAATGCCATATATGTGATCACATCATACATAACATATTGTACAACATCTGTTCATATTTACCACTATTAAACTTCACTTTCATCTCTTTTCATGTGGCTTTGGGTCTTGAATTCAAACATTATAAACCTGTGTTTACATGTAATTTTTAATTGTTATTTTTTGTGGGTGTGCTTTGTTACTAAATAAAAGTGTCAGATTTTTGGAAGGTTGTCATCTACCTCCAGCTGACCCAGAGGGCCTACAATATCTTTTTTTCAACTTTGTAATTAAATTTGTTTTTGGCATTTTGAAAAGCATCAAAGCTAATGTTTGAAAAACTTTTTCAATTGATCAGTATTTTTTTGTACGCGTCATATATCCAGATTCCAGGTTCATGTATTTGTTGCGTTAGACGTTTACAGACTTCTTTTTAGATGGAAAATGTGTGCATTGTAAAGAATATGCTTGGAATTTTCATTCTACTTGAAAGAGTTTATGGCGCTAAACAGTGGTGCAAATGCATCAAATGCTATGACGTGTATATTTCGTCCCCATGTACATGTATGCGGTCTTCTTTGAAGAATTCATTATTTTACATACTCATTTTGCATGGTTTTCGGTGCATGATGTTCAAACTGCATGAATTACTAACCTAGTTGCTATACATGTACACTGCTATTTAACACTGAATTATTCACTAAACTTAAAGTACATGTAAGGTGTAAAAGCCCTTTCCAAGCCCTTCTGTCAAAACAATTAACTTTTTTTTTTACATGTATCACAAAACCAACTGAAATTTTGTGTGATTATAATGACATCTGCAATTAGCAGAAGGTCGCTAGTCTTTGCAAACTTTCATAGCATCGAGTATGCGGTGCGTGTAAAAACTTACATCTGTGAAGTCAAAAAGGCCAATATTCAACATCCATTTTGTGTTAACCTCGCTAAATGTCCCTTCGCTGAACAAATTCAGTCACAATTTTTTCCTGTCCATGGTGCTTTGTACCATGGAATATTGACGCAAGCACTTGTCAAATCTGTTTTCCGTACAATGAGAAGTGAACAAACATGCAAATGACCAGGCCATTTTTATATTCCATTTTTCATTTCATTGTTTTGTTCCAATGAAGGTCGTTTGGTTTGCTATAAGAACCCACATTGTTTTCCACGTTTGTGCATTGCTTGCAAGTTGCTGTGCATGCCAACAATTTCATCACTTTCCACACCTAGCAAGTCATCCATGATTGTCAACCATATCTTTCATTTATTCCCTCCACATTTTTAGCATGATTATTTTGTGAGACCAGCACCAGTAAATGAGACTGGTATTTTCAAAATCTGATGTGAAATGTTAAACCTGGAGATTATTCTTATCTCAGAGTGACAACAGATTCATGAAGGGCCTGTACATAGCTCGAAAGCAGTGCTTGGAGATCGAGTTTTTCGTTTTTTACTACCAGGCAGCTTTTCAGATCTTGAAAACCTCAGTTACATTCCCTGTTGCTGGTTCACATTTCTAGAATTCAGCGTTGTAGTCAAGTCCATCGCAAGTCAATCACAAGTCAAACACAAGTCTGTCACAAGTTTGTCACAAGTCAATCACGAGACAGTCACAAGTCAATCTCAAGACAGTCACAAGTCCATCACAAGTGAAATGCATTCCTTTGTGATTGTTCAACCCTTGTTACTTGTTACTTGACTTGAGACTGACTTGTGACCTGACGTGTGATGTACTTGTGACTGACTTGTGATTGACTTGAGACTGACTTGAGACTGACTTGTGACTGACTTGTGATTGACTTGTGACTGACTTGTGATTGACTTGTGATGGACCCTACTACAACTCTGGTAGATTGCATGTGAATTACATATTGTGTCATCTGAGCTAGCCCTATTCCTATCTTGATTTCCATCTGTATGTTTTCCCATGTCTTGAGTGTGTATTGCATGCATGCATGTGTAGATCGCAGTAGAAATCTCGCTATAGATGAACAGTATCAGTACGCCATCGTCTGTGGTTCTCAACATGTAGAATTATTGCATTTGAATGAAAAACAAAAACTTAACATTATATATTGGCCAGGTGAATTGTTAGATCAGAGCATGGATCTGCAGTGAGCTTTCCATTGGGCTTGTCATATTAGTTGCAGTTACATTCAACTATCTAATATTGCAAGGCTGTTTTGAAATTTAGAAAAGAGCCTTTTGAAAAGTGGTGTACGTGTATTGTGTTTGAATTTACATGCACATTTAGAGGTGGAATGTGGAATGTTTTATCTAACAAGGATCACGAAGAACTCAAAAGTGTAAAATCTGTTTGAGTGTTTAAACCATATTGTCAGAATATCAGAAGGGAATCTGTTAAGCGAAATTTGCACTTCAGAAACCATAAATCTTGTCTTGCTCAGTTCTTTCCAAATTTCTTTTGTCGCACTCATAGGGAAAAATCTGTCACGACTCAAAATCGAAAACATTTTTGAAAGGGAATGCAAGAAAAGTGTCCAAAGAGTTGAACAAACCCTGACAGGCCTAAAGACAAGTAAAGAGTACATGTACTTTTAGATACTCCTCTCACCTTTTTTTAACTGTCTTGGAAAGTCTGACAATTTTTTGCTTTGAAAAATTTATTCCTGTCGTTCAATGAAAAAAAAAAACTCTCAATAGTATTATTGGAATTGGAGTAACAAAGGTAGATCTATCTAAATGATGCATGCCATGCAGTACCTCTTCAGACTTTGTCAAATCTCTGGTCCGCTTTTTCTTTCGTCTTTTTATCCTTCACTGTCCTTCCTTCCTTCCTGTCTTCCTTCCAAATTCCTCTCTCCCTTGATACCTACCACATACTGACCCTAGCTTCCCTTGTAGCTGAAACGGTCAACAAGACAACCAAAGGAAAGAAGACCACATCTTCCAAGGATAAGAAGGGAGGGGCCGCGCCCGAATCGGAGGTAAGGAGAACTTTCTCTGACAGAATATGACAAAACCAGGCAGCAGTGCATCATTTGCTGTTCATTTTATTTCTGATAAAGTGTGAATGTTTTCAGAGTGAATTTGGCAATAAGAGAAATGTTGGGGTTGTACCCATGTGAAAAGAACCTCTTGTGAGTGAGTTTATGTGGTTCTGACAGGAACCGTTGGGAAAAAGTAAATGTTTCCGACAAAAAAAGTTCTGTCTTGTTAGGAAACACTTTTTTTCAACCATTTTGTACTTAAACCAGAAATAATCACAAAAAGACATTCCCTTTCAATTAGTCAAACTGCTAACTTACTCATTCTTTTTATTTTCTTGTGTCCTTGAAAAAGGTATGGACAAATCACTTGGCTTGTCTTTGACCTTGAGGACGAAATCACAGTTGTCCAAAAATATCCTCAAAATGTCCCATTTTCCCTTTTTGGTTTTGGTCAGTAGGTTTATGAGATGCCACAATGTGGCTGGCCTATTTGTACACATTGGAAAAATATTACGTTATCTTCTCGAAGAGAAAACAATCCAAACCTCTGACTGATTTTGTTTTTCTTGTTCAGTCTCCTGACATGGTAGAAGCCATCAATCCTTTGCTGGATTCTGTAGAGTCTATTGATGGCCAGCTGTGGATCCCTGGCAATAGATCCATCATCAATCTCAACTTGTCAAGTAAGTACTCACGAAGCTACCGATCCAATTGTGGGAACCCCTAAGAGTGGCATTTGTAGTGGGCAGAAGTGACCATAACTGATGGTCAGCCTTTCCATTCTTTTTTCACACATATGTATGAAGAGTGGAAGTTGGTTTTTTTTAGTCCCTTTTTTTTTTAAGTCCTTTTATGTAGTTCAGGTAGATGTATATAGGACTTAACAAAAAAATACCATTAACCCTTCTACTGTTTGAACAGTTACAGACAGGCAAAATTCCATCCACTTCCCCTGCCATGCCTTTTACACAGGCTAGTCCCAAAAGTCTGGTCATATTTCAAGCATGCACTAAATTCGGCCAACAGACAAAAGCAGGCAACTGGTAGGCACAGCTGTCTTATCAATCACCTACAGTCAAAGCATAGCTGTATCAAGTTATAAACAGTCACAGCGGGTCAATCCTGCTTTATGTTGGCTGGGAGCTCTAAACTGTTGGAAACAGTCACTTGATTGATTTTGACGGCAAGATTCTAAGCCAAGAGACTTGGCACAGAATGTATGTTTGCATTGGAGGGTTGATGTATATGTTGCTTTCTTTAGAATCTCCCATTTCTAAAAAGTCACCAAGTTTTGCCTCATTTGGGAAATGCCCTGGGCATTAAGCATTATACCCTGAGGAAAGTTTGGTACTTTCTAAAGGGTAATTAAAATTGTACTTTTTTTATATAAAAAAAAGTGAATGAAAAACATCACACCCTTTTTTTTTTTTTACCAAACCTCTCCAAATATTTGTTTTACCCCACTCCCCTGAAAGATGGATAACATTCAACATCTGTTATCTCCCTTATCATTCTTCTCTCTGATGATGTAATGTGCTATTTATATCTTGGTTTAAATTACAGGGAATGAGATTGGTGAAGCTGGTTTGAAGTCTTTGCTGTTAGCGTTGCAGTACCAGATCACGTTAGCCAATCTGGCCCCCCATCCGGCACTCAAGGGGCTTATGAGGCTGTCGCTCGGTGTAAGTCTACATTACTGATGCACGTGTGGTCTAGCGGTGGAGCACGTATGGTCTAGCGGTGGAGCACAGGATTCATGATCGTGAGGTTGTGGGTCCGAGCCCCATCGTGGACATGCGTGTTGTGCCCTTGAGTAAGGCGCTTTACCTCAATTACCCTTCTCAACCCAGGTGTTAAATGGGTACCGGCATTATTCAATGCTGGGAAGGTAACAGACTCGCTGTGGAGGAGGTGTGGCGATCCCCCCACAGCAGCATATGAGTCTGGCCCAATCGCTAAAGAAAGAGAGATGGGCACTCCGTTCCTGTGAACACAGGTTCGCCCCCTTTACCTTTACTGATGCAGAAACAAATTTCCAAACTTGAACAATCCAATAAATATGTTAATTTTTATTTTTTTTCCCCAATTGGTACACTTGCTTTTTGTCTCCTATCCAGTAAGTGAAAACATGCACCACTTCTCCTTGTCAAACAACACTTCTCCTTATTAAAGAGACCAGTAGGCCTCCTCTCAAATTTTATTCTTGCAGTACACTGTAGTAAAAATGTTGCCAAACTGCCTGATTAAGGGTCCACGTCACTGAGGTGGTACAGTGCTAAGCTGCATATCGGACACACTTTTAAATTACATGTACGCTTATATCATTGAGGTTGAACCCTGAGGTGCCATGTGAAACTTTACCAGAAATCCTCAAGGTAAACCTTGAGTCGCCTCTCGTTTATTTTGCGTCTTCCCCTTTCCAAGTCTATAGCTCCAGGATGCACAGCTGTCCGGAGCTTTCAGGATGAACTCGACCGACATTTTACCCCAGCCTCACCCTGATTTTATTCTGCCTTCTCCTCCACAGAGAAACCCAATCCGTGCGGACAGTGAGGCCTACCAGAAGTTGCAGGACCTGCTGCTTACCCGAGATCCCTTCTACAAGCCGCAGGCTAAGAGCCCTGATGGTGAAGTCCAGTCACTTGTCGGCTGATCGGTCTTCAACAAAAACTTCAGACAACTGAGGAGGAAGCGTATGGCGCCCACAGTGCAATTGACCTTTCGCAGTAGAATCCTGTTAGAGCCGCGTCAACACAGCTTGTGAAATATTGTCCAATTACATAATATACAAATCGATGCAGAACCGAGACAAACAAAACTGAGCGCACACAAAATCCACAGGGTTGTCTAAGGGGTGTGGACAACTCGCAAACGACAATAGGTCAATTCTAAGGGTTATCAACAGGCTCGGAGCAAAACCACATAATACCAAAACATCTTTTCAATTTACCCTAAAATAATTTAACCCTAAATATTTTTTTCTTCACCTGGGGTTACTAAACGATGAAATGATGGTGAAATATAATTCCGTCCCCCAAAACACCCATTACTCGGATTCATATTTGTAGATCCTTATGATTTTTGTTTTGTCCCGCAAAGTTAAAGACGTTTGTTAGGCCGTTTGTTTTTCTTATTCAGTTGCTTTATGACTAAGCTTTTCACATGAAAGTTTCTATAGGAAATGTCAACTCATTTCAATAACTATTTTATGACAAAAAATAAGCGTCTTGTTTTTGAAAACCGAGTGAAAACGCAAGTTACTGTATATCAGATGAAATGGCCAACCCATAATGTTCTTGAAAGTCCGAGTTATACTCTTTCAACAATGAATTATACTTGTTAACCATCTGTTTTGTGAAGTGTTTTTAAGATGCGTAATTAATATATTTCCATTTAATTGCTGTATATAATCTTTGTACATAACTGAAAGAATTTTGTACTGAATTAAAGGTTTGAAGATTCCTAGTTCAGTTTTGCCTGTCCCTTTCTTTGCTTGTACATGTATGTCATGAATAAGTACTAGCCTGAAGTGGCTCCACATGTACAAGTTTTTTGGGGGATGAGAAACTAAAAATATGTGGTCTGCCGGCATTCTGCAGGTTGTGGGTTCGAGTCCAGCCTCGGTTATGGTGCGAGTGCAAGGCACTTTGTCATACAATAGCTTCTCCCCACACAGGAGTTAATGGGTACCTGTGAGGGCAGAGATAGTTGTGATTGATTGTAGTTGGTTTGTGCTGAAATGGCAGGATCGAGCTGTATACTCCCACGGAGCCGAGATGGTATTTGGAATTTTAAATGAGCAGGGGTAATAATGATGTAAAGCACTTTGACCTTACTTAAAAGCGCTTTATAAAAACCTGTTACATGTATTATTACACCACAAAAAAAAAAACCACTGCAAAATTGTTGATGGCTTTTTTATTTTGTTGAACTGCTAAGAACTCTGTCTAAAAGAACACTTTAACACAACTTTTACAGCACTGAGCCTATCAAGATTGGTACACTATAAGATGCCATATTCAACAATGTAATGTTGAAGACTTGACGGTATTTTTTATGAAAAGTTGAACAATTATGCTCTGGAAAAAATATGGGGTAAGATCCTAAATTCTAAAAATTGTACCAAACTATCATGTCCATGAGTGCATGACACATTTAAGCTCATTTTTCTATGAACTTGCTTTCAACTATATGAAGGACAAATATGCTGTAATTCAGTAATCGTCGAACATTCCAGGAATCCTTGCATAAATCAATTTCTAAAAGATCAATTGTAATGGTTCTGATCAATGCATGTACAATGTAAAGAACACCTACAAAGTGTTTTTGTATAATTTTTATAAGTTCAATATTTTAAACTAGAAAAACCCGAAACATCGTTCTAGACGAAATGAAGGCTTGAAGAGAACATGGAACAGCAATGTACAAAACAAGACTCGAAGCAAGCGAAAACAGATAAATAAGTCGACAACATTTATATGTACATCTATGTACACCATCAGTGAAGCCAGGAATTATCAAAGTGACCTTTTTTGCAAAACATATTTTTTTCGGGGGGGGGGGGATAAAAACTTGACATATTTTGGAAGTTCTCTTAATTATAACGAGTACATGGAAGATGGAACTGGTGGTTGTAGATGCATTTCCTAACCGATAGATTTTAGTTGACGGCCACGTGGCTGCGCTAGGTATGTTATCTCTGCAGTGTTCATGAAACTGATCGAATTTTTTTGTATGAACGTGTAACCGATGTATCATCACGCCACACTAGATGAATCCAGGCACGCGATCACTGCACACACGAGACCCTTTTCAATGAAAAAAATTAAAAATTCTGCACAATATTGTACAAAATTATCGGCCCATAACAGAGTAACTGAACAATAGCTAGCACAATGCTTTCGCCATTGAAGGGGGCCTTCGTGATGGAATTGATAGCATGCCCAGTTTGGTCTGAACCGTAAGGTAATAGATAATGCTGGCTTGGCCATACAGTGATAATACATATCCAATGGAAGCAATCCAAGTATAAATTTTACCACTTAATAAAACAAAATGGGGCCCAATTTCATGGTGCAGCTTAGCCCCATAAATGTGGCCTATTTACTGGACTGCCTCCGTAAACATAGGCCACACATCCACATGTACAAAAATCGTGTCGACGGAGCCAAATTTTGATTTTCACATTTAGGATTAGTTTGTAGGTTTTTTTTGCTTTAGAAGCATACTCACCCTCTTTATAGGCTAATCAGAAAGTGCTGCCTTTTTCAGATGTATATTTTTCGTGAAATTTCCAGATTCATTTTTACACGTTTGCGTATCAAAATTTCAACATGAAATTTCACAAAAATTAGACATCTGAAAAAGGCAGCACTTTCTGATTAGCCTATAAAGAGGGCGAGTATGCTTCTAAAGCAAAAAAACCCTACAAAGTAAGCCTAAATGTGAAAATCAAAATTTGGCTCCGTCGACACGATTTTTGTACATGTGGATGTGTGGCCTATGTTTACGGAGGCAGTCCAGTAAATAGGCCACATTTATGGGGCTAGGTGCAGCTATGCACCAACGTTTCACTGACAAAACCGCCTTCCATTTCATGGAGACAGCAGGCAAACTTATATCAACCTCCAAGACAAAATCTGCTTGGATGGTGAAGCAACAATAGACATCTGCATTGTATTCACTTCTTTAAGCCACAAAATATACTAAATGGTTGCGCGACTCTTTTCGCTATGGATTTGTGCACAAGTACCCCTTTCAATGATCACAAAAGTCGAGTTGGGAGATACCACTGTTTTGCGTACATTTACAATTTAAATTGTAAAAAAAATTAAAATAATCGTGCGTACTTCGCGCCATAAACATGCAAAACAGTACGCGCCCGCAATGTGTCCCTCCACTGGAGCTTTTATATGTGGTCAAAAAGCGCCCTCTACTGTCTGCGCATGGAGTCCATACGCTTGCTGTAATAAGCAGCACCACGAAACTGGCAACTGGTCAGAAACATCAAATTAAAAACGAAGAGACAGGGAGCGGATAGACTTGATTGGCAGATCCTGTTGCATATCGGTTGACATATGAAGGTCATAACTTGGGATCACTGCAGTAAAGAGTAAAATCCAATAAAAAAAAATTAAAAATAACAAGACACACAATTTCAAAATCTTCTACAGCTTCTACACATTCCTATATTATTCCCTCATCCCTTGTGATTACCTACCTCTGTAGGTCCAGTTTGCCTACAATCTCCCTGACCATGGCAATGAGATTGGCATTTTCCTGTGGGGAGTCCAGAATCAGCTGATGCAGCTTGTTCATGTAGGTGTCGATGGTGGCCAAAGTTGGGGTCTCTTCTGATCCTAAATGAAAAACAAAATTTGACTAAAATAATAAACACCGGTTTCCATCTGGCACTTAATCAGAGTTACGGAGAACCAAATAGATTTCGGTTTCAGACAGACAAACTTTATGTTTTAATGTTTCCATTGACTAAGCTCTGGAGTCATTCTGAAGGACTGCGATACTTGATCTTTTCGTTGATTACACAATTAACAGGTGGATTTTGACCACGGGTGAGTAAAGTTTGTCTTGTGACACCATGGGCCCAACTTACCAGGGAGGGGGATGACAGCAAAGCTTGTGGTCAGAGAGACCCGCAGCGCCTGCAGGTGTTGCTGCAGCGTCATGTTGGTGTTCCGCTGCTGCACAGCCTCTGTCTCTAGCTTGGAGATGGCAGCCTTCATGTTGTCGATGTGTTTCTGGAGGATGGCGTTCTGCTCTTCGTACTCCGTCGTGGACTTGCGGAGCTGGCGTAGCTCATTCTCACGAGCTGAATGAAAATAAATGAGTATATGAGAAGACAAATCTTTCCTGAGCTGTTCATGTTCGAAACCTCGATACATGTGAGGCGTTTTGGCAAAATGAGACAGAATGACGGACTTTATAATGCTTACATTTGTTGTAGTTGAGGAATTCTTCAGTGAAAATGGGAACGTCAAAACCTGGTAACTCGTCATCCATCCGAATTTCGTCTGTGTACTGTCAAAAGAAAAAAAGATGGTAACCTTTGCATATTCCTTTTTTTTTCCCTGAGAAAATGTGCGAAAGACATTTCGTAGTTTATTAGGCTCAAGAAGAAAAACACAAAAATGTTCTTCAATCTGTAAGAGTAAAATTCTAAGTCTAGTATTTAAAGTTTGCAACACTGGCCTGAAGTCCCAGTCAACAGTTAGACTCTCAGACACAAAACCAAAACCAAAGAAAATGTCATCAACTTTGCTAACAAACATCAGGACACAGCTTCCAAGTCCGAACATGTTTCCGTAGTCTTGACCTCATAAGGTCAAATATAATTTATGCATACATACACCATGTTCTTGAAGTCAATTGTGATCTCAGCCAATCAGATTACAGACAGTTACACGTAAAGGGCTATCATGACCAATCAAAAGACCCAAGTAATCCATAGGGGGCAGGCATCCAGTCTAACCTCTAGTCCGGTTCCGTTGGTCTGGGTCTCACCCTCCTCCCCTGCTTCTCCCTTCTTTTTCCTCTCCTGTTGTTTCTTTGTGAAGACTCTGTAGGCCTCTGTCTGCTGGTACTGGTCCAGCTCCTTGACGTATCTTTCCTTATCTTTATCTGCCTCGTCAAGATAGCACTGCAAAACAAAAAGAGCAAATTTTATTTTTGGAACTTAACTAAAATGGGCATATCTGCACAATTTTTACCATTACCCAATATTATTCTGTTTAGTGGGCACATACAATGCCGGTCTCTGCTCCTACTGAGTATACTTTAATAGTGGTGGGATTAAATTCAGATTTTTAAAATTTGGTTTGAATTCCACTACTCAGTTTGGATTTTGGAAACCGGATATTCAAAACCAACCTTAAACAAAATTAGGCCTTCCATTTTTTTGTGGTACAAGCTAAAGAAAACAACTGGAACGTCCCCCTATTGGCTCCATGGTTCTTAACTGTAACTGCATTCACTCGCTAACAGTTTTCTTGGTAATAGCTTGCCCATTCATCTGATCAGAGACTTCCCACCCATTTTTTCAACATTACAACTCTCAAGAGTTTTGGTCATTCAATCCCACTACATGTCTACCAAACCCAGGTGTACAGCATTGCATGCAGCACCTCACTCGCAACTTTTTGTTGGCATGACTGTGAGCTGAATGGGAACTTCCGGTGAAATCAGATAACCGTTATTCAGTTTGAAAAAATAAGGATAACCGGATTTTGAAATCCCCGCTTTCTCCCACCACAGCAGGGTACCACAAATTTTCACACTAAGGGCACTTCAAATGCAATACTTCAAATGCCTTGCCCAAGGACACACACATTGTAACTGCACTGGTTGGACTCGAACCCCAAATCTGCAGAAATTGCCAAAATATCTTGAGTTTGATCTCAGACAACGGAACAGCTTTAACCAATGGGTCTGTTTTTATTCCAATTCGTGATCACGGGCATCTTCGATCCTGGTTTTAAGATTTTGATGAAAAGGTCCAAATCCTACTGCTGTACTTTGTCATGCCTAGCTACGAGCATGTTTGATTCCTACCTGTTTCTCACTCTGTGACAGTGTTGTCCATTCCTTGCCCAGCATGCGCGTGATCTCGGCGAACGACATGTTAGGGTTGTCAGCCCTCGCTTTATCCCGTCGGTCATTCAAGAAGCGGACGTAGCCGGTCAGCGGAGCTCGCGGGGCGTTGACGTCCTTCAACCTCCGTCGCTTCTTGCCCTTAGTCCAACCAGGTTTGCTTTTTGTCGTCTGAGAACAAATGTAAATATACAAAGACGTTTAACCCTTGCTCTTTCAAAAGTATTTTGGGACTTTCAACGAGATGCCAATATTTTCCACATGTCTATATGAAAAAGAGACTGTAACTCGTTTCAATTCATTAAAGCCTGCATATTTAAACTGATATAACTTAACACAATGTCAAACCAGATTTCCCTAAGTCATTATAGCTAAGTTCAATCCTGATATCCTCCAAACTCCAGTACTATGCAGGAAACCTTTTTACCTTAATTTTTTTAACTAAAACTTTAAATAGGCATTAGGGGTGTGCATCGGAACCGGGCACCCGAGTACCCGACCGCAGATATCGGGAACCGGTTCAAAATTATGGGATCTGGTACCCGTAACCAACTTTATAATTTTTTTACTAATTTCTCAGACAATGAAAAAGAAAGGTTCTCAATGGCATTTGTGGGGAATTTTCAAAATGAAAACCAGGCTACATGGAAAATAAAAACAGATTTCACTTTCATGTGCATTTGAACATGGAACAGATGATGCTCACGGAAGTTGCAGTTTACACAGTAAAGCTATAAAGCCCTTCAGACAACTTCCAGGACTTGAATTTTGAGGTTGGGTTTCTTTTACGGGCACCATACCGTTGTTTTACTTCAATATGTACCCGGTTTCAGTTCTACCCGTAAATGCACACTACTCATAGGCACCATCATGCATCATAAAATAGTGTCCTCACTCTACCTTCCTCAATCCTGCAAAAAATAAAACCCTCCAGAACGTTCTGAGGAATTAGGGAGGAACTTGAGGGATGAGGAGTAAGGGTTGAAGTGTAAAAGAACATCCATTTGTCTTACCTCTTCTTTGTTGGCCTCTGGAGCATCTTGGGAATTATCTTGCTGAAGAATCTCAACTGCATTCATTCAAATGAAATCGAATGTCATCAATCCTGATATTCTTCCATATTTTTGACAAACTGTTCAAAAGTGTTCCAAATAGTCAACAGAAAAATTTTGCCATGAAGATGGTAAAATTTTCAACTACAAACACACTGCCCAGTGCTGCTGCACACAACCGATATACTTGCAGTTAGAACAATAGCAAGGTTGACAAAATCTAATTAAACAAGTGTTTGTCATCCCAATGTAAGAAAGTCAATTAAATGTGAGCCACATTTGACGTCACAAGGAATTCACAGCAAAATGAAATTAAAAATGTACACAATGTATTCAAATACTTGAAGTGACATCTAAAATCAGCATTCACGTTTGCTTTTGCACTGAGCGTAGACATTCTAAAGACATGTTTACCTTGTGAGATGTCCGTGATGATCTCAGGGTTGGTCATAGACTGGCTCAGGCTACTGGTCATGTTGGCGCCATTACTTGACGGAAAACTACTGCAATAAAACATTGCCTCCACAAAATGACTTTTGAAAATTCATCACATGGCCATGATCATTCAGTCATTATTTATCATCCATCTCAACAATTCTAATGATTGTATTTTTCGTTTGATTTGCCAAGTGCTCAAAGCAACAAACTAAAAACAAAACAAAGAATCGTCTAATAAAATCAAATTGGAAGGCGATTTGCAAGTCAAAGATTTTCAGAAAAGTCCTAAACTTTTTTTATGGAGGTGATATGAGAAACAAAGAGATGAAGTTACATTTACTGTAGTGTTTACACTACTGAGCTGTAGATCATTTATCCAAAAGTAACACCAAATTATGGTTAAAAAGATTACTTGATTTAAAGATAATAATGGCACTAAACTCCCTGTGAAATTATCCCTCTTACGCATTTTTGGAAATTTCTGCTAGTAGTTGGTTGGTAATTGACAATGACTCAGCAAATTTGAATTGAAATCGAGATCCTAGAATATTGTTTTCTCGGAATATGCAGCATTAACAGAGTAAAAACGTCATCAGGTTAGTTGTTCAGCACCCGTCTTTAGATTTTGAGCACTTTTGTTTCTTCAAACAAAACAAATGCACAAATGCTCTACTCTACCTTTAATGCCCCTAGGCTCTTTTATCATTCTGCTCATTTTATACGCTTCTCTCTTGATCTTACCCAGCATCCACAGACAGGTGTGAGGACTCCTTGGTCACATCGTCTTCAAACCCCGAGTAGTTGAAGAGACCAGTGGAGCTTGTAGATTGCGGCATGAGGGTATGGCTTGAGCTACCATCCCCAAGATCCATGCTTCGGAAGAACACAAAAAAAGACTGACAGTCTTACTGTAATAAATAATCACTTCAAAGTGTGACGGTTTAAAAGATCCCCCACACATTTGATTCATTTCAGGAATCAAACAAATAATTCGTTTTCCACTTTAGAGAAGTGCACAAACGCTATCTATGGGACTGGTCTGAAAATGTGAATTTCTCAGTAAAAATTCAAAATTTGTCACTGCTAATTTTGACTTTATAGAACAGATCACGGTAATCCTTACTTTTAGGACCCTGTTCCTATAAAGGAAGGGAAAGACTCACCAAAACAGTTGACTAAATGACACTCAAAATTGACATTCTGATAAAAAATGAACATCTTATTTATTTTTAGTCTGGTTCCCAGACCAAAAGATTCAGGAATAGTCAGAATCTTTTGGTCTGAGAACCAGACTAACTTATTTATTTTTAGTCTGGTTTTCAAACCAAAAGATTCAGGAGTAGTCAGAATCTTTTGGTCTGGGAACCAGACTAATTATTTTTCCCGAGTGCGATTCCGTTACCGAGCGCGCGCGATGCATCGATTATGATAATGAGTAGACTGGATCACGTTTGTAAACACATGTGCATTTCAATCGATAATAGGGAGTCGGGAACTAGCGCAGCTTTTATGGCGGATACCAGTTCAAGCTGGTTCCCGATTCCCTTTTTACAGTTCGAAATGCACATGTGTATGTGTTTACAAACGTGACTCATTATCATAATCGATGCATCGCGCGCGCTCGGTAACGGAATCGCACTCGGGATATGGGGACCATCGAATGTACGCTGGGCATGAAGAAGAAATCGCGTCGTTCAAACATTAAACACGATCGGAAATTTAACGTGTTCAAGATCGCGAGGGGAGCTCTCCGAAATGAACGGAAAATTTCACTTTTTTTTCTGGATCGTAAGTAAACTTCAGTACAACCATCTTAATCATCGATGTCTACTTGTACCTCAGGTGGCATATCTAGTAATTTGGAGGCCGTTTTGAAGGTGAAATCTGATGTTTTTTGTTGGAAAATGTTGGTTTTTGGGACGGTGTTGTCCAGCTCGCGGTATTAGCTTGGACCTTACTATCGCCAGACCATGTCCAAATGTTAAAAAAGGCGATAAGTTGGGTCCAAGTTACTCGGACTATAAAGAGGGTGAGCATGGTGAGTATGCTTCTAAAGCGAAAAAATTCTACAAACTAAGCCTAAATGCGAAAATCAAAATTTGGCAAAGTGCGACACGTTTTTGTACATGTGGATGTGTGGCCTATGTTTACGGAGGCAGTCCAGTAAATAGGCCACATTTATGGGGCTAAACTATTACTAAATAAGTCCACATGATAAACATGGAGCTCCATGGTCAAACATTGTCAAAAGGGCCATTATTCATGTTATTGAAATTCAGAACCCGAATTTCACATTGGCCCAAAAACAGTCTAATTACTACTAGTAATACCAGCTCATTATTGCTTCTTACCTGTCAGAGTTAAGGTACAAAGCTTGGTTTGATGTACCTTAGTCAAAAAATAGCATATTTTGTTGAGCACGAGCGATTCAGATTACATTTTTTCACCGCTCTCCTTATTTGTTGCGACTTCTGCGAGCTTCTGCAAAATTTATAATGGCCAAAATTTAGGTATGGTACCTGCTACGGAACGACTCGATAGCACGATATATGGACATTGGAACCAGACGACTGGACATTGATGATCGCAAGAGGGCAGTCGTCACACAAAGGGAAATCCACCGATTGTGTCCAAAAGTTCATCGTCCTAAAAAGGGGGAGGGGAAAGAGGGTGGGGTTTGGCAGCAGAGGAAAAATGTGGGAGGGAATTCGCTTTTATAGTGGAAATCGACACTGGTCATAAAGGAGAGAAATATAGAGAATTGTTTTGTTATTGATATCTTTTTTTAAATTACTAGGAACATTTTGTGTGTGTTTTTGGGTGAAGATAGACGTGTATGTCTCGTTTATATTAGCTATAGCATTAACTGTTCGGCTATTTCAAAAACATAAAAACTTAATTCTAGTACATGATGGTGTAAACAAATGATGGACAATTGTTTTGATTTTTAAAAAAAAGAGGGAAAAGTCTTTCCCTTCCTGATAATTATGTGGGCGTGCCTAGTGTATGCAACCGCTTTCTTCAATTTTCCGACAAAGCTGTGATCAAGATCAAACAGTTTGCAAAGGACATATGCGACTCGAATTTTGTTTATTTTGTTAAAAAAAAACTTTAAAAAAACCTGTCCAATATGTTTATTTCCATTGATTTTATAAGTTTTTAAAGTTATGAACTTTTATTTTTCATTCTCATTTGCGACACTATGTTTTAAAACCGTATGACTACAATCTTAATGCCAATTAATTCATTGAACAATGTGATAGGCCTACATTTGAAAACGTATTTTTTAAAACCAAATTTAAATGTAGGCCTGTGCATTACATTAATTCCTTCACGAAGAAGTTTACGAGGTTAAATTGCTGGAAACGCTCAGTGGCGGGGATCAATCCCCCCACCCCTACTAGCGCCGCCACTGCATACAGTATTCTATGATTTGGCCTAACTAAGCTCTCAAAAAGTGTATGCAGACTGCTTTGGGGAACATAATCCGTCGCGAATTCTGTTTAAAATAATGTAGGACGAAAGTGTTTTCCTTACGCATTCAACACTTTGGGCCCCAAATTAATGTTTCACACTCAAGCATTCACAATTAAGACTTTACATTTACAATAAAAGACTCAGCAACGCACACGTTCAGGCCAGTACAAATGTATGGGAAATTGTCTGCCTTGAACCAATAAGGATTACATTTAGCTTTGTTGACGTAAAAGATATTTTTCTTACCCACCAATTGTGAAAATCTGCAGTATCATAGTCAATTTCCTTTCTATTTTGGTTAACACAGGAGGAGCTAAACACGTTAAAGTGGAGTCATATGCATACTTAAACAGATTGTAATTTTGAGGGATAGGCCTTCAAGACGGCAGACTGACTACGACCACTTAGGTATTAAACCACATGATTAAATAAGTTGACATATGCAGCTTTTTATATTTATCCATCAGCAGGATTTCGGAGGGATTTAAATTGAAATGGGATGGTGTTTTTTTTTATACATTCCTCGGATTATTAAAATGTGATGACTTTTTTAAGAGAAACGTATTGGAACTTTCTGGAGCTAGCTATTGTAAAACTCAGTCAAGTGTTTAATACTAGTAAAATTCGTGTTCATGCCCTTATGAACAACTGCACTTATGGGGGTTTTTTTTATCATCGTCTCTGCTGCTTATACGAAGCAAGGGGAATCTGCAAAGATAAAAGAAATAATATCTAATATACATTTTTGTTCACATTCGAAGCACAACCCCACTATCGGATGAGAAGATATGTCATAAAAAATTGATATGCCACTTCCCGAAGACTAAGACAAAAATTGATAATGAATAAATGAAAAATACATCTAAATCACTTTTGCTATAAATTACCTCAAGAATTGGTGAAGACTTGCTCTGCAAGCAGGTCTTCAGTCCTTCCGTCGGTCCTCCTCCCTGTTTCCGGTTCCTTGGGATTCAGAAGTGATCTTATCTTCGTCCAGACTGATATCTCATCTTGCATACCGTCGACTCTGCCAGAAGATTAGAAGGAACACATGTAATAAAATGTGTGTGGACAATAATGCGCCGGTTGCTCTTCTTTTTATTTGTGGATTTTTGAAGTTGTTAAATGATTATTATTTCATATTAAATTTATTTTCTTCAACATTTATCGTATTTTTTTAAAAGTAAGGTAGCATTAACAGCAGACACAACATGCAGAACAACTTGAATCATCCTAAGATATTTTTCGAAAGGACAATAACATTAATGTTTACCTGGGATATCAGTAATGGGATGCCCGGCAAGCAGGGTCGTCCAGCCATCCGGTGTTCCTCCTCCCTGCTTCCGGTTCCTCCGTGTCATCAGCTCCTGACATGAGCACTCTGGCTTGCCGGTCCTCCTAATCTAATTGCAAGTTGCTGAAAATAAAGGAAGTCTTCCTAGCGGAGCTAGGTTATGTTACTACAATGAACAGTGGTTTCCTGATCAAATTTGTGACCGGTACGGTGCTGTGGTATAAAGAGAAGGAAAACGTATATTAATGGTCCTAGTACCTGACCACTATAAAGATACAATCACAGAACTTGAAAGCGAAACTTAGTTTAGGTCTACGCTATATGAGATATCTAGGCCTAACTGGGTGCAAAGTATCTTACATTAACGACAGTGAAGATAATCCAATTAGTGGCCCTTATCTGAGGCTGACCACTGTAATGGATTCATCCGTTTAGAAAGAAAGCTTAGCTTATTCTAAATAGATAATTGGCGTACCAACTGGCCGCGAAGATGATAATTCCAGTACAAAGCAGCGCGCATGAAAGGGAAACAACATTCACATTGCTGACCACTTGTGATCAGACTTATCAGAATTGAAAAGTACATGTACCATCGATCAAAACCTCCAATGGTGTTGCGGTTGTTTAAAAAAAAAATCAATCGATGCACATCGTTTCACCCTGTACATTCAAGCTATACACCTTACAGAGGTGTATTACAATTAAGGTATCCGACGTAACAGGTGTCATTACACCTGTACAATTCACAAACTTCACACAATGGCCCTAATACTAAAGGCAATTATCGATCTTTACGAATCGAATATTATAGAACAAATCACAAACAATAATCTATGTCCATAAGACACATTTCGACAAGGATCAGAGACTATTTCAAGTCGCAAAATAATCGTGGAATCGTTGAAACCATCATTCTGATTACATTTCACGACCGTCACATGTTGCAAGGAATCTGTGAGATCTGCACATGGCATGTAGAGCATTTTTATTAAACAATAAATCTCCCCCAAAAAAACTTTTTAGCGTCACACGGACAAAATAAGTAGATTTTAATCATGGCCCTAATAGAGTATGTCACGTCATGATCCACGGTCAAGTTACAACATCAGATGATGAATACAGTCATATACAAGAAAACTTAGATCCACCATTTCAGGTTTTCACGGCTTCAAAATAGCTATTGATACTTAACACATGTCCCTAGAGTAATTTACACAATGATTCGCACTCAAGACGGGATGATATGAATGCACAAGCAGTTTTCAAGAAAATACACGTCTGGCTATCGGAAGAATTTATACAGCACGGAGGAATATAAGATCTCTACACTGCACCACATGGCCCTAAAATAATTCTTGCATAATAAATTAGAGAGATTTTTTACAAAAAACAAAGTAAGTCATGTTCACATGGCCCTGGAATCCTGTAAATTATCTGTCATATAATGACAGAAGATAACGCCAAAAAATGTCGGGTTTGACAGAAATCTCTACAAACCGGCGATGCAAGTTTTGTACCCATGGCCCTAGGATTTTTTTTCACAATGAGAATCAATGTAGCACGACGAGAACATGCATGATAGACGCGACTGGAATTTAAAAAAGTTCAATCGTACACATGGCCCTAAATATCTAACACGAATTGTCACAAACGGAAAAAAATATTCTATGCAAACATGACAGTATACGTCTCACAATCATTGTCTTTAAATGTCATGCAGGAGACATTATCGTGCAAGATTAAACAAAAATGTGCAGATGTTGCAAATTGGAAGAGAAGCAGAACGATTTACTACACATGGCCCCACCATTTCGACATAAAATCCTTAAAATAGCAGGTGCTCCGTGGTTTAACAGAAATAAGTACTTCTACTCGTAGACATAATCGTCTTTCGACTTGTACTCGTATATTTTGTTCGCACTCGAACTCAAAACGAACTCGTTATCGTACTCGCACTCCGAACTCATGTATAAATGTGTTTCCACTTGAGCCCGAACACAACTTTGTTCGCACTCGAACTCAACACGAACTTCGTTAACGAACTTTAAATTTGTTGTTTATATCCATACCTGCAGGTCGATATACACCGACTTTTTTCTTCCTATCCTACACGCAAATCGGAAAAGTACGGAAGGCGGATAGTCCGTAAAAAAATGATTGACAACTGATAGACATTAACTTTGTTCGCGCTCGAACTCAACACAAACTCGTAATCGTGAACGAACGATATGTTTGTTGTTTTAATCCATACCCGCAGGTCCATCATCTTATTTGTATACACAAATCGGTCAAATGATTGACAAAATTTAATGATTGACACTAACTTTGTTCGCACTCAAACTCAACACGAGCTCGTAATCGTTAACGAACGATACATTTGCTGTTTTAATATACCCGAAATTGACAATCAGTTTTCTTTTTCGATTTCACGAATCAGCTCCTAGAATTTCTCCTCACTGATTAAATGTTACCCTTGAGGATTTTTGTATTTTAATGTATACATGTTATCTTTTGAAAGTCATTTTCAATCGAACCGAGAGCTAGCGCGCTAGTGCTCATTTCGAATACATGTACATAATTATTTTCGGAATCGCACTTTACTGACACCCAAACCAGTTGGTATTTAGAAACAAATTATCTCCAATTTATTTTGAACATATCAAAGCGGCGGGATTTTCATTCCTTTCCCATCTGGTGCTTGGTAAGATTGTGTCTTAAGTAAGAATCGTGCGGAGAGGTTCCTTGGAAAATATAATTATTATCTTTAACTCTCTTTGTCCTCTTTACAAAGCATAATCTCGTGCTGGTTTTACAATTTTATACATTAGTAATTCTTTAGTATTTCTCAATAGTATAGCACCCATCAAGGGTGTCGTATTTCTCAATAGCAACACCCATCAAGGGTGAGGTCTTTCTCGATGATAGTATCACACGTCAAGGGTGTCGTGTTAATCAATACAGTAACACCCATCAAGTGTGGCGTCCTTCTCAATAGTAGCACCCATCAAGGGTGTCGTCCTTCTCAATAGTAGCACCCATCAAGGGTGTCGTCCTTCTCTATAATAGCATTAAGGGTGTCGTATTTCAAAAGTAGCACCCATCAAGGGTGAAGCTATTCTCAATATAGTAGAACCCATAAAGGGTCACGTTATTCTCAATAGTAGCACCTATCAAGGGTGACGTGTTAATAAATAGTAGCACCCATCAAGGGTGTCGTGCGTATCAATACAGTAGTAGCACCCATCAAGGGTGTCGTTCTTCTCAATAGTTCCACCCATCAAGGGTGTCGTCCTTCTCAATATTAGCACTCAGGGTGTCGTATTTCTCAATAGTAGAACCCATCAAAGGTGACGTTATTCTCAATAGTAGCACCCATCAAGGGGGTCGTGTTAATCAATAGTAGCACCCATCAAGGGTGTCGTATTAATCAATACAGTAGTAGCACCCATCAAGGGTGTCGTCCTTCTCAATCATATACTTTAACGGCATTCCAATGGACATTATCCTACACAACAGTTTACAGGATTATTTCGCAAAAATTTTAAAGGTATGCATAATGAACATCTTTACACCATTAATTCGTCAAGGTAATTGCTTTGGCTTTATACAAAAATAATCAGCAAACTTATTATGGTTGTGATGCGGCAAAGCTCAAGGCAATGCCATTGATTTGACATTGATTTCTGTTGATGTAACATCTCCGAGGATCAATCTTCATCGCTGATTCTTCAGTTTATATTATTAAAATAAATTCCCCAAACTTTAAAACTCAACTTTTTTCCATATACTTCAGCTGGCGTTATTATTGCCAATGCTTGAAGATTGTTAGGATAACGTTGGTAAAAATTAATAACTTTCGTTCCCTCCCCAATTCCCAATGTTCCTAATTGTCTCGCAAGCTGCTATTTCCTCGCTTTTTGCAGTACGCTAAACTTATTTATTTATTTATTATTAATATTATTTTATTACCAGCTGCTATTTATACACTTTCATGTTTATATTTTTATTTTACTACATAGCTTTGTCTTAGTCTTTTTTTCTTTAAAAAGGAAAACCTCTTTGATTTTTTCTGAACTTAAGATTTAAAACGTCTTGTATACATTTTCATATTATTTTCCAGTTAATGTGTTTTTATTAGAAAAGCTGTTTTTATGATTTTTATTCAAAATAATCAGTAAAAGAATTTTTTTTTCAATAATTATATTTTAAAAAGCTCCGTAGTAGCTATGAGTTGATAACATCAATTGTTTTTTTTTTATCACGGAAGGTAGACATCTATCATCCGTTTTTAATGAAATAATTAACTGATTTGGTATCGGGAAATATAAATATCAAGATATCGTCAACCAGTGAATAGTCATCTCTGGATGACGATATCCTACAAAATATCATCAACCCGAGAAATATTTTACTTTCTCGAGAAGATAACATCTCACCTAAAAGATATCACCAATCCGTGATGAAATTTATCTCGGAAACACGACATCTTACAAGATATCATCAACCCGAGAAATATTTTACTTTCTCGAGAAGATAACATCTCACCCAAAAGATATAGTCAACCCGAGAAATATTATTTTTCCTCGAGAAGACGACATCTCACCTAAAAGATATCACCAATCCGTGATAAAATATTATCTCGGAAAGACGATATCTAACCTACAAGACATCATCCACCCGAGATATACTTTTTCTCGAGAAGATGACATCTGACCAACACGATATCTTCAATCCGAGAACTGTTTTCTTTCTCGGGAAGAGGATATTTCACCTACAAGATATCATCGACTAGAGATTTTTTTCTCGAGAAGACAACATCTCACCCTATACAAACAGATATCACCAACCCGTGATGACACATTATCTCGGGAAGACGATGTCTTATTTACAAGATATCATCTACCCGGGAAATTTTTTTTTTTCTCGGGAAGACGGCATCTCACCTACAAGATATCACCAATCCATGAACACTTTCTCGGGAAGACGATATCATACCTACAATTATAACATTACGAAAACTACCCCAAAGATGTCCTCCTATTTTATAAATGACGGATGCTCATCAACCCGTGTAACCTTAGATCTCAGTAACGTGTGTCTACTTATATCAAAAACCAAAACTGATATTAAAAAGAAATTTTCTGATATTGATAGCATTGTGTTTTTTCCCCATTAGAATGCACTATCGATACAGATTTTTAATTGACTACCGTTAATTATTTTTTTAAGAATCAAGCTACGATTTGCCCGACGATTTTTACTGTGCCTCGAAAAGGTAATTTTTGTAACTTTGTAATGGTTTTGTTAAAAGATTTTTATAAGTTATTGTTTTACACCATGGCTGTGCCAGGTCACGATCCCTTACGCTGCTGCTGGTGTGCTCGGCTGCCTACGCGCGCCATGTGCCTATACCCCCACCCCACCCCGCCTTAATCCTACGCCTTAACCTGAATCGTAATCTTTCATTTAATACAATCATAACTTTGCCTTATTTGCCTTCTTCCAAACGTCCAATTTTGCTGGTCTTGATCTCAACAGCAGGTCGTCTCCAATTCTTATGAGCTTTAAATAATTCCGTCGGCTATCTTTTAAAATCTACATTTATACAATCATAATCAAAACAATTCAGCTCTCAATATGTTTTCTTCTGCTGTCCTCTTGAACTTATAGTAGCATTTATAATATACAAGTTACCCTAAAGCTAATGGTGTAAAGTTCATTATTTTGAGCACTTTATACAAATTTGGTATCCGTGGAAACATTGTCCATAAAATTGATATTGGTCCATTGGAATACCGCCCTAGTATAATACTCTAATTAGTGTGCTTGCATTAATTTCAGGTTTATGATAAAATCCGTTGGCTCCGTTGTTAACTCCTCGAATTCATGGTGTTCAGCTTTTTCATATCATCTTTAAATAATTAAATAAAAGCTCGAAGCTATTTGTTCTGGTAAGTTTTAAACCCGTCATTTTAATACAATTATAACAAAAAGGCAAACCAAATTCCAAGGAACCCTCCAATCTTAACGAAAATCTTAACATGTTTACTCCAACGTTTGAGTATAATCCTAAAACCCCTTGCTGGAATGTCTTTGAAAGTGTAGCAAAGACGGTGCACCTGGCCGCATACCGAACGCGCGGCCTTTCAACTTTTCGACCAATAAGAGTCGTCGGAGTCTATGAACACGCCCACACTGCGCCGGCCACGAGGGGCTCACGTGCACGGCTCGCGCTAATGGCTCTCGATTTTGCATGTGAAACAATGTGTGAAATGCGCAATGCGCCAAAAGGCATGTACATGTATGTTTGACAAACAAATTGGCAGGTATTCACATGCAAATTAGTCTAAATCAAAAGGGCTTTCGCGTTCAGGAATGGCATTTCAACGTACAATCAAAAGACAAACTCAATGTATTTTGTTGGCAACGATGAAATTTTGTTGGCAACGACCACACATGTAGGGTGCCTATTCTAATATCTAGATATATTAAAAATGAGATACTTAAAGAGAAGAATTGCAGAATTTTATCGCACAATATTCAAAATTGCAAAATACAACCTCATGTACAAAATGCAATTCACTATGCTTATAGTAAATAACATCAAAAATGTTTTCATTAAATGTCATTTAAGGACCAATTTGAAAGTTAAAGAGAGGAATTTTTCTGGCTAGCTCCACTTTACTTCAAAGTGAGGTTTAAAATGCAGGTAGAAATACCAGGTGCCATATTGCTCAAAATACAGAATATTGAGACGCTTTTTCCTCTTGGTTCTGTGTGACCGGAGGAGAAGATAAATTTTCACTCACCTCGATAGTTCCTTATTTAAAGTTGGACTTACCCCGACGAACTCCAAAAGCTTGACTTCAGTATTTTCCAAAAACGTCATTCAGATCATTAGACAAAATTATGAGTTCACAAAAATTCCACGTGTCCAATTCAGTTCAGTTCAGCACAAAGTGAGCATTCAAAGGAATGCAGTTGCGAAGTCCAGTTCAGTTCTGTATAACAAAAGTTATGACAAGTTCTGTAGGCCTACAGTAAAGTTCAAGTCAGTTTTTCAGTATGGGTGACGACGACGCTACATGTCTGCGTCGAAATGCTGCCGTGACCCTGTACATGAGGCTGGTTTTCTGGTCGAATTGCAAGACTACAAGCGTCAAAATTTGATGTTTTTTGCGCCCATGACGACTCCAGGGTATGATGTATAAGTTTCCGCGTTGAGGGCTTGAAGCTGGACGGCAGACTCGGAGGGTGAAGTCTCAAGTTTTGCTTGTGAAATTTGAGGCAATTTTTCTGGTGACGGACCAAAAATAGCGGAAAGACATTGCGAGCTGCCTCCCAGTGTCCATTGACCCGTTCTCGGTAATTTTCCATGGCGTAATGATATGGAGGTGAAAAGTGTCATTTTTTATATCGCTGGCTGTTGCTCCGTACCGGGGTCTTTGCGCAAATTGCGCTGCTTTGGGTCGAAGTACTCAGTGTGTATCTCTCCGCATACTAATTTTCTCCACTTAGACCTATCTTAACATAATGCCAAAAATGTCATCGTGAATGGAAATTGTTGATTAAAGGAAAGGAACAAATATGAAGGAATCATCTTCATTCCCAGTTGGATTAGCATCAATTTCGGGGAAAAAATGCCCTATTTTCTTTTCTTTTTTTTAGACGGGAGGACATTCGAGGAAGTATCCGTGACGTAGCACGCGTGACCTGTCTGTCTCTCATTGGTCAGAAGTAGTGTAGGTAACGTCTTCACGTCAATCTAGCCAATGTGATTGGACGAAGGAGTCTGTTGAAAAAAATGAGCATTACATTCAAGGAAGTATCCGTGACGTAGCACGCGTTAGGCCTACCTGTCTGTCTCTCATTGGCCAGAAGTAGTGTAGGTAACGTCTTCACGTCAATCTAGCCAATTTGATTGGACGAAGGAGTCTGTTAAAAAAAATGAGCATTACATTCAAGGAAGTATCCGTGACGTAGCACGCGTTACCTGTCTGTCTCTCATTGGTCAGAAGAAGTGTAGGTAACGTCTTCACGTCATCTAGCCAATTTGATTGGACGAAGGAGTCTGTTTAAAAAAATGAGCAGACGAAAAATGCTGTACATTGGTACATTGCAGGGTGACGTTTTAGCCGATTTTAGGCTAGATTTGACAGAAGGTTTGGACAAAAACCAGAACCTGAATAGCTCGGGATAGGCAGGCCAGAGTCCTACAAGGGCGGATCCAGGGGGGGGGGGCCAAAGGGGGCCATGCCCCCCCCCCCCCCCCAAAACGAGACCAATTTTTTTTTTTTTTATGTGACATCGCAATAAAGGCAGGCAATGAGTACAACACCATCTTTTCCTCAAAAAAAAACATTGGTTAAAGTAGTCAGAAATTGCCTCAGATCGCACCACAGAGCATCTAGAATCCAAAAAATTTTCGGGGCCCTTAAGCGGGCCCCGAACCCCACGCCGTAATTTTTTCGACCCACTTTTTGGGGGGTCAAAAAAAATTTTTTGGCCCCCCCAAAAATTGTGTTCTGGATCCGCCCTTGGAGTCCTAGCGTAGTAGCGTTGAGATTGCCTGACGTGTACGACTACACAGTAAAGTAAAATAGGCATGGCAGCTATGCTAGATACGCGCCAATAATAATAAAAAAAGATATTAGGCCAACAAAAAAAATAAGTCGGTCTCTGGTCAGCGCGCGCGTCGATTTTAATCATGCGCGTCGATCTTTTTTTCCCCAAAATGTTCCGCGGTAGCTCCAACAGCGCCCTCTATTTCCGCACCTCTTCAATTTGTTTTACCAAAGAGCACCAAGGAATTGGAAATTGTACCAAGGCAAATGATCGAAAGCACCAAGGCAAATTATGGAGGACACCAATGTACATGAGGACACCAAAAAAGCAAAATAGTACCCCACCTTGTCTGTACAATCCAAGCTTGAAGAAAAAAAAAAAAAAAAAAAAAAAAAAAAAAAAACCGCATCGCCGCGTCAATTCCGGAACTTTGGTCTGACCAGAGACCGAATATTTTTTTTTTTAAGGAAATTTTATATCTTTTATTTTTATTATTTTAAATTTTATATTATCCTTTTTAAAGAAAATTGTATAACATCTATATGTGAGTCTAAGTGTCTGTAATGAGTTTCGTGTAATTCTGGGTGATTTAGCAGATTTTTGTTTGATCTAGAACTTTGAAATGCATCCGGCAGAATTTTGCGATTTTCATCTAGTCACCTTGGTACCGTATGCACACTGAAAACACGCGCCCGCTTGTCCTGAACAAGACATTGCAAAGACATGTGCATTAGCAACATTTTTTTGAAAAAAAAGTCAAACTTCTAAAAAAAAAACTGAAACAAAAAATTGTGAGCCCCCCCCCCCCCCCCCCCCCAAATCCTGGGTGCGCCACTGCACGTCGCAAGGCTTGCGCACAAAATGGGAGCCAATAATATGATTCCAAAGAAACAGGAAAATGTAATAAACATGGACACAGAAGGTTTTCTTTAAAGTTTTAATGACACAATGACACACAAAACATCTCGTACACATGCAGGTTGGTTTGATATTTACAATTTGCCCAAATTCGTTTATACATGACATCTAATGCGCTACATAAAAACCCTGGCTTACTGTCTATTGCTATGCACTTTAGGCCGAGTAGTAAATTGCAGTTCGTCCGGTTTGCCAAATTTACTGTTATCTTGGTGAAAAAAATAGTAGCAAAGACCTTGAAGAAAAGGTTTAGAACACTTTGAAGGAAAACGTTATTACACATTGAACTTTGGCAGTTTTATTGTTTGACTGCTGGTGCTCTGAAAACTTGCAGTTAAGAAGTAAACCGTTCATATGACACGTGACTAGTTCATTATCGGCAACCTTCTGATATGGATTGGTCCAGGTATGCTGTATTCAGCCCCCCAAAAAGGACACGTTCCTGGTGTTTTTGTAATTATGAGGGAGTTCAAGTCATAAATATACATAAGTAGGCAAAGAAGTCAGTGTTCCAGACATTGTGCTTAAATATTTGTGAGGAGTTATAAAGTTGGTTAAATGGAAAAACAGGAGATTCTCAGAGAGTGTGCTGGAAGGAATAAAATGTTGCACAATGACCCACAGAAAAAGACCGGAAACGGTGTAATACTGTGTTTTCCTCTTGCAATAAAGTCGTTGCCTGATTACAATTTAACTCCCAAAATGTTCAATTTTATGAAAAGCGCAACAGATTTTTTTTTTAAAATTAATCCATGATAATAACACATTAACTTTCAAATCAAATCAGACAATCACCAATATTACATATTGACATCTATTTACATTCACACTATGCGCTGGCATGATTCTTGTAGTTTGTTGTTTTTTTAAATTTGTGAGCCCTATTTCTTAAAAGTTAATAGAAAAAATGCAAAAGTTGCACTGCTAAAGGGTTTCGTCCCTATATTTTGCACCCAAAGGATTTGCACTCACTAACTTGTTCACAAAGACTAAAATGAGTAATACTAAAAATGAAAGCGGCAAAAATTGTGAAATGAATGCTTGCACCAAATGTTCCGGAGAAACAAAATACCATTTTTGGATTGCATCTTTCGAAATATTCAAACTTGAATACACAGTGCAGGTATGACACTTGGCTAATACTAAAAAAAAAAAAAGTTACCCGAATTCAGTAAGACCATATTCCTGTTACCACATTTGTAAACAGAATTTTTACAAACATAGGTGAGCCTTGAGCAATTTTTTTGTTACCATTTTAAGCCCAGAACCAGTTCAAATTAATATCACATGACTTTTTTAATGGTATTTTTTTTTGAAGAGTTTCACTTTGAACAAATTAATTTTTTGTTTTGGAATGCAGTTGAGCAGATTTGTGCAGTTTGTAGTTTTAGAGAAAAGGTGCGAAATCAAATGGGTCAGTTGGTACCACGCACCTCAACTTACCGTTACTGCGTGTGTCTTCATACTTAAATCCTAGCATACCAGGTACCGGTTTCATCACTCACATTGACTTAAACCCACCCAAACTCTAAACATGCTCAGCGTTCCCTTACAAATATGTCGTTACGTCATCCTCTCGCAAATTGAACCACTTACATTAACTGTGCAAGAACTATGGCCAAGCAAAGCCTATTTTTCACTATTTACACAACATGGTTTGTTTTTTTGTATTTGCAAAAGCGTTTGATACTAGGCCAGCACAATACTGTCCGATCTAATTGCATCGTCATGATTTGAAGTCCACATCAACTAACGCACTCAAGTCACCACAGCTGCACCTCACTTCTTCATTTTCCTGCGAGAAAATGAAATTTGAAATCAGTCAGAATCAGTCAGAATCAGGTTTTTTAAGATGAAGTTGTAAATTTAACAATGTCAGTGTGTTGTACAAGAATTAACCCTAACCCTGGCAGACGCAACACAGTGCATCAGGTGTAAACATCTGTGGGACTTTGCTGCACTGAGCCAGTGCCAGTGCATAAAGGGTCAATTCTGAAACAATGAGAGCTGGAATTTAAATCCCATTGAACAATGCCACAGTTGTATCCTGCTGCAGTTGGTAACCACAGACTCTGAGGCAGTGTGGCCATGGGACTTTTGACCTGATGGATCTTGCTCTTCTGAGCAGGCTTGTCAATTTGACAAGTGATGCGTTTAGCAGGGTTTCTATTCTAGCCCAAATAACATAGGGGGGTTGGATTAAACCTTTTACAGGTATATGAAGGACCACTTTCTAAGTACCCTCCGTGAATTTCCAATCTACTTACTTGCTAGGGACAATGTGGACGGCAGCAGGATCCGCATTGCCTGGTCGTCCCTCGTAACCAACGGCACACTAAAAAAAAAAAGAAGATAAATAAATAATAATAAGTTCAAGCCATTGACAAACTGGGAGATACAGCCTCAATACAGGGCGAGATAGTTCAGATGAAAAGTTAGGCCGCACTCCATGGTTTCTTCTTAAACCATTAATTGCTCGAAGACACCCTAGTCAGTTTTCTCTAAAGTTAACTGAAGAACATATACTTTTTGACTAGTGCCCCTCGCCCTACTAAAACTGGCAAAATGCCACAACAACTTTAAGTATGAACACTCAGAAGGCTAAGGAAGTTACACAAGGAGCTGACTCAAAAATAATCCTGGAGAAACTTTATCTGATTGTATGACTGTCAGCAATATCTCGGCATTCTTGTTTCATAATCGGTCCTGCTCAGACAAGAACTGGTTGATGAAGTTTCGCAGTAAGATTCCCTAAGTAATGCAGAGTTTCTATCAGATAAAATGACTCCTTTTGGGAAAATGTTCTCCTCAATTTTTTTCTGGGATTTAAACAATTCCTTGGACTCACTCTTGTTTCGATGTCCGTCCATTCTCCACTGTCCAGCTCTTCCTCTGCGGCCCGTTTGCGATCCTTGGGGCTGGTAGAGGCCGGTCTCTCTGTCTTCAGTCTCTCAATGTCGGTGAACTGTACCGCTCTGCCACCACCGCGGGTCTGGAGAACTTCAGCCTTTGGGAGGAAGAAAAGAGAAGTCACAGAACTGGAAATTCCTGAAGTTTTCGGGCCAAATTTCATGGAGCGCTGCTGAGAGAAAACTTTGCTTAATCGTAAAGTTGCTGCGGTTTGTGAGATTCCACTTTTTGTCAACATTAACTTTTTTGTCGACAGTGGTTCACTGTTCCCATGCTTTTAGCAGGTTAAAGCCATTGATGATTAGTTGTTACTGCAATATGTAGCCCATAACATCGATTGCCGCGCGCATATTTTAACCGATTCACTTTGTGTGCAACTTTTGACAGGTGTGGCATGCAGTTGCAGCTGGCACGTGAGTTTCATATATTTGAATATTCGGTCAAACGCAGTTTCGAAAAATCGAATACTAAAGTATTCAAAAATGGACAGCCTGAAGTTGTGATTGTGAATGAGGCTTGAGCCAATCAGAGTGAGCCACAACATAAGTGCATGTTGTCATGGTTACCTTGTACAGCTTGGTCTCCAGTTCCCCCTTGGAGTCTTCCTCCTGATGTGTCAGCATGTAGTTCTCCGTTCCCTTCAAGTCTTTGACGGTCGGCACGGCAACAGTGTGTTTCTTCTTCAGACCGGCCGGCTGCAGCACCGTCTCTGCTCAAAGTAAGATTCCAAATGTCAGAACACAGAACAAACTTCTGGAGCTATAAAATGGTTGAACAAACACATCTTAAAACTTAAGGGAAAGTTTTCGTTCCAAAAATCCGAAAACAATTACAAAAACCCGAACAAGAAATATTGACAATTGTTTGTTTCAAAATGTTTTTGGATAACTGACTCTTCGGGTTTGGAAAAGAGCAATGTACTCATAGTTATTGGGTGCATGTCCTATTTAACTGAAACAAACACAAACACACGTACGGCACAGAAAAAAATAAAAACAGTTTCCATGGTTATAACATCACAGCAGCTGAGATGTCTGTTATTCAAAGATTTGTAGAAAAACATTGAAGAATAGGAGGCTACGAAGGAAATTTATTGGTATGGACACGTTTTTTACTCTTGAGAGTTTTTTTCTACAAGTTTACACAACAAAACCTTATACATGTCTTCCTGTGGCTCGTTAAAGGGAATGTACAACATTTGCTTTTGCTGCAACTTTCAGAAATAAATGGATTTGGAGGATTAGTATGTTATAACAAATATTGTTGAAAAGCCTTGTTTTACGTTGGGCTTGTAGATGCTGGAAAAACCAAGAAAACCAATCATGTTCTTGTAGTCTGGTTTCCTGACCCCACTTAAAATAAAACAGAGCAATTTATAGACTTTGGGGGAATTGTAAGGTCAGAGAATCAGTCTAGCGGGCTTGTACATCCTTCACAGGTGTGTACTCAATTGCAAAGAAAACATGGAATAACTAATTATGAAAAATAAGGAGCAGTTTTTGAAAAAAAGCCAGTAATCTCCAAAGCTGGTCGGCCGACCAGCGTTGGAAAAAATACAATTTTTTCTTGAAAATGTCAGCACACGAGGAGCCACGATTTTACAGGATGCTTTAGACTGTCATTCCCTAACAATCCAGTAAGGTATTTCTTGACGATTTGATCATTTCGTTTTGTGACGATTGCAAATGTTGTATCTTCCCTTTAATTGTGTCCATATTATACGTAGTTCTTTATACACGCAAGAAGTGTACATGGCATTATCTACAGAATGCTGCTTTTACATCGCAACAAAGTTTCTCAAACTGGAAATGCACAACAGAAAACACCAAACAAAACTCAACACGTTTTTCACAACACCATGGAAGACAATCTCTACGTTGAATAAAACGGCTAAACATGATCTGCTCAAACACAGACACACACACACAAACAGACATGTACGATACAGTTCCGAGTCCAGAGGACTGTGAGATGTGATTGTCCTGTCAAAAAAATAAACAAACAAAATATTTGCCTTTTCACTTCTGTTTGAAAAGAAAAGAAAACAGAATACTGAATGCACGTCAAGTGCTATAATCAGACACACTCATGAATCATTCGTTCCAGAAATTTATGTCTCCAAGGAGAACATTTTCAAAACATTGAATTTAAATGGCCGAGCTTGTCCTGGGAAATGTGCTCCAATATTACAAAGACATTTTGAAAATTTAAATCACATATTATAATATAATTTGCCATGATGGAGATTAAAAGCTGTAAGACATCTAGGTTTTTGTTGAAGGAATTGGGCTGGGCCTTTCCCAGACCAATATTAACCCCAAAGCAAATATCTTTGGGTTAGGCCAACAAAAAAAAGTCGCTGGTTTCTGGTATAGAGCTTGCCCCAAAAGTGGTGCGGCGACATGGCTTTTTTTCCCCTTCAAATGTCGGCTGATGACTGCAAATGGTGCCCGACTAAATTTAGTGCAAATATATGGGAGTCCAGAGAGGCCACACAAAGCTTATACTCTAACCCCATCTAAAACACGCTAAAATTGTGCAGCAGCAGGATTCCAGTCAAACCAGTGAGTTTCGCGGTTTCGAGACATCATCTTACATTGGGAAAAAAAAAACTTTTTCATTTAGCCGACGCACATGGCTACGGCGACGCGCCTTATGAATGGGCCTTATGAATTGCATTTTGATGTCAAATACAGGCATGAGATATTTAAGACCTTTGTCTGAAATCAGACTCTTTGAATCTGAGAGAAAGAAATTATCAGTATAGAAAGAAATTCATCTTTCAGACCTTTCATTCAAGTTTCAGATTTTTCAAAAAAATTGACAATCTCATCCCTGCAGTTACCTTCTTGCTTTCATGTACTCAATTGTGTAATCTTCTGGCCATTACATCGACACCACATCATTACACTTACCAGTATCAAGCGTTGTTGCTGGCTTGTGGTCAATCCAGGCATTGGACGTCGACCTTGACCGGCGGTGTCGCAGCTTGACCGGTGGCTGGGTCATCTTGGGTGGCGGTGACCGGGTGCGGTTCAGGTCCGCCTTGGCCTTGCGGGCTTTGTCCTCCCGTTCCTGCCGGGCGCAGACGATCTGTTTCAGCTGGCGGAGTTTCTCGTCCTTGACCCAGATCTTGGTCTGCATCTCCATCTGGGTTGCGCGGACACGCTTCTCCTGTAACCGGGTACGGAGATGGGAAGTCTTATGGACTACTCTTGCACCCCAGATTTAGGTTATTAATCTAATAAATTGCAAGGACCAGTGGACGAACAATGACAAAAGGATGCATTTGTTACAGTTTATCTGAGAGGCTTGTCAACTGACTCGAGGCAGGGTGACTGAACAAAACACCGACTAAGCAAAACATCAATTGTGGTACCCGCTGCTATGCCAGATTCAAACTAGCCAGCTAATCCCTCCTAGCTCTGTGGCTGATTAGTTTACACGTCTGCACTAGTAAAGCTCGTAAGTTCTTGGACAGGATTCAGTATACAGGGCAAAGCCATATTGAAGTACACAACTTTAAAGGTAAAGTCCATCATTTGCAGCTATCCTAAAAGTATTGCAGCTATCCTAAAATTATTGCAGATAAGCCTACTTGGTTTAAAGACAGTAATGGGACTACACTCCATGTGAAATTAGTCTTTCTGGCAAGCTGTCACTCTGAAGAAATCAATGAAAGAATTAAGGCCTTTCAAACGATGCGTCTAAATTATTCGGCGAGACGCACACTAGCGCTGTTGCTATAATTCGTCAGTTCAGTGCGCGACATTGCGGGGCTGCAATCGGCTCAGTGAGAACATGTACCGGACGCTGAATTCAGGCCCAATTCAAAACATGACTCGGCAACTTTTGATTTGAAATCAAGATCCTAGAATATTGGTTTTTCGGAATATACAGCATTCACTGAGCTGAAACTTCGTCAGGTTAGTTGTTCAGCACCCTTCTTCTTTCGATTTTAAGCACTTTTGTTGCTGTAAACGAACATAATGTACAAAATACAAAGGATGGACGCTACCTTTAACAACAAATCATGTGTGCATCCTTCTTGTCATAACTTCAACCGACTGATTTACGAGTCAACTCACGCATTCCTTCTCCCACTTCATCTTCTCGCTGCCGGCCACGCCCTTCAGCGCCTGCCTCAGACGCTCTTGCTCGTGCTTCTGTTTCTTGATCTTCGTCTTCTCCTCAATGAGCTACAATGTAAGGCAGAGACAATCAGACAAAACTGATAATTGAACAAAATACAAAATGTCAGCATCCTTTGGAGATGACGCTCATTTTCAAAAACAATTTTATGAATGAATCTTAAAGACATTTTTTTTCACTGATAAGTTTTTCAAGTGCATTCCAAAAGCCATAACCAGCTATTCATCTTGACGCCACTCAGTATGAGACTCAGTCTTTAGGAATATGGACTTTATGTAGGTGAAAATGTTGACAGTTCTTCTTGACTTCTGATGTACACGATTTGTTTAAGAGCATATATCTCAAAAGTACCAGTAGCTTAAGAAATGTTAGACTCACATTTTGGTGCATAAGCAAATTATTTGGGGGGAATGACAAATACATTTGCTAAGTGTTATCACTTTGCACATCTCTCTGTATCAGTTTACCGCAGGCTAGAATCAATACAACTTAACTACCCCTCTAACATGGTTCCAGGAAGGATTATACGTTGATCCATCAGGGGTAATAATTGACAGGGACGAGTTTTGCTCTTTACCTCCGTTTCCAGCTCCCTCTTGGAGTACTCGTAAGCTGTATGCGTCCTCTGCAGCATCCCGTTCTCTTGCTCTAGGGTTTTGATGCGTTTCTCAAAGCGCTGAACGTTCTTGTCTTTGGACGACAGCTTCATGTTCAGTTCGTCGTTCTGCTGTTTGAGCGTTTCCATCTCACGCTCCATCTCCATCAGATGAGCCCGGAAGGCGCCCTCTATTGGTAGAAAAAGGCCAATCATAAATGAGAATACGTTGGAGGTTTCTCTTTAGTTTCAGATTATATCCAAAAAATATCCCAAAGACAGAAACAAAGTTAAGAATTGGAATAGCCTCACCAATCCACAGATCCTAAGCATTTCTTAAATTTATCTCTGGATTTTGGTGCTATCATTCCGGTGACTGCTCTATGTTCTGACAACCCGTGCATAAGATTGTGTTCCTCCCGGTTAGGGTTAGGAATAGGAATATGTGCAGTCGGAACATAGAGGTGTTGGAACAAAGGGGTGTCGGAACATAGCGGTGTAACCATTATTCCCATTGTTCGCTGAGGTTTGATGGAAAAGCCTTGGTGGCAAGAGTGATGTGTGGCCTTATGTACCGAGGACACTTTTTAATCGTGGGATTTGTTCTTCAGTGACTTGCCTGTAAGGTTCTTAACAAGAAAGTGTCTAAGAAAGCGTACAAATGCGAAAGGGTGGTGCGAAATCAGTTTCAGCTTCAAATTGTAGTCAAAAGATTATTCTACGTTGTAATGCAGTGTACACCATACAAACGTTGACTTACGCTTGCGGGTGAGCTCTTCCTGCAAGGTGTGTCTTCGCCTCTCTCTCTCAGCCAGGAAAGCAATCAGGTTCTGCAGGGTGGTGTCTTCGTTGGGGTCATTGATCTTTAACACCAAACAAATAAAATTACAAAAACTTGGTTCACTTAATTCAACATTACCTACAATCCCGGCCAAAATGATTGGGACACTTGGAAATAACCTTAGCCTCCCACGGTCCCCCACTCCCCTGGTCAATGTTGTTCTCTCCTGCTGATAGAGCACACACTGCGCAATGAGAGACAACATTGACAGGGGCCCAGCGAGATTTGGCCAAAATTGTAGCTTTCAAACAAGAGAGGGTGCTTTTTGACCACTTTCGAGAGCACACAGTCGTGAATTTCTATACGCCTGAGGACAATGCTTTATGTTTTCCATTGTCCCTGTAATATAACACTCTCCCGTAGACTAAGCACATAACCTTATGATCGAGGACAGTTTTCAACAGAAGACCCAACGCTCGAAGACTGAAAGGATCTTTTGTTCTCCCTTTGTGTGTCCGCCCTCTATCGCAAAGCCATACATGTACCCAGTGGATGGGACACACAGCGTGCACGTACTGGTTTGCGCATTAAGTGCCAAGTACGTACAACTACATTGTAATTTTACTCTGAATGAGACATAGCATCATTGCGCAAGTGTCAGGTGTCTTCAGTGTTACCATTGACGCTGTACTTGTGCACTGAGCCCATTACAGAAATAATATTTTCTGCTGATCAGCTCGTAGACATTCGGCCCGAGGCACAAAAGCAGCTGAGAAAAAGTCACACACAACATACGTCACATAACATTCGGACAGGTGACCTGTTTTTCTGAGCTTAATAAATGTGTGTTCTTCGCAGCTCCATGACTTTGGCCCCAGATCTCCAGTCTGAGATTCTATATCTTACCTCTAGGCAAGGGAAGGCCGGGCCAAGATTGATAATGACTGGTGTCTCCATGGGAAGGTCCTCCAGCTCAGCACCGTCTTCCAACATCTTCTTGTATATCAGGTTGGCTGTCGTGGAAAAATTACACACATGTTGGTTGATAACACAGACAAGAAAGCAATGACTGTCGGTAGTTTTAAATCCTGGGTTTTGACATCACACATGGATAAAGTTTCTGAGCTTATTTAAACGATGCCAAAAATGTTAAAAATTGTCACACTTGTTTGCCAATACTCACACGCTGATATTTCATATTGTCATTTAAGACAGAAAGAAAACAGATTTGAAACAGAACATAAAAATAACCGACGAACACATTCTGCAAACTTTACTTGGATATTTCAATGACTAATTTTTGCCCTTGATTCAATGATTATCAGTGCTGAATTTCTCAACGCCTTCAGAGAGAATAAACTTCTCAAGTTCTGGTGAAACTTGTAGGAGTGTGCATGTACGGGTAGTATGGGAACCCTGTACCCTATTGAAAAAATAACAAGGATACCCGTTAAAGAAACCCAACCCCAAAATTCATATCTCGGAAGTTGCTTATCAGATTGTTCATAAAGGTCCACACGATAATACTACTACATCCATACATCAATACAGCAAGATACATACACCGTACAGTGAGTCTTATAGCTTTACGGGGTAAACTGCTACTTTCGCGAGCGCCATAAATGTGAAATATGTTTTGTTTTCCTATGTAGCCTGTTATTCATTTTGTAAATCCCCCACAATTGGCATTCAAAAGGATTCTGTTTGATTGTCTGAGATGTCAACAAGTAATTTGTAAAGTTGGTTACGGGTACCCGATCCCATAATCTGGAACCGGTTCCTGACATCAGGTTTGGGTACTCGGGTACCCGGTTCCGATGCACAGCCCTAGGGACTCCAACCCACAACCAATTACCCACATACCTCTTCTCCTTCCTGGAGTCAAGCCGATATCAAATTTGACAGCCGTAGGTCGGGCAACTTGTACCTCTTGGGTCACCTCAGCAAAGCGCATCACATGCTGAAAGGAAAAAAAAACATATCAAAGTGAACTGAATAATTTTGACACAATTAGATTTTCTAAAGGTTCAACTCACAACTTTTTCATTCGAATCACGAAATACAGAGTCAGTTTTCCGATTACTGCAAGAGTTAAACAGGCACATAAAAGAAAATCTGAATACAGTTACAGCAATATGGAAGATATTAGTTGAGTGTCACAATCTTACCGTGGTTTCATCATAGTCAGCACTCTGTGGGTTGACACAAACCACCATGCGCACTTTACCCTCACCGTCAAAGTAGTTCTTGAATATGTGGGTCACTTTGGAGTCCCGATACGGGACGATCTGAGATCAAAACAAAAAATGAAATGACAAAATTCAAAATTATGAACCCCATCAAATTGTATAGCTCTACTTTCGCTTTGGAGAAGGATCTCGCTGGAGTTGACACGTCATGCTTTCTCACTTTTCTGACATATCTGTTACCAACGTTATTTTTTACATATCGCTGTGCCAACATGGTCAAGTGTGTTCTCCTCAAGCCAAGAGAATGATAACATGTTTCAAGACATTCTTTGAAGGGCAGATTTTTGTGTCATAAAATGGGACATTATTACATATAAAGTAGTGTCAATCTCAGAACCACTTGGAGGGAACGGATGAATTTTTATATTTTAATTTTTTTTTTTTTACAAACCTGACTGCACTAGCCAAATCATGATTCTATCAATGAATGTAAATGCAGATCTTAAAAGGCAGATTTGATTTGGGACACTTAAGATGGTAAACATCGTTGAATTTCTATCTAAGAATCTGTTGGTTTTTTTTTACGAACCTTATTGAAGTTATTCATCTGATTCTCTCTCAGTACTTCAATGCAAGTCCTGAGGGTCATGAGTGATGCGTTGATGTTTCCCGCCTCCCTCAGCCTATCACCAGAGTTCTGGGTACGTCCCGTCCGCTCACTGCCGGCCAGATCCACCAGGGAGAGCTGGGCCACACATACCTGGTCCTTATCCTGACCATCCAAAAGAGAAAGACAAAAACAAAACTCAAGGACTAATCATTTCAGTGTTGTAGAACTCGTACGCTTACTCGTACTCAATTACATTTTGTTTTACTCGTACCCAACGTACTCCTGAGAACGTAACTGTACTCGTACAAAGAACACACCTGTACTGATAATTCTACCCGTGGCAAATTTCTTGTTCTCGCACTTGTGAAACTATTCTTCCCCGCATTCAAATTTTGTTTCTCGGTATATTCAGGTAAAGAACCTGATTTTAATTGTCTGGTGGGCTTTTGCATACGTTTAATATCCTATCAGACACGTACTTTTACTTGTAGACAAAATATATGTCTTAGAACAAAGTTACTTTTGGAAATTGAACAGGGTCGAGTAAATTTTCAGAGAAGCGCATTGGTTTTTTTTTTACATGAATGTAGAAAGAACAGTGTTGTAGTCAAATCCATCTGAAGTCCATGAAAACTTAATATATGTCCTTGTAGTAAACACAAGTCAGGTTACAAGTTACATGGGATGAATAGTCCTTTGTAACGGTTCATTTGAATAGATTGTGAGTTGACTTGGATGAATTTTGATTGACTTGTGATTGACTTGTGATGACTTGTGATGACTTGTGATTGGACTTGTGATAGACTTGTGATTGGACTTGTAATGGACTTGTGATTGACCAGTGATCGACTTGTGATTGGACTTGTAATGGACTTGTGATTGGACTTGTGAACACACTTATGATTAGACTTGTGATTGACCAGTGACGGACTTGTGATTGGACTTGTGATGGACTTCTGACGTACTTGTGACGTACTTGAGATTGGATCAACTACAACACCGTTTCATCATAAATCATGTGTACCTGCAGGACTTCTTCCCCTACTGGGTCCAGCGGAGCCTGGACCAGCCTGATATTGAAGACACTGTGACTACGACTTGACTCTGTATTCAGCTGAGTGTGAGCCACCTTCCTTCGTCTTTGACCTGTGTAGTGAAGGCAACTAGTCTTATTATTGGGCACATATGTAGAGTTATCATCTTGTGAGACCTTACGACAATCAATATTTAGTCACAAATTAGTGCACGGACTCTGTGCACAAACAGAACATGGCGTTTTGTAATCAATTTTTAAACTCCCAGTGGGAGTAACACACAGTTGCTAAACTAAGGACAAAAAGATTAAAAGAAATAAGCTTGGTTGGATGGGAACAGAATTGAATGCTAACACATTTAAAAGTCATGATCACACGGGGAGTCAGGTTGGCGTAGCGGTACTTTCCACGACTTCCACTGCTGTGACCCGGGTTCGAGTCCCGCCTGGGCCAATATGTGGATTGGGTTTTCAGTCCCTGCCTGATTCCGTGGGTTTTCCCCAGAATATTCTTCTAGGCTTTTCCTCCCACCTCTAAAACTGTAATTTCTTCTCATTGTCTTCTCTCCACAGGTTTCTTCAGGCTTGTGAGCAACAGTGCCTAGGGCGCTTTTGAGGAATCCTTGGTTTCATTTCCAGAAATGATTAATTATAATAATAATAAATATATTAAAATCTTCCCTGCAACCCCCCCCCCCCCCCCAATTCATTGTCCTACTTTGTGAGGCCACTTATGTTGCTACCTTTCATGAAGATCCCATAGGCTTCTTCCGTGTTCTTGGTTTCTATTTCCGTGCAGTTGGCAACGTACATGTTGTGGTTACTGTCCTCGCGTAGTGTCTTGGATTGCAAGGGTCTGGTGTGGACAAGAAAAGCAGGTCAAGATGAATAAGGAACAATAATCGGCATATGAAATTAAAATGGCTCAGCAATTTTCCAGTGATGATACAACAGTGCTAAGTTCAAAGCATACGGACACAACTGTGATGCGATCAAGCTACATGAGTCGTTTGTTGGGAATTTTCATTTGGAGATACAGGCCAAAATAGGGCCACTTCATCACATCACTTCATCACATCTCTTGGTGTTCCGACTTCCATAATTTTTGAAGTAAAGATGGTATCAGCATGCGGTTTTCACAGCAGTTATGCTGAGATTGTGCTCTTTTTAAATTTGTAATACATTTTTTTTGGACAAACAACTCATTTAGCTTGATCGCATCACAAACATTGATTACAATTCGCAACCTTTCTTTGGCAGGAGGAGTTTGGAGGAAGGGTTTATCTTGCCTGGCTTTCATGATGGGAAATTTTTGCGGCAGATGTTAAGGTAACTTGAAAAGTTTCAGCTCTTGTGAATTCATGCATCAAAACACAGCATTTCACTCTCCAGTTAAAGATGCGTCCCCGTGCTATTTTTAAATTTCACCTCGAAAATTTGATTTTTTTTTTTCAATTGCTATTTTTCAAGAATTCTAAAAGTTAATCACTTTTGAATGAGACATCATACAAAAAAAAAAAACCACCAACGTTTCTTTCTGTTAGAATCAGCTAGCAGTAAAAGGAAAAAACAACAACGAAAATCGTAAATTTTGCAAGGTAACAGAAAAAATGGGCTTGATAGAGATATAAGATTTGCAAGAGTCCAACTTCAGGTATTGTGTAAAAAACTGCACATGCTGCATTGCTTAGGCAGAGACAAATTACCATTCACAAATGTTACAATAGCCGACACACTCAGCAAAGCTTAAAAAAAACACACAAAAAAAACCACAAAAACAAAACAAAACAACTGTCACAATGAAAGCGGACAGTTAAGCCTGTTCGATATCCATTTATTTTTAAATCGGCAAATCGTGAAAAAATATCGGATATCGCGATATTATCGTGATGACGTCATTTTTCCATTCATGGAACAAGGGAATAAAAAAAATTTAAAAAAATAAAAAAAACACAACCGAAGTCACGATCCAGTGCCGCGAAAAAGACCCAATATGTCCTGAACAAAATCATCAATTTTATTTGACTAGAGTCTCATTTACTTTGCCAATTTAGGTAGAAAACAAATTCCACATTCAAACATCGAAAACAAAATTACCTTGAAATGTTGGATAAAAATGTGCAAATAGAAATCCATATCGAGGAAAGAACGAAGCACTAGCACGCAATTGCACGCCGCATTGACATGATCCCCACGTGCACTCATAGTACAGCCCACACCATTGTGGCAAGGGTGTGCTTCATTGAAAACAATTTACCAGTATTTCCATCTTTTCAGAATTACAAATAATATTTTTTTTAATGGAGTCCGAAATATTTCCTGGTTCAGAAAATGTTCTTCATTGTTACAAACTAACAAAATATTTTTTTTTCTAAAGATTTTTTTCGAAAAACGATGTTAACTCCAAAATGAGGGTGAAGCACCCCTTTACAAAAATTAATGGATCAGTCCAATTTCTTGTGACGCATTTTCTGTTCTGTGAACGAAATACAAGGCACGACTGAACAATTGGTTTTCGATGTTTTTTGTTGCTGAAAATATGAACAGATTTCATAAGTTTGGGACAGTTTTGGCACTAAGCAAGTGTAAGTGCCCAAGCACAACCACGGAAGAGAAGGAACGAGTCAGGAAAATACGTGCAGGAAAATTTGATCATCTAGTTCGCCTGCGCGAAGTCGGCCCAGCCCAGCGGCGATTTTTTTTTCTCTCCCAAACGCGTACGACATCCGCATATACGCGCAATACGCTATGGCGTTTTGGACTATACTTTTCTAAAAACATGACAAGAAAATCAAAAATATAAATATATGAAATTCGGGCTTTATTTCCCTTTTTAATAAAATCCTCCCAAGCCTCAGGTTAGAAAATAATAATAAAAAAAATAATATGCAATATCGTGATTCGAACCCGCAACCTCGCAGCATAAAACACAATTTACTATCGACTGAGCTGTCACATTGCTCGCTTCAAAAGTGGAAAACTAATAAATATATAGTGCCCACGTATCATAAAAGTATCGTAGAGGGCGCTTAACGTGCGTATGCGGATGTTGTTTTGCTGGAAAAACAAAATTTGCGGGCCCGGCGTGGTCTCCTCTAGCCGCGTGCCAAAACGAAACATTCACTTCTCAACGTCGTAATCTACAATTCAAGCACATGTATTTGTGGTGTTTTGTCTGTACAACTTCACATTTCCGTCAAAACAAAACAGGCACTGTATTTTCTTTGCGAAATGTTGGAGACTTTGTTTCCCTTCTGTTAACTCCACGCACGTGATTACGATTTTGGCACTTGGTATGTGGGGTGAAATTGTGTTGTTTGTACTGCACTACGTGTAGCGTGGAGGACGCAAAATCCAATACACGTGACGTTAGTCAGTTGGTTCCGCCCCTGAATAGGCAAGACCTCGCGGTACATACAATGCGGCAACAGTGAATTTGTGGTTTGCGGTTTTTCATGGGAGCGCTTTAGCGGCGGTTTGAAATTGTAAGGGATGGACTTTGGTTACAAAAGCGGTACTTCAAAAGAATATCGCGATATTTTTCGGCATATCGAATTTCACGATGTGCCGATTTTTTTTTATGAGATCGATACGATTTCCGATATGAAAATCTAATCGAAATATCGTGAAACATCGTCATACCGAACAGGCTTGCGGACAGTTATGGCAAGAATTAATTATCAGTTGTCAGATATTATTGATACAGGGTAAATAAAAAAATAAATAAAAAAATTTAAAAAAAGAGAGAAAGTAACATGCATAAATATGCATGCTTAATACCAAACAAAAAAGCACAACAATCACATATGAGTGGCAGGGGTGACTTTGTTAGTAGTGAATTGAAACGATCGGACGGTGAACGTTTGGTGAGAGAGTGACATACATGGCATTGAGATCTTCCCGTGACTTTGGCGTCTGCCATTGCCTGTGGGGTACAAAACGGAACAAAAAGGAAAACAAAATGGCGGGAAATAACTAAATGAGATGTTAGTTTCTACCAATACCAACGTCTAACGGAACACCGCCTACCCAAGCTGGAATACAATAGACCGATTCGTTAAGCCCTTGCCCACTGCGCAAATGCGCAGCAAGCACGTGCCTCTCCAATACCAAATTGCATGATGCAGCCACGCATGTCATATGCACGTGTACGCATGTCGCACATTTGTGCACGCATTGGTTCAAACATCATGGGGTGAGGTTTGATGAGTCGGTGTATCGTTACTTTGAAATATACTCAATGAAAACAACTGAAAAGACTATTTCATCTTCCAAGAATTTATATCAGATGGTTAATATTAAGTTTGTGATCTGATATTGTGAAAACTGTTCAGCAGATGTTTGTAAAATGCAAGGCTTTTTTTGGCAACAAAATGTACATATTGTACAAATTGTTGGATGACTTAATGTGCTCAAGTAATTTTCCCAGAAATTGACAGATTATATTGAATTGATCTTTACACTTAGTTTCTCTGAGAGCAGATTTTCAAAGCCTTGATTTATGATTTGGGCGATTTGATTTGTATTTCAGACATAGAGTGTTCTTGAGATTTATTATTAAAAGATCCTATCCACCGTTAACAATTAGGATGACAAATGTTGCAGGTCCCAATTTCATGGTGCTGCTAAGCACACAATGTTCACTATTAAACAGAACCTCTGTCTACTCCTCAGGGAAGATAACAGTAAGCATAACAAAGAAAACGCTAATTCCAGGTGTAATTTGCTTAACAAGCAAGAGTGTGCAGCCCCATGAGTGTACGTAAGTGTTAGCACAATTACGCCATGAAATTGGGTCCAAGTAGTTGTTTGTACATGTAGTATGTGAAGCATTTTGGCAAAATGAGATGGACCTCTACACTGGCCATAGTGGAAAAAAATACAAAACACCGAATGGGGGTGATTTGTTTTGATCTTCAGATTGATTGAGATTTGTCATCTTTGATATGTCTAGTACACATATTTTAAAGAAATCGCATAAAAATTGTGGAAAACAAGTGTTTTTGAGGAAACACAATATGTCTCATTTTCACAACTGCAAAAGAGTCGAAACCTTAAAGGGCCTTGTTCTCAATATTTTACTTTTCAGACATATCGATGAAATGCGAACTTTAAGCAGTCATAACTTTTCAACGGAATGTTGGATTGAAGTGCAACAAACAGTTCTGTAAGGAGAGTTTTATTCTCTTTGCTAATAACCGCAAACCTTCAATACGACCTCTGCCCAGTTCGGTCTCATTTTGCATGAACGCCTCATGTATTAAAAAGATGAATACTGTATCAGTTTAGTAAATCTCCCCCCCCCCCCATGAACTGTGCTACCTACTTCTGGTTTATGCCATCGGACTGCGTATCCTCCAGCAAGTCATAGATGTAGTTGTTGTAGATCTCGATGTATGACACAAACACGCTGTAGTTGTTGTCTTCGTCCACTGAGCCGATGCGATTGGTGTCCGGCACCCTCACCATCGTTGCTATGTCATTCTGGGGTGGTCTCCTGTTGGGCGGTGGGGGGTGGGGAGGGAGAGAGGGGTAAGGGGAGTGGGGCAACATATATATTATCAGATCACAGGGAATCAAGTACAATGTAGGTTCTTTCCTCGCCTTCCACCTCTCTTATGGCCCGGGTTCGATTCCTGCCCTGGTCCACATGTGAATTGGGTTTTCAGTCCATACATGATTGCGTGGGTTTTCCCCAGAATATTCTTTTGGGTTTTCCTCTCACCTCTAAAACGGCATATATTTCCGCATTGTCTTTCTTTACAGGTTTCTACAGGCTTATGAGCTAGTGCTATTTCTAGGAATCCTTGGTTTCATTACCAGAAATAAATAATTAGGCCCTATAACAAGCTCACGTAACGTTTCAAAATCGCTTGTTGCGGTCACATGTTGTAGGAAAAAACAAACTCCTTTTACAGACAATGCGCATGGAAACTTGAAACATGGGTTGTTTTGAAAATGTTGCACCTTATCGGGAAAGTGAAAAGAGAAAGATACTTGGATGGCCATTTTGCCTGTAGTTAACAAATGGGCAAGACATTATAAGTGTCATGATCTATACATGCTTACGTTTAATTTCAGCAAAAGTGCAAATTGTTAAACCCGAACTAACTTCAAATTGTGAATACAGTGAAGTCTGTCCTGTGCCTATGCATGATCGAACCCCTGTGAATTCAGACCACATGTCTAGTTTCTTAAGCTGAATTTCTTTTACATTGCACAGCACCAGATCTATTCAGTCCTACTAGTCCAACTTGGTAACAGACTCTACTGTACTGTTGTAAAGCAGAGCATGTGGAGGTCTTTCAGATCATACCTTCTGGGTGTTTTGGGCGTGCTCTTGGGTGTCGGGGGTGGAGCTAGGAGTTCCTTCTTTTGTCTATCCATCATAGCGTCAGCCTCTGTCTGAACATCAAAGCCGTTAGCCCTGTCCGGCTTGAACACCTAAAGAAGATAAAAAGAGATACAAAAAAGGTTTCTCAGTGTTTACAGAAGCATTGAGTTCATTGAACAGCGTGTGTTCCCGGTTGGATCTTTTCCAGGCGTTCCAAAAATATTTTACTAGGTCCCGCTCCTTGGATTGCACTTACGTATTTCCTGGCCTGCAGGTCTCCGAGGCTGTTGAAGAGCACATCTAGACACCTAGGAAGGATGCCGCCATCGCCTGGCGTTCCTTGCATGGTGTGAGTCTTGCCGGAGCTTGTGATGCCGTACATGAACAGCAGGGCTGAAATTTAAAAAAAAAAAAAAAAAAAAAACCAGCTAAGAGTTGAGGTCAAGTTGGCACATTGATACCTCTCCCCCAACACTATTAGTGAATTTAGTCAAGTCTGACACAAGCGAATATGGGCCATCAGACACGTGTTCATCTCCAGTTTCTTTGGCATAAAGCGACTGAGGATATCTCTATTCCCCTCTGGTTGGGATGCCAGTCCATTGCAGGTTACTTTCCAGCTAATGATGGTACCCATTTAAACTCCTAGGTGGAGAGTGACAAATTGTGGTGAGGTGGCTTGCCCAAGGACACAACATATGGGTAGCAGCAGGATTTGAACCACTGACCCTCTGATCACGAGTCAGGAACACTAACCACTAGGCCACACTTCCCGTTTACAGCTAGACTTCAATTCAAAATCAAATCAGAGTAAAGGCAGAGACCTTATTGTCTGATAATCTAAACTTGTAAACATTTAATGCTCTTAAACATTTAATACAAATTCTTAAACATTTAAGGCTCAAACATTAAAAATCTACAGCCTAGGCCATTCTGATAGAGTCGGCCTTACCATTTTTTCCATGAATGAGGTCGTCCACTAGGGGTAGTGCCACGTGGTCAAACAATGCCTTCTGGGATATGAGCTCGGGGAAGACAAACTTGAAGGTATGCTGTGTCTGGGGGTACAAATAGAAAAAAAAATATTAAAATGTCAAAAGAGATAAAAAAACGCTGTGGTGCATTTAATACATGGCCAGTGCAGTTACATGTACTCTGTAAAAACTGGTTTAATTGTGGACTTTTTTGGCTCAAACTCAGAAAGTTTAGCAACATTATAAGATTGCTAGATACCGACAAACAAGGCATAATTTCTTTGGGGCTGCTATTGGCTCACACACCCGTAATGAAAATAGTTTTGAAGAAAGAAAATCTTACCTCTTTGTAATTTCCATTCTTGACGGCAATTGAATTCTGCAAACACAAATGAGAAAAGAATTCAACGTGTGTCAGTTATTTGTTTTGTTTTTCGTTTTTTTTTTCTTTTTCTTTTTTTTTTTCTAAAAAAGAAGAAGTGAGGATGTATTGTAATTTATGGCTGGGTTGAAACTTCCTCGATTGACTTACCTCTGGTGGCTTCAACTGAATGGTGTTGCTATTGACAACAGTGACACAGATGTCTAGATCCTCACTGATTGGACGTAGTCGACAGTAGACCTGAGCATTGTGTCGAAGCAAAAGAAAGTAAAATTTTAGTCACATTTATACTTCAATTACTGTAAAAAAATATATACTTTTGTAGATTTATAAAATGTTAAGTGTTTAATTTTTTTTTAAAAACATTTTACAGTTTATTATCAAATAAAGACATTTGAAAGTGATTTCTTAACATAAAGATTTTAACCCTAACTCCCTAGCAAAATTTACGAGGAACCATACCCATCCTGGCAAATTCCAACACCATATGGGAAACTGCACACACATATTTCTGAATTTGATTCTGGAGGTGTGCCAACCCAATGTAAAAGACTGTCAGTTTAGGGGTACTGCACCCATGGGTTGAGTTCTGTTAGGGTTCTTGAAGATGACTGATAGACCTGTACAAGTGAACATGTAAAGACAGGGTGCAACATTTCTAAAAAGGTACATTTGTACATTACCAGTCAGTAGCAAAAAAAAACCCGCAAAAGTTGTGAATTTGCCTGAATTTTTCCATTTTTACCTCCATGACATAAATCCAAACCACTCACCTCAACTGGGTCTTTATTCTGAGGTTTGCGTGGCGTCTTCTTAGGGGTCTTACCCCGCCTGGTCACAAAGAAAATGGAAAATTTAGTAATCAAATTCAGTCCAAGGATGATCCTCCAGGTTTTGTACCAGTAACCTGGCAAAAGGGGTAAATTGGCTAATAACTTTGGTAAACATGATTTCAAAGTTGAAATGTAAGCAGCTTGTGAAGGCTATACAACCAACAACTTACAAGTGTTTGTAACACAGGCAGAGGCAGATCTGTACATTTCAACTGGTGGTTGCACTGCATTGTGGCATCATCAAGGAATTTGTGCTACCGAATGTAGGCCTAAAAAGTGGATGTTGTGTGGCGCAAACTGTAGCCACTGTTTCTTAGCACGGCGATTGTGAAGTTATCGTAGGCCCTTCATTCATTTTGGACTACATATATATTTGTATCATTCCAAATGACTTCTCCAACCGCTTAATTCTGATGACCCAATATTTTTAACCATATTTTCTGGTAGAAAATAAACTTTTCCCACCACTACACTATATTTTGTGCATGAAGCATTTCAGTTCATGAAATGAAGAGGCATTGCCAAAAGTGAAGTCGATGATAAATTCTTTTTGACCGGGGTGTGAAACAGGGCGTTATTTACAGTCAGCTCTGTGGGTGATTTGTTTTCTTCTGGCTCTTATTGAACATGGGTTTACTCTCAAGATGTCAAGCTGGCTTTCAGAAATTGAAAACTTTTTGAATTTTTGAAATTGGATGACTAGAAGTCTTGTTCCAAGAGCCAAAGGTCCTGATGTTGACTATAGTCAGGTCAGGGAACCAGACGGTCGACTGCTGTAACTGAGTTATTTATATGGCTAGGTGGGCGCCGACACAAGGGAATTTTTCACATTAGCTTATCTACATTGTACATGTATGTAGCTCCCAGACCTATGTTCTTGGAAATCAATTCAATGTTTCTTGAGTTTGGAGTGCTGAATGGTAGTAGTACTAGTACTGATGAAAACTGGTGCGCAACTGCAAGTGAATATAGGTGTTTTTATCGGATGACGTCACTCCGCCCTGATCTAACTATTTTATAATTACGGCATGACTGAACACTTCTGCTTTCAACCACTAAAAAGTTACAATTAAAGATCTACATTAGTACATGTACTGATGTATACATGTAGGCCCTACAGTAGGGCCTTCATGTTCATGAGTGACAATCATTACATCTTATCTAGCATTCAACATGGACTTCATTGAATAAACCTGACATTGTGGCATTGATATTGAACAGTCAAGTGAAGTCTATGAAGTATGATGAAATCATCAGAAAGCAGAGGTGTAGCCCCTTTACCCCCCCCCCCCAATATTTTGTAAAGACTGCCCTTTTTATATTCAAGTGCACTTTTCACCATCATTTGGGGGTGGGGAGCACAATATTTGTAAAGAGTTTCCTTTTTTGTAAATAAGGCCTTTTTTGAAAAAAATGTTGCAACCTGACGCCATGTCCGCGATTGTGTACAAAGTCTATGGAGAGTCATAGTATTTCCTTATTCCTAACAAAATCAAATTGGAAATGTTTCTCAGTCCCAGATTCATGTCTTATCATCATTTTTGCAATGAATGACCTTCATTGAGATGATACATGAAGAAAAAAGTGGCGTCTGGTTGCAACATTCTTTCCGCACTTTTTTTTAAACAGGTGCCCTTTTTTAAAAGCCCTTTTTGTACCAGCGGCCTTTACTCCCCTTTAGCTAGCATGTTTAGGCCTATTACGAGTGCCCTTTTTGGAATTTCGCTCGACCGCCGGCAATTGAGCTGCCCTGAAAAGAGCCATCTATTGTCATGATTGTCCGATATTGTGCATGACTGGTATATGAACAGCGCCCCCATCGAAGATGGTACCAGCCCCGCCCCCCCCCCCCCCCACTTTTTTTTATTTTACGGAGGCGAAGCGTCTGGAGAAAAGAAACCTGTCTATATTTCAGCAAGGTTGTACGAGCATGACGAGTGCCCTTTTTGCGAAGTTTTTAAACCCCCTCCCTCCCCGATAAAAATTACCTTGCTACCCCACTGAAACTGTGAAAGTAGTCAGCAGGTGAGTCATGTCATGACATGAGTAAAGACAAATTGACAGAGTATAGTCAGCAGTGCAGTGAGCATTGGCAAGTGAGCATCCGCCAAGGTCTCATTTTTTCCGCTAACTTTTTTTGGGTATTTTCTACATATTTTCCCGTAATAGTTCAACAATACATACTCAGTTGTATTCTCCCATACTTACGATGGTTTCATGATGATGAATTATAATCAATCAGTCGCTCAAGACAGTGTAAAATTGCAGTGAAAACCCGCCTCACTTCCAATTAAAAAATCTCACAGTTCCGTGAACTTCGTGTTGATCAGCAATGCGTTCGAATTCCAGCGCACATGGTCCTTCAGCCAATCACAGCTCTCCTTTGCACCGTTTTGTCTGGAAGACACTAGAGGGCGCTGTAATTGACACCGCTACACTAACAGATTGTCAAGTCGCCACTTATTAAACTAGGACACAAGTCAAACCGTTTGCTTTGATAAAAGTCATTGAAATAGAAGAGTAAGATAACAGTATATGAATTATACTATTTTTTTATTATAGATGTATTTTCAGATTCAAATGTATAAGTAAATCCAAGTAATTATGATAATAATTGGCGGATTGATATTAATAGCATAGACTGGTCCCTATTGTACGATCCCGCTACCTAGACTTCACCCCTTCACCGCAATCTCGCAGCGCGCATTTCAGTGGCATATCATTGGAGATATATATATGGAGATCAATGGGCATAATCATAATAACAACACAATGCACGGGACAACAACGCACGGAGTCTGATTCTGTCGCTCCTTACCGACCCTCTTCTTATTACCTGCCGATTTTGCCGTCTTCTGTAAGTATTGCACAGTTTTTGCGTTGATTTATAATTTTGCAAGCTGTGTTATTTCATTCATTATTCCTTTTTTTGTTTTGTTTGCTTTGTGTGAGCGTTTTCATTTTGTTTTCCCATCCCATGGCCATGTCGAGCGCAATTTGAGTCCTCCGCGCAAGTTTAAACTTGCGCGCACGCAAGTTTAAACTTGTGCGTGCATTAATTTCCTTGCTACAAATTGCGCACGCAAGTTTAAACTTGCTCGCCTACATAGCATAGATTTTCCCCATGCATGCAAAGCCGCCAAACTAATTTTTTTTCCTGGTAAACTCATGCAGATATGTAACATTATTTTTAAAAGCAGATTTTTCTCCAATTAATACTATAGCACCACTGTGCTTCGTGAGACAATGCAAGTTAATGCCTTTTTTGCAACATTTTATTAACAGTATTATGCTAATGAGGTTGAATGTGTGGGTTCAGAGATAAGGGGTGGCAATGCGAACAATTTATGCACTTTCATGTGTGTTTTATTGTTTATGGCTCATTAGGATTTTTGTTAAATAAACAACATATTTATTCATTAATTCGAATTAATTAATTAAATTGATAAATTAAATTAATTAATTAAATCATTAATTAATAACACTCAATGCGCATGTTCAGTGCCGGTCAAAATTGATTTACACTGCCTTTTTTATTATTATTTTTTATTAGTAGGCCAGTGGGTTTGGCTATGGGCTCCATGCACAAGTACCCCCTCAACGGTTAGGAACCTAAGTAACTTACCAACTTGTCTAATTATGTATTTATCTATTAATAGAAGTAGTAGTAGTACATGTAGTAGTGGTAGTAGTTGAAGTACAATGTATATATTAATTTGTTTATTCATTTATTACCAAGTACAAATGTAATTGATTTTTTTTTTTTTTTTTTTTTTTTTTTTGCTTTTGATTTGTTTGTCTAATAATTATATAGTTTACCAACTATGTTCTTGACTTAATGTAACTTTATTTACCTTTTTTTTTTGTATAGTTAAAACTTCTTTTTATATTTATTGCTTGTTGTTTTCACGTATGCCATTCAGTTTGGAGAACCCCTAGACAGAAACAACGTTTCTTTTGGGCAATCCTTCGGGAGCTGAATGGTATTTTGTTTTTGTTTGTTTGTTTATGTATCTAAAGCTTTTGTTGTTTTGTGTTGTAACTTTAGTCATTTGTTTACATGTATTTGTTGATATTTTCCCGAGAAATAAAATAGTATAGTATAGTATAGTAAAGGAGAGTTGGGGGAGACCACTTGGAAGAACATTCAAAGGCATTCCCGACAACGCCCGACGCTCATGCGAAGACTATGGCTTTGTGCACATTCAGAATAAAATAAGGCATGCATACTTCGCGCCATATGCGCGCGAACCAGCACACATTCGCGGTGTGTCCCATCCAGGGAGCTCTCAAAAGTAGTAAATAAGCGCCCTCTCTTGTTGTGCACGGAGCCTAATTTACGGAAGCCATAAAGCGTTTTGCTTTAGGCCTAGTTACAGAAATGCCACATACATGTACATGTCACATGACAAATCTGTACGTATGAGGTTTTTAATTCCTACAGCGATGATTTTTGGAGTTGCTTCGGTAGCTCAATAGGATAAATGTTTTTAACTTTGTTATTAAAATCAAATTTATGCATGTACATGTATGCGAAAGTCGACTTCCGTAAAAAATAGTACAAACAGCACAACAACAAAGTGTCACCAAGATTCTAACTCAGCACCTTCGGCATTCCAAATGCATACATTTATTCTATTGAGCTAATCAAGCACTTCGATCGCACGAGGTATTTAAAACCTCGTAATACTAAATTTGCATTGTATTGTTATGTTCCAGTCTCAACTATACCTGCTGTAGGTTATTTTTTTTTAAGAAGCTCCCAAATGTGTCAGATTTATGTTGTAAGCATCATGATAAGACGGCGTAATAAAAAGAGTAGTTTCTCGTCAGGGCTTTTTGAAAAAGTGAAGGAGACGAGAGCTTTAAATAAAAAATGTCCCAAGATGGCAGATTTTCTAAGTTGGTGGATAAAATCTTCCATTTTCAAATCATGGTGAAATCATACAGCAATAAAACATGCAGAGGTCTATCAATTTCCCTAGTCCTGTCCCAAAATTTGGGACTCTCAATAATGTGTGCGCACTTTCCCTAGTGATGCATCTGAAAAATATTCTTCATGCTTTCTTATCAAAGAAGTTACTACATATAAAAGATCCATCAATATTTAATTATGAGTAATTGAACAGAGAATCTGCTTTGGAAGGGGATTGCAAGGAATCATGCACTTGAAAGTACAAGAAATTTTAATACAGTGATGTTAATTTTGTTTATCTGTATTATATTTTAATAAGATCTGCATTGCTCAATAGTAAACCATTGCTTTGAATTATGCGTCATCTTAGCTCCAAACACGTATTAAAAAGAAATGAAATCAGCTAGACAGAATGCCTAGTAGGGGGGCAATACAGGCATGTACATGTATGGTGTGAAGAACCTGGCATACATGTGCCATGCTTGGGTTAATATCGCTGCATTTTAATGCATTGTCTGGCAGTTTTTATTGCTTTAGAAAGTTGTCAACCTTGGTGTGCCTGGGTAAACGGCAAGCTGGTACTGGAAGGGGTTTCTAAAACATACATGGTACATATGTACATAATACATTTATGTCTGGTTTTGTTAAGGCTTGTTTTGACAATTTTTTTTTTAAGGGGGTTAAGGGTCTTTGGAGGGGGTATTGTACAACAGTGGCAACATTTGGTAAACAACTATTATTGCACATTTAAGGTAACAACTTAGTAACATTGCATTTTTTGTAAGAAATAAAAGCGAGTTTGGTGGTTACAGTAACTTGAGTACATGTACCTCCTGCACCTGTGTGCTGGTAGATTTATTTTGCCAACATACATGTAGAGTTCATTTGTCACCATCAGTTCAAACAGCAAGGTTATGATTTTTAATAGGGCACATCATCCTGAAATCACTGAAATGTTTATGTTTAAGATTGTTTACTTATCCTATTTCAAAGGTCTGGTTGAAAGGAAACTGTAACCTAATGTTGCACTGTTCCTGAACAAAAGACCAAAAATAACTTGGTAGTTTACTTCTGAGGTGGTGGACAAAGCATTGTGGGAGGTATATTTTCAGCTGTTATTTAAGTCTCCTCCTTTAAGTCTCCTCCTAATATTGTCCCCAGCTTCTGTGTCCATGATGTTGCTCCCCCCCCCCCCCCACCCACGTGTTCATGAGGTCAGATGATTTAATGTACAGTACACGTTGTACAAGTGCACACAGCACCAATACACACGTTGATTCCTTCACATCCCCAGCATGGGATGCACTGGTGGAGTGCAACTGGAATCACGACTAGCCAAACAGATCAATTTTTGAGAGTCAAAAGTTGACCCCTGAAATTCATTCTCGCAAGAATAACACAAAAGCGGCCAATTTATAAAGAATAGGTGTTTGGGCATTTAAAAATGTGTATACTTTTAATTTTGTTTAATGCATTTTGTAGCCCAATTGAGCTTTCCATGATGCAGTGCCACTTCCTTCAAAGACATTGACTTTTTAAACAGAAACTGCTGTTTCAAATGACTTTGTTTTCCGCCCCCGTGGTGCCAGAAAATTGTTTTCAAAGGGTTTGATTTGGAAAGTTATCTAGAAATCATCGAAGCCCTTCAGATTTGAACATTTTTCCCACTTGACAACATTGTCACAAACTGCTTGTCAGCCTGTTTAGTAAATAGGTGAAGTACTGGATGCATATATTTCTAGGGCAATATTAGCAATTGGCAAATGATTGACCCAGACAGACTGGGGCCCCTGACCAAAAAAAATGGTTCACAAATTGTTCACAGCTCTTTTTGGAATATTTGTTATTGTTATTAAATTGAAATGACTGACCTGTCGTACTGGTAGGAAAAACTGCACTGCAGTTGTGTTGTTGACAGATTTGCTGGCAAGTGAAGCACTAGAGGCAATTTTATTGAACTGAATATTTTGAGCCCCTGAAGCCATTTTCTCAAGTGACTCAAAATATGAAATTTGCATAATTTTAAGAGTTCCAGCAGGATGAATTTTTGAATGTGGTATGGGTGAACTACATGTGCAATGTATGTGAAAGTTTGACACTTTACCGACCCGTACGAACATGTGAAGTTGTAATGTACATTATCTTTAATAATTGACATAATTTCCAGCGCCTTGAGTACCTAATTGTTGGTAGATACGTGCGCTATATAAGACTCCATTATTATTATGCCCCGCGGCGAAGCCGAAGGGGCATACTGTTTCCGCCTTGTCCTTCCGTGGGTGGGTGGGTGGGTGGGTGGGTGTGTGTGTGGGTGTGTGTGTCCGGACAAATCTTGTCAGCACGATAACTTGAGAAATACTTAACATATGAACTTCAAATTTGGTCTGTGTATTGTTCTTGGTAATCCTAAGAGGCCTATTGCATTTGGGGCCGAAAGGTCAAGGGTCAAGGTCACAGTGGCTGAAACAATAGAAATTTTGTCAGCGCGATAACTTGAGAAATACTTTACATATGAACTTCAAATTTGGTTTGTGGATTGTCCTTGGCAATCCTGAGAAGCCTTTTGCATTTGGGGCCGAAAGGTCAAGGGTCAAGGTCACAGTGGCTAAAACAAAAGAAATATTGTCAGCGTGATAACTTGAGATATAATTTACATATGAACTTCAAATTTGGTTTGTGGATTGTCCTTGGCAATCCTGAGAAGCCTTTTGCATTTGGGGCCGAAAGGTCAAGGGTCAAGGTCACAGTGGCTAAAACAAAAGAAATTTTGTCAGCGTGATAACTTGAGATATACTTTACATATGAACTTCAAATTTGGTTTGTGGATTGTCCTTGGCAATCCTAAGAAGCCTATTGCATTTGGGGCCGAAAGGTCAAGGGTCAAGGTCACAGTGGCTAAAACAAAAGAAATTTTGTCAGCGCGATAACTTGAGAAATACTTT